ATGTGGATCCAGAATTGGCCTCCACAGTCACTTACGGACTCATGGTTAAAACTGTGTTTATGGAAGACAATCTTACTCGGCTATGAGGGCTTGCCAAAGAAGAAGAAAGAACAGACACAACACCACCCCCCTTGCATAAACAGAGCCACCCTCTTTGCTAGCATTTGTGGCCCCCTGATGAGAGGCTGCCTATTATTCTCTCCCCCTCCCAATAGACATTTTCATAAATAAGACAAGAACAGCAAAAAGAAACTGCTGGTGCGTTTTCACGGAACGTAAGAGGCTGCAGCTGGATCAGGCCAAAGGGGCTCCATCTGGTCCAAAAGCCTGTTCTCACAATGGCCAAACAGGTGCAAAATTTGAACATGAGAGCCCTCTCCTCTCTCGTGGAGAGGATACCAGCAACCGGGATTCAGTAGTATTGCTGCCTGTGGCTAGAAGCCATTGACAGCTCTCTTCCCCGTGAATCTGCCTAATCTCAGTTGGTGGCCATTCCTGCCTCCTGAGGGAAGGAGTTCCACAGTTTAACGATGCACCGCTTGAAGGAGGACTTTCTTTTATCTGCCTGAAAAAGTCCCCTGACTATTTGATTTTTCTCTAGCATGCACACACAACCCTCCCTCCCCCTGCGCCCCCATTTGCGCTCCTTCCCCGGACTAGTTCTTCCCATTGCACTGCATCTCCCGACATTGTTCACACGATACTCTCCTGCACCACTTGCATGGTGTTCGGTGTGCCATCTGAACCTGTCTTGTGTGGGCAGTGCTGGATTCATGTATAAGTTAAACAAGCTATAGCCCCACTCTCTTGGGAGCCCCCCAAAAAATTAAAGGGAAAAAACCTAGAAGTTTCCAAAATATAAGATAAAAAACGAATAAAATAAAACCTACATCCAGCTACCATGTTTTGTGTTGTGTAGGCTCCTATGATGTAAGTCATGGGCCTCGCCTGTTAGCCTGCTCCCTCAAATATCCCTGGTTTGCTCCTTTCTATATATAGGGTGCCTACATTCTGCATGGACTGGTCGCATGGCCACATATGCAAATGGTTTGAGATACCTATGAGGTCCATAAATTACCATATGGCATGTATTCAACGCAAAAAACAGCAACAATTTGTTGTTGGCAAAGGACAGCTGGACATATAAAGCGCCCCATTACCTTCAGGAGCTGAGGGCCTCATCAAACCTCAATCTGGCCCTGGGTGAGGGGCAGTGGCAGTCCTTGAGTCTCAAATTTCAGCAGCGCCCCCTGCTACCCTAAAGTTTGGCACCCCCCACCCTGCCTCTCACACACTGTTGGACAGAACTGTTTGGGTGCAGGGCCAGGGTGGATTCCCAGTGAGGCTGCGCCAGTCGCGCTACCCTAAAGCCGCCTCTGGCAGGCGGCACTGGGGATGTGCTTATGGAACCAAGGGGGCAGGGACCCGAAAAGAGTTTAGAATCTCCTGGACTGAGCTTCCACAGCTGCTGCCCCTCACAAACCACCATTTGAAGGATTTTCAGGAGCTGAGGGCCTCATGAAACCTAAATCCGGCTCTGTGTGTGGCCGTCATGGCTCCTAGTTGAGATGGCTTTGCTCTGCCTCCGCACTCAGAACTGGGATGCCTCTTTGGCTACCAGTTCCTGGAAAAACGGCAAGGTGTGTGGGGGGAGGTAGAGAGGCTCGCTGCTACACTCAGGCGCTGCTTGTGGACTTCTGGGCTTTTGTGAGAACACGGTGCCAGAATAGATGGGCCTCTAGCCTGATCTGGCAGCCCCCTCTTACATGTTCATATGCACATAAGATTTCTGATTGCACGCAGCACCTAGGCACAGATTGGACCCAAACGTGTATGTTCAGGGGTGGGAGACAGGATTGTTGGGGGGCAGTCAGACACACACACACACACACACACACACACACACACACTGGGTACCATAGCGGTCAACTTACAGATTTGAAAATAAGAGACCAGCAGCCTCGAAAATAAGGGACCAGCAGCCAAAATAAGGGATTTTAGTCAACCAGCTCCCGAGCCAAAGGCAGAAAGCCCAGCCAGCAGCCAAACGATAAGGGAGTTTCCCGCCAAATAAGGGACGCTTGACAGCTATGCTGGGTACACGCACATACATACACGGGCAGGCGGATATGCAAAGGACTTTGGTTCCTTGGACCTGAATGTGTGAATTGTCTTTCCATCCAGGGAAAGCGTTCGGGTGTTAAGAGAATTGTAGCATTTGTACTGTTAAAACAGACCGGGGGCGGGGTGGCGGTCAAACTATCGCAAGGGTTGATGAAATTTTGGGAAGTTGGATAGTCACAAGGGAATGTGGGGTGCACATTTTTATTCTTATTCATTTAGGATTATTACTTTGTCAAAATAAAATAAGTAAAATAAAAATAAATAAATAAATAAATAAAGGGGAAGGAGAAAGCCTGGAAAGAAAAGGAAAGGGGGGGGGAATAGCTGTGCTTTGTTTCACTGGTTTTGACCAACCTGGTGACCCCCCCCCCCCAATGTTCCAAGAAGAGAAGAGCAGCCTGGTGGTGGATCAGGCCCATGGCCCACCTAGGCCAGCATCCTGTTCTCACGTTCATGGGAAACCATGGGACCATCATGGGAAACCAACCCAACCCCCGTGTTGCAAAGAGAACGTCAACAATGTCTAGGCAACACGATGACCATATACCTGCGTAATAGACGATCTTTATAGAATTCTTTCAAACAATAACAAGTTCAAAATGAAATCTTTAGTCTCAAAGTCTCTGAAAATCTTTAAATGAAGTGAGGTACCAAACTTTGTACAATGAAAGACAAGCTGTGAAGCTTTGTATTCAGCAAATATAATGTCCAACACTGAACACTGATTCCGGATATTGACTAGCGTTTCGCAGAATTCTTCGTCAGCATGGTGGGAGGATACAGAATTGCTTCATAAACCCATCTTATTTCGAATGCATGTATGAACGAGTGCTGCTGAGCATTGTTCCACAGCATTTGATAGGTTCATTTACATACATTCATTCAAAATTCATTCCCTTCATTTAAAGATTTTCAGAGACTTTGAGACTAAAGATTTCATTTTGAACTTGTTATTGTTTGAAGGGATTCTATAAAGATTGTCTATTACACATGGATATGGTCATCGTGTTGCCTAGACATTGTTGACATCATGGGAAACCGGCAACAGGATCTGAGCACCGCTGGCCTCCTGCCATTTCCAGATACTGGGATTCAGAAACATCATTGCCTTCGTCATAATTGCGGAGGCAGGACACAGCCACCCGGGCTAGTTGGCATTGCTGGCCTCCCCTCCATGAATTAGTCTGATCCTCTTTTAAAGTCATCCAGGACAGTGATTCAGAGGCTGAACTGGAGGAATCCCAGCCTGCACAGGATTCCCCGCCTCCAGGGCCGGCTGAGCCGGGGCTGGGGCATGAGCCTGAAGGGTCCTCACCTGTGCTGGATCCTCAGGAGCGGACACCAGATGTATCCACTCTGGCTCCGGAGGTGATTGAGGACCCATTGCCTGCAGGTGCTCCTCTCCCAGCCCTGTCAGGGGAAGGTGAGGTTGCCTCTGGGTCCGATAACCCTCCAGCCTCTCCTGAGCTGCAGAGGCTCAGAGCAGAGAGGTGGAGGGAACTACCGTATTTTTTGCACCATAACACTCACTTTTTTCCTCCTAGAAAGTAAGGGGAAATGTCTGTGCGTGTTATGGAGCGAATGCCTGCGGGTGGTGGTGGGGATCTGTTGCAGTCGTGAGCAGAGGATCCATGATTCCCCTTCCTTCCCTCCTCCATGGTTACAAAGCATGGATCCACATGGATCCTCAGGATTTTTGCATTGGGCTACTCCAAACTCACTGTCAGATCACATGTCTGTGGCCACAGCATGAACCACAAAAATCATATATCCGCTATTTCGTTTAGAATATTTTTTTCTTGTTTTCCTTCTCTAAAAACTACGTGCGTGTTATGGTCTGGTGCGTGTTATAGAGCGAAAAATACGGTAAGTTCTCGCAGGAGGAGTGCTCGCCTCCAGGCCAGGAGAGGCGAGTCACTAGAGGATTGGGGCCGCCCTATGCCACAGAGGAGAGAAAGGCTAGTCAGCCCAGTCCCAGGTCGTGGGAGCAACATTGTTGGTTACCTGTTCCTGCCTGCACCCTGACCATTTTTTTTTTAAAAAAAATTATTAATTTTTCAACCGTTTAAACACAACAAAACAGAAAGACAAAAGGCCTGCACCCTGACCTGCTCTCCCGAGTTCCCGACCACGCCTGACTCCTCGCTTTGGACCTCGCTTCGCCCCTGACGGACAGCCTCCTTTGAGGAGATTTCACCCCTCCTATATCCAAGAATCTCCTGAGGAGTCTGCTGATTCTCCAGAGAGGAGGAGGCATGTTCTGCTCTCTACTTATTCTGCTCCAGCACCAAGTCAGTCAGTCAGTCAGTGTCGGAGAGAGAGAGAGAGACTGAGTGTTAGAGATCGTGTGTAGAGATAAGGTTGCTGCTAAGAGCAGCTGCAGACACTCAGTGCAGTGCAGCATTCATTTATGCTTAGACCTATTAAGCTCTGTATATAGTTTGTATAGTTGTAGATAGAATAAAGAAGATATTCTACAGAGCTGCTCTCCGAGTTGTTTATATACTCTGCTAGAGTCTGCTGTACTCTGCTGTGCGACGACTGTCTTCTTGTGGAAGTGAATCCGGTGCTCACACCTCTAAGCTGTGAGTCCACAGCACTTTGACCTGATCCTGTGCAGAAGGTGGTCTCTGGAAGTGCTACCCAGCTCGCCTAGCCCAGTCGGGGCTGAAGTGGATGAGTCCAGTTGGTGGCACTGGCTCAAGGGCGATGCTGACATCCTTACCCTCGACCTAGGACCGGATTTAGACCACGCCGCACGGTAACACCCCCCCCCCGGACCAGCACACACTGCCTCCTATAGAACCATAGAACTGTAGCATTGGAGGGGGTTCCAATGGTCATCTAGTCCAATCCTCTGCAATGTGGAAATCGTTTGGCCAACGTGGGGTTCAAACCCACAGCCCCGAGACGAAGAGTCTCACACTCTACAACCTGAGCTTTTCCTTTTAGCTCTGCCCTGTGTGACAGACTTTCTTTTACCCATCCCAAACCTTCAGCTTCATTGGACGTCTGTGATATCCTTGAGTTATTAGAGAGGGAGGAAATCCTAAAAGGCACCTGAGATTCAGATGATGCATTAAGCAAAACTCATTCCTTCCCCTCCAGTTTAAACCTGCAAGGATCTCGTTTGCTGAAAACTCAACGAGGGGAAACGGCCGCGGATCCGGAACCCCACAGCAGCACCCGGTTCCCAACTTCCACACTCCGCCACAAACTGAGCTCAATTCTCCAAAAGCAAATTCGTTTTATTTTTTAAAGATAACACCTTTATTTATTTAGTCATTTATTATTTGTTAGATAATAATCTGTTATAATTATTGTTAGTCGTTATTATGCAGAGATGAACAATTCCCCTCCCCCTTGGATCACGGAGCAAACGGTTTTGCTGCTTTTATCTGTTGTTATTATTTTTTTAAAATGTTAATGGAGTCCCGATTGAAAATATATTTATATATATATATATAACTCTATATATATATCCACATATATCCTTTCTCCCCTTCCCCCCTTGGCTTTGGGCATGTGTGGCTGGGTGTGTGTTTTGTACTCTAAAACGTTGCAACAGGCAAGATCTCCTCATCCTACACAAAGGAAAAAAGGGTTGAGTTCAGAATCTTAGCCGCTACTGGAAGCTCCTGCCTTGCTCCTCCGCCTGCCGCTGTCTCGGTGAGGGTTCGCTGGGTGGGATGAGTGGGTGGGTGGGAGGGTGGGAGGGTGGGAAAGGCCTCGGATGCAGGGATGGGCGGGTGTCTGTCCTCTCAGCTATGTCGAGTCCTGGTTGACGACTTTGCCTCCGTTCATGGTGGGTGTCCCCGAACTTTTCCTGGAGCGGCCTTGCTTCTCTCCAATTTCATGCAGCGATGGCTCTCTGTACATGCACACTGGAAAGAGAAAAAATGGAGCTGGCGTTAGTGGAAAGGGCTGCATGTGGCTTGAACAGGGGTCGGCAACCTAAGGCCCAGATCCAGCCCAGTACGTTTCCGAGCACAATTCAAAGTGTCGGTGCTGACCTTTCAAGCCCTAAACGGCCTCAGTCCAGTAGACTTGAAGGAGCGTATCCACCCCCATCGTTCTGCCTGGACACTGAAGTCCAGCGCTGAGGGCCTTCTGGCGGTTACCTCCCTGCGAGAAGCCAAGTTACAGGGAACCAGGCAGAGGGCCTTCTCGGTAGTGGCACCCGCCCTGTGGAACACCCTCCCTTCAGATGTGAAGGAGATAAGCAGCTATCCTATCTTTAAAAGACTTCTGAAGGCAGCCCTGTTTAGGGAAGTTTTTAATATTTAACACTGTATAGTTTTTAACACTCAATTGGGAGCCGCCCATAGTGGCTGGGGAAACTCAGCCAGATGGGCGGGGTATAAATAAATTGTTGTTGTTGTATAAGTTGTTGTTGTTGTTGTTGTTGTTATTATCATCACCTTCTAAATCCGGCCCGCAGACATGTTTTGACATGAGTAGAATGTGTCCTTTTATTTATAATGCATCTGTGGGTTATTTGTGGGGCATAGGAATTCATTCATTCCCCACCCCCTTTGAAATGTAGTCCGGCCCACCACGTGGTCTGAGGGACGGTGGACTGCCCCATGGCTGAAAAAGGTTGCTGACCCCTGGGCTAGAGGCAAGGGCCTCCCAGGGCCTCTCCAAACTGGGGGCGCATGCATTCTGCAAAAATGTCACAGATATTATTTAATGCATGAGTAGACCTACTAAGACCCGGGGGCCGGATCTGGGAATCAGCGTGTTTTTCATGAGTAGAATGTGTCCTTTTATTTAAAATGCATCTTTGGGTTATTTGTGGGGCATAGGAATTCGTTCATTCCCCCCCCCCCTTCAAAATATAGTCCGGCCCCCCCACAAGGTCAGAGGGGACAGCCCCCTGCTGAAAAAGTTTTCTGACCCCTGATTTAATGCATTTAGATCCCTCCTGGAATCCATAAGAACATATGGCAAGCCCAACTGGATCAGGCCAGAGGCCCATTTAGCCAAGCAGCCTGTTCTCATGGTGGCTGATCAGATGTCTGCAGCAAACAGATCAATGTATGGTCTGATCTGAGGGTCAGTGATACTGACCTGGGAGACCAGGCTTCTAATCTCCTCTTGGCCATGAATCTCACTGGGTGGGGCCAGTCATTGCCTCTCAACAGGGTTGTTTTGGGAATTAAATTGGGGGGGGGGGGAGTCGTTAATACCACCTTGAGCTCCTTGGAGAGGAAGGTGGGATATAAATGCACAAATAACAATAAATTTCCAAGCAAATCCTGCAAACAGAGGGGCCTAAAAAAGGCTGTTCTGTGCCAACAATATCTTATTAATTTGTGGACTGGTTTGATTGCTCTAGCAAGTGAACCAATCCGTGAAGTACAGTGTAACTCCCCTAATGCCCCATTTTACCTTTGGGCTCCTTAAACCAAGGCTGCAGTTGCCAAAGCAGAATGCCTAGTTGCCATTTTGGGACCAGGCGTCTCGAAAGTCACATTTTTCAATACGACTTTTTGTTTCCTGAAATCCATTCTGATTGTGCAGATAAGCTATAACGGACAGAATTCTGCCAGGTGTGTTGCTGGTGTGTGAAAGCTGTCAAGATCCGAGGATCCCCAGGCATGCAGCTCCCTCCTGGCGTCCAGGCATCTTCACCTGGTCACAGGTGGCCAAGAGCCAGGTGCAAAATGCACCTGGCAAATTTCGAATGCAGCAGTGACCTCGTCTGTTCTGTTTCACAATGCCTCTGGGCACGTGCAGAACACCTGTCTCCCACACTGAGCAAAATCAACCCAGCTCCAGTGCCTCTCTCGTTCTGAAAATCCCTACTGAGCAAGTCGGAAGCACGAGACACACGCAGGGCAAAGCTTCCTTGCAAGAGGAAAACGCATCTCTCCAAAAAGCCATCTCCACTTTCCCTTTGAAGGGCTTCTGTTAAGCTCCCAGCTCATGTCCCTTTCAAGCCAAGGCCTTCCCAAAGCACGGAGGGGGAGGCGGGGAGGGGAGGGGGGTCTGGTCTCCAACAGATAAGGCTCTTTCCAGTCCCCTCAGAGCTATTTTTCGACTTGGAGCCTTAGATGCCAGACGCACAAAGGAGGAGCCCCAGTCCGCCCTGGTTGCTCCCGGAACGGATCCATCTGGCTTTAAGAGGTTGGGGAGGTCCCCCTTCCTTGGGCTCCCGTTTCTTATCAGCCCCAAACAACAGAGGACTCAGGCAGCACCAAGCCAGGGGGCTCGGGTGCCCCCCGCCCAGTGACCTGGATTGCCAAGGCCTTTGATCTCAGCTGTCTGAGGCGAAGACCCAGCTCTGTCTTCCTAGCTTGAGCCAGAGCCTTGTGGGTTCATTTCAGGTCAGGGCTGGAGGTCTGTGGGTGGGGGCAGGACCAGCCTTTCCCAGGTGCCAGAGGGATGAGGCGCCAGGGATCTCTCCAGCTCCATGCAAGGCCCACCGAAGCTCAGGGGTGGCAAGGCTGCTTTTCATGCAGAAGGCGCCAGGCTCATCCAGGCAGAAAGGAACCCCAGGAAGGGACTCAGCGGGGAGATGGAAATGAATTTGGGACAACTTCCATTCTCATACAATTTCCTAAAGGAGAACCATTTCAAAACCCTCTGTCAGTGGTATTTAACGCCTTATAAATCTAATTTAATATCTGTTAGGATCGGACAGAAGCTGGAGAGGTGGAATAAAGCAAATCACCTTTTAGAATTGTTCTAAAAATATATATATTATGGAAATCAGGTGGATATGTCTGATATGGTAGGATAGCCTAACCTCTGGTACCTAAAGCATTTATGTTTGTTCATCTGAAAGATGCTATTCCAGTAAATGATAAAGAAATAGTTATAACTGTTGCTAAGATTTTAATAGCTAAAAATTGTGGGGGAGCATGTTGCCTACTGTATCTGAACGGCCTCAGAAAATCTGGGGCACAGTAACGATGGTTAAGCCTAACTTACTACAGAAGAATGCATACAAACCAGCCTAACAGGTTTATGGAGGAAATGGGTAATTATTATTATTTTTTGCAATGTTCTGGAACAACATCAGTGATAAAGTCCAACCTAAGGCAGTTTTCCACCTGCTGTAACATTATTCCTTTATGCTCTTTGGTTTATTTTGTTTAATAGCAACAAATAAGTAAATGCGGGAGAATCTCTGGAGTAAGGATCCCAGGGCTCAATGTACTGAGCTGGTTTATGGGACTAAAGAGCATTTTACAACGCCAGGTCTTGCATGCTGCTGCTTCTCCAAAGCAGCACTGTGGGCAGGGGTGGGGGACGCCTCCCCAACTTGCAAGCTATTCGTACTGTTGGAACATCCAAACTGCAGGCAGGCTGGGTGGGGAGCTTTTCGCTGCAGAGGAGTAAAATCCACACAGTTTGTGTGCATGCTCTGTGTTTCTTAAAAGCAAAAAGACTTGCCGCTGTTTGTTCTTCTCCCTGCTGCCTAATGCACTTCCCACTTGCCCACCCTGCTGCCAAGTGCCTTTCTCAAAAACGGGACATTGGTTCGAAGGAGCTGCTTGAATTGCAAAAGTGGATTTGGGGCGAGCAGGCGAGAGTAAGCCAGGGCAAGCGAGGAGAATGGCTTGTGCCCAATGGAATGGCAGGCAGGGAGTCCAACAGGAGGAGTAATAATAAATAATAATAATAATAATAATTTATAATTTATACAACGCCCATCTGGCTGGATTTCCCCAGCCACTCTGGGCAGCTTCCAACACAATATTAAAATACAGTAATGCATCAAACATTAAAAGCTTCCCTAAATAGGGCTGCCTTCAGATGTCTTCTAAAAGTCTGGTAGTTGTTCTATTTGACATCTGATGGGAGGGCGTTCCACAGGGCGGGTGCCACTACTGAGAAGGCCCTCTGCCAGATTCCCTGTAACCTTGCTTCTCGCAATGAGGGAACCGCCAGAAGGCCCTCGGCACTGGACCTCAGTGTCCGGGTAGAACAATGGGGGTGGAGACGTTCCTTCAGATATCCTGGACTGAGGCCGTTTAGGGCTTTCAAGGTCAGCACCAACACTTTGAATTGTGCTCGGAAACGTACTGGAGCCCCCCGTCTGGTTGTAAGGAAGAAGGCAGGGGCTGGGGGCTGGCTGCGGTTGGTGGGGCACTGCCTCCTTTCACAGAACCACAGAACTGTAGAGTTGGAAGGGATCACCAACGGCTATCTAGTCCAACCCCCTTGCAATTCCAAAAGCGGTTTGACAACCAATCCCTCTTCACAGGCAGCTCTAGGAATTGCGTCTCTGCAAGGGGAATGGGGAGGCCTCCAACCAAATCTCTGCACCCTTAACAAACTACAGTTCCCAGCATTCTCAGGGAGAAGCCATAACTGTTTGAAGGGGAACAGTAGCGCTTTGAATGCACGGTGAGAATGTAGACCATGTCTTCCATTTGCTAGGATTCTTGCACAGAATGGCCAGGGGCCATTGGCACCCGGAAAGCGGCCATTTGGCATCCATGAAATCCAACATACCCTAATATACAGTTGAGTGATTGGATAAAATTATGGAAAGAAGGTTTAAAATTTACTGCAAGTACTGCGTTAAAAGAAAATGTGATGAAAATGATGTATAGATGGTATATTACACCAGTAAAGTTAGCAAAAATGTATAAAGTAAGTAATAAATGTTGGAAATGTAAGGAAAAAGAGGGAACATTTTCTCACATGTGGTGGGAATGTAAAAAGGTGAAAGGCTTCTGGGAGATGATATATAACGAATTGAAAAAAATGTTGAAATATACATTTATAAAGAAACCAGAAGCGTTTCTTTTGGGAATTGTTGGAAATGATATAAATAAAAAGGAATGTAAGCTTTTTTTATATGCAGTAACAGCAGCAAGAATACTATTGGAAGCAAGAAGAATTACCAACGATTGAAGAATGGAGAATGAAATTAATGGACTATGCGGAACTTGATAAGCTAATGGGAAGGATCCGAAACCAGCGGGACCAGAAGTTTACCGAGGACTGGAGTAAATTTATGGATTATTTGAAAAGTATTTGCGAAGACCAGACGATGTTTGTAGGTTTGCAAGAAGCTCTGTGAGGACTAATATTAGAAATATTGCAAAAATGAAGAAGGAGATGAGTTGTGTTAAAAATGTAAAGGCAATATTAAGTTAGGAAATGCGTAAGAAGTGATTAAGACGGAGGATTGTCAGAGGTGCTGACGGAAGTCTAATAAGAGGGTATTTGTGATGAATTGTGTGGTATGTTTTATAATTTTATATTTAAAAACTAATATATATATATAATCCCACACACCCTCGTTTCTAGAAAATTCTGAAAGTGAGACCTTTTCAGCAGTGCACAGTCTTCAGTGTCTACACTCATAGGCATCTAATAAAGCTGAATGTTGGAAGATTGGGGACAGATAAAATAAAGTCCTTTATGTAGCACAGTTTAAACTATGGAAGTGAATAATGGAACTCTCTGTCACAGGACACAGTGATGGCCATCAACTTGGGTGGCTTCAAAAAAATAATAATAGACCAATTCATGGAGAGGAGAGGGCTATCCATGGCTCCTAGTAATAATTCTCTTGTGCTCGAGTCCTGCTTTTGGTTGGCCACTGTGAGAACAGGATGCTGGACAAGACGGGACACTGTTCCTACACGGCTCCACATGTTGTTGTTTAGTCGTTTAGTCGTGTCCGACTCTTCGTGACCCCCTGGACCAGAGCACGCCAGGCACTCCTGTCTTCCACTGCCTCCCACAGTTTGGTCAAACTCATGCTGGTAGCTTCGAGAACACTGTCCAACCATCTCGTCCTCCGTTCTCTCCTGCTCCTTGTGCCCTCCATCTTTCCCAACATCAGGGTCTTTTCCAGGGAGTCTTCTCTTCTCATGAGGTGGCCAAAGTCTTGGAGCCTCAGCTTCAGGATCTGTCCTTCCAGTGAGCACTCAGGGCTGATTTCCTTCAGAATGGAGAGGTTGGATCTTCTTGCAGTCCATGGGACTCTCAAGAGTCTCCTCTAGCACCACAATTCAAAAGCATCAATTCTTTGGCGATCAGCCTTCTTTATGGTCCAGCTCTCACTTCCATACATCACTACTGGGAAAACCATAGCTTTTACTAAACGGGCCTTTGTTGGCAAGGTGATGTCTCTGCTTTTAAAGATGCTGTCTAGGTTTGTCATTGCTTTCCTCCCAAGAAGCAGGCGTCTTTTAATTTTGTGACTGCTGTCACCGTCTGCAGTGATCATGGAGCCCAAGAAAGTAAAATCTCTCACTGCCCCCACTTCTTCCCCTTCTGTTTGCCAGGAGGTGATGGGACCAGTGGCCATGATCTTCGTTTTTCTTTTGATGTTGAGCTTCAGACCATATTCTGCGCTCTCCTCTTTCACCCTCAGTAAAAGGTTCTTTAATTCCTCCTCACTTTCTGCCATCAAGGTTGTGTCTGTAGCTGTAACCTTGAGGATGCAGCGGAAGGTGGGATATTGAGGCCAGTTTGTACAGCATCTGGGAGCTTTTGCTTCCTCCTCTGCCTGCCATCTGTTTAAGGGGATTGCAGAGAGAGAGAGAGAGACGCTGACCCATGTCTGTCTCCCGGAAAGGGATGCCTAGAGCCTGTTTATCACAGACGTTGGGAGGGAAGAGTGAAAGAGAGAGCCAGTCTCCTAGCAGTCAGAGCAGGGGGACAGGGATGCTCAGCCCTTTGCAGACGAGGCAGAAGGAAGACAGCTGCCCTGCTTACAGAGAAACCACACATGCCCACCCGAAGGCATCAATGCCATCCAGATTTTTCCCCTCTGGCACCCGGGACCTAGGTGGCAGGGGTGTGTGAACCCAACACCACAGGTGCAAGGTCTGTTTCTGCAGGATGCAGAACAAAAGAAGGGCCTCCTAGATGAGGCTGGTGGTCCATCAAGTCCAGCATCCTCACAGGAGGCCCATTATGGGAAACCTGCCGGCAGGACCCAAGCCCAAGAGCTCTCTGCCCCCTGCCCCCGCTGGTGGTTTCCAGCAACTGGCATTCAGAAGCATTGCTCCCCGAAACTGTGGGGGCAGAGCAGAGGCATCTTGGGTGCGAAGATGAGCAGAGGGTGCCTTCTTAGTTGTCCCTTCGCCCTCAGAGGCTCGGTGTGTGTGTGTGTGTGTGTGTGTGTGTGTGGAGAGGGCCTTCTCTGTGGTGGCCCCTAAGCTGTATGACTCCCTCCACACAGAGGCGCGCCTGGCACCTTCATTGCACAGCTTCCAGAGGATGCTGAAGGTACACCTGTTCGCACCAGGCTTATGACACCTCAGGTGTATGGTTTTTAGGAACCATCTTATTTTTGAAATTTTAAGTTGTTTTAAACACAATGTGTGTTTTTTAAAAAAAATATTGTGCAAGACTATGTTCTGATACTATTTCTATGTTTCACACATTTCAAGCACGTGCAAAGTTCACAGAGAATTCTGGGCCCTGTACTTTGTTAAGGGTTGCTGGGAATTGCAACTCTGCGTGTGGTAATGTCCAGAATTCTCTGGGTGAAAAAACGAACTTTGAAGGTATATTGTGTACACAATTTTTAATGTATTTTTAACCTTCTGTGGGGAGCTGCCCAGAGTGGCTGGGGAAACCCAGCCAGATGGTCGGGGTAGAAATATTATTATTATTATTATTATTATTATTATTATTATTCAGCCCAAAATGCAATGTGAAATCAGACCAGGCTACGCACCCCAACAAATGCCATTTGGCAAGCAGCATGGTTGCATCAGATTTATCCTCTGTGCCTTTGTAAGGGAATGCTCCCTTAACCAGACTTAGGACTGAGGCCCCCTGGCCAGCTTGGTTTGATCCAGTTAGGGTTGCATTGTGATCTGGAATTCTTATGATGAGCCGTTCCCAAATTTAATACTACATATGCAAACAGAGCTCAGCTTTATCCCTCTGAATAGATGTGAAATTGGGGGTGGGCTATCCATAAAGCCTGACCAAAACATACCTCCATAAGCCAGCTAATAATGGAACTTTATCAGTGATGTTTCCCTCCCTCTTTTCATGGCAAGGTCCTAAATATATGTCTCTCCCCACCTTCATCATTTTATAGTCGCAACAGGTCACAAGCAAAGAGCAGGACCAAACAAAATGCATTATGCCAAAGAAGCTCCCCAAGAAATGGACGCCAGGTCTCTCGGGCAAGTGAGCCCAGCTGCATTTTGCACAAGAGAGCGAAAGAGAGCCTGGGGAGCAATCTGATTTTGCTCAGCATCCCTCCCACCCCAAAAGGAAACACAACTTCTTCACCAAACACCACCACCACCACCCAAATGCAGAGAAAGCAAAACTGGGGACTCCGCCCCAACCTACCTTCTATGGGTTTCGGTACAAAATGTGATGATGGTTTGGTCTTTTTCACCCGGTTCCCCTTCATAATCTGCCCTTCTTTATTGAGCCCCAAGAACCAGGCTCTCCCGGATTCCTGCTGCCGGTACAGCGTAGAGGAATATATAACGTAGTAGTTTTCAAAAACGGACTCCTTAAATTTGCACTCTGGCGTGAAGATGTCCTGCAGCGAGGGAAGAGAACAAAAGAGGGGGAGAGGGATTAATGCAGAGTCGCTCCAGAGCAGGCGCCGGCCAAGAGATAATCTGTGTACCTCTTAGCGTAATCTCTTTAATGAACAGAAAATAAAATTAAAAGAGGCAGCCCCAGCCGCCAGCCGATGAGCAGCATCTCAAGAACCAGTCGCTTGAAAGATGCAGCGTTCGGCTCCATCGCATGTTCGCAAATTCTTGTGGTGGGAGAGAGGGCCAGGACCCCCAGAGTCTCTCACTGCTCAGAGGTGAGAGAATCATAGAATTGTAAAGGGACCCTGAGGGTCATCTAGCCCAACCCGCTGCAACCTTGGCATTAGAAGCACCACACTCTAACCAACTGAGCTATCCAGAATCGGGATGCCGCGCACCTGTACAGGGACATAAGAAGCTGCCTTCTGCTGCCTTCTGCTGTCAGACCATTTGGTCCATCTAGCCCACTGGGTTTCAGGCAGGAGCCCCCAGAGTCTGCCTGGAGGTGCCACTCAGGGGGTGACCTTGGGCCAGTCGCTATCTCTTAGCCTAGCCTGCCTCACAGGGTCGTTGTGGGGATGGAAGGGGGAGGAAGAGGAGAACCACGGACGCCACTTTGAGATCCTTGGGAGGAAAAGGCGGAACATGCATGCAATAAAATGGAATAAAGTGGGGGGGGCTGAACCCGGGACCTTCTGTTCACAAAGCAGATATTCTATCCCCAATGCTGTGGTCGTTCCCAGCTGCAATTCAAGCATAGCTGTCAACCTTCCTGTCAGGGGTTCAGGAGCAGAGGCACAGGAAAGGGAGGAAATAGAGAGCGAGGGGGAGGAGTCCGAAGGAAATGTTAGCGATGACAGCGGTCCGAGGTCTCTGAGTCTTTCCAGCGAATCGGAAGATTCACAGAAAGGGGCTCCCTTGGTCAGAGCAAGGGGGTGCCGAGGGGGACACCCCAGGAAGAAGGCCCCAGAGGGACTCAGAGAGCAGCAGTTGGAAATCAGGACCAGCGTCCACACCAGAGTGCAGTAGGGGGGAGGGGTCCCAGGCATCGGGATCAGGCGGCGCACTGCCAGTGGGAGGACATGAGTCAGGATTGGCCACGCCTCCATCGGGGAGCGAGGAACGGTCGAGAGGAAGGTTGAAGGCTGGGCGCGCGCGCCAAGTTCAAATGTACAGGAGGGCGGCGCAGTTGGCAGCCCGGATAGGGAGCCAGGTCCCAAAGCCCGCCGAAAAGAGGCCCAAGGACCCAGGGGGGACAGCGTCAGAAGAATCCAGGAAGGAAGGGACCCCGGTGGGTAGCAGGACCCAGAGGAGAAAGGAGAGACGTAAGAGGTGGAGTAAGGCTAGAATCTTAAACTGGTGTACAAGGGGCGGAGACTCAGATGGAGCTTCGCCGATCTAACCCCTAGACGTAGAGCTGGGGCGCTGCGGCTTGAAAATGGAAACTGTACTTCAATAAAGACTTTTGTACATTACTGCCGGCTAGCGTTGGTCCTCTGTGAGCTGGGACCTGGAGCCAGCTCTGACACTTCCCTTTTTTTGCAGGAAATTCCCTTATTCCAGCGCCATTTCCCGGTGCTTCCCACTGCTATCCCGGATTGTTAGATATCCCGTAGACTGTCCCCGGGGCAGGTGAGGCTGCTGATCCCTTATTTTCAAATCTGAAAGTTGACAGCTATGAATCCATCAAGGGTGTTTCGATTTATACACCACGAGATCGTAAAAATAAACAAATACACAAATAAATAAATAACAACAACGAAGCAGGAAACTCAAGAAAAGTTCACAACAGCTTAAAACACACAGAAAGCATGAAAATGCTAAAACAGGTTAAAATTCACATCAATTGTTTCAGCACCGGGACAGGGTCGTCGAAACAAGAATTTTAGCAGGAGCCAAAAAGAGAGCAGGCAAAGGCGGCTGCTTGATATCAATAGGCAGGGAGTTCCAGAGTATAGGCAGGGGCTGCCAGACTAAAAGAACAAGTTCCTTACAGATGTGGAATGGGAATTACGTGGCAGCTGTGGCAGTGCTAATTCCACCCACCCAAGCAGTGCAGTGGACGCATGTGGGATGTTGACCCCAACAGCAACACCTTGAACTTGGCCCGGTAGCAATTTGGAAACCAGCGCAGGACTCTGAGCGCAGGTGTCATTTGCTGACAAGGCCTCCCTCCTGTCAGCAATCGCGCTGCAGCATTCTGCACTAACTGCAAGCACTGGATCAAGCACAAGGGAAGCTCCACACAGAGCACATTGCAGTAGTCCAGTCCCCACCCCCCAAATAATAATAATTATTATTATTATTATTATTATTATTATTATTATTTTGTCCCCAGAGAAAGCAGGCAAGTAGATTTGCAGATCCCCTGAAAAAATCCTTCTCACTGCAGCCCCCAAAGCCTGCTCTCCAACAAGCAGAACTGCTAGAGCTGTCAACCTGTTTGAGACTTCTCAGTTGATTGATGGCCTGCCACTTAACCAATCGACTGATGGAATTGATTAAACAGAAATTAATTTGCATTTCGCTCAAAGCTTCAATCCAGGGAGCTTTTTAGAGACAAAAGTGCGAGATAACAGGCAATTTAAGCAAACAATTTATCGTAGAAAGGAGGGGGGGCTCTCTCTTATCCCAAGTACACGCTAGAAGCAAAGCAGCGTTTTTTAAGGTGCCCATAAACTTGCAGCCCCACTGATTAAAATGGAATAACGCCAGCTAAGCAATTTAAGCTTTATATGTGATTAATCTACCAGTTAAAAAACTGGAGGTCTACAAGTGGCAGGGTATAGTTTAAAAAAAACATAATCTAAAAGGCATCAGATGTACCAGGATTGACTTTACACACACACACACACCGCCCCAAACACCACCTTGGCTGGGTGAAAAAAGGCAAATTCCATGCCAGGGACCATCAGGAAATGAATTGAAAACAAAACTGCCAATATCATAATGCTGTTGTACAAATCTATGGTGCAACCGCATTTGGAATCCTGTGTGCGGTTCTGGTGGCCTTGCCTCAAAAAGGAGATTTTAGGGTTTGGAAGGGTTCAGAAAAAGAATGAAAGATCTTTCTCCCCAGTTCTCTCTCCCCATAAACCTCACAGTGCCTGTGATAACAATGTCTCACACAGAATGTAACTGACATGCGGAAAGGACTCCTATGAACTGAAAAAGGAGATGTTCTATAGACCTTTGTCATTCATGAAAATATTTAAATAAATAAAAAAATTAGAAAAAAGATAAGGGCAACCAAAATGATGGAGGGAACGGAGCTACTCCCCTTTGAGGGACTTTTTAGTTTAGAGAAGTGGCAAGTAAGAGGTGAATCCTAGAACGGTAGAGTTGGAAGGGACCCAGAGGGTCATCTAGCCCAACCCCCTGAAATGCAGGACTCTCAGCATGAGGGCTCCCATCCAGTCTGAAACCCCACCAGACCCTGCTTAGCTTTGCAAACGCGTAAACAGAATTGTAGCAACGAGAAGAGCATGTGCTGCAGGAAACGGGTTTTCTTTCTGAGAGGGTTTCGGTAGCCAACAATGCAAAGCTCCCTCCGTACCAAGGAAACAAATTTCTGAGCAGAGAGCCCAGCTTTTTAGCAAAGATGTTTTCTGTTTAGAAAAACGGCCTGGCACATTATTGAGCTTTGCAGTTCTCTCCTTTCTGCTGTGCCCCTCCCCACCCTAAAAAGCACGAGAACGCAAAACTGCACAGGAAGGCAGAATAATTGCTCCCATTGTCGCTTCACACAATGCACTCAGGACTGTATACACAGCCAATTAAAAGCAAGCATTTTATTTATTTTTTACCGTTTCACATCATAATCCTGAGTGCATTGAATGAAACGGCCATGAGACTCCATTTTAATGGGTGTTTCTATATAACAGCCCCCCTTGGACTGGGGTGGGGGGAATGTCAAGCTTGACATGAGCGGAATCATTTCCCCAAAAGTAAACCTCACATTTGGGGTCCCTTCTGACCCTACAATTCTCTGTTTCCAGACTGCACAGATCTAAGTCTTGCCTGAATTATCATAGGCTCTCTTTCCACGTCACAAATAGCATTTAATGTTGGGCTTTAGAAATTCACCATCTCCTTTCTTATAAGACGAAGCCATTCGTTTGGGTCCTGCCCTCTGGAACGTGAGAAAACAAGCTCACTCCATCTTCCGTGGGACAGGCCTTGAGGGTTTATTGAAAACTTCCTCCAAGGAACTCAGAGCGGTCTTCATAATTCCCTCTTCCCTTTGGCCTCACAACGACCCTGCGCGGCAGGTCGGGGGAAGAAAAAGATCAACAAACCCAAAGTCACACAGTTCAGCTTTGTGGCTGAGAAAGGATTTGAACCCGGATCTCTCTGCTGCTGGGCAGTCCTGCCCCAGGCCCAAGGAAATTTGCAAGCTGAAGGACGGCTCGGTTTCAACCACGAAATGACCGCTGGGACACAGCAGCTCCCCTGGCTTATTTTATATCCCTTGATTTAAAGGAATGCAGTTTGCAGTTAAATTTAATAGGTGGAGACAGTTTGAAAATGGACACTGCTTAAAATTCCTCTTTGCCTGGAACCCATAAGGTCCCAACAATCCCCTTTTCTCTTTCTGTCTCATTTCAGACCACAAGCTGTTTGGTTTACAACCCCAGGAGAGATCCACCTATTGTTCGATTGCTCCCATCTGCACCCTGCTTATAGATCCCATTTACTGCACAGATGTCTGGAGGAAAATTGGCAGAATCAGCTCTAGTTTCCAAGGTGGAGAAAACACCAGGCACCGCCCTGGACTAGCCACAGAAGCTGGGCACAGACTGCTGGATCAGGCCAATGGCCCATCTAGTCCAGCTTCCTGAACAGCTGCCTGCGGAAAACCTGCAAGCAGGATTCGAACGCAAGAGCAACTCCCACTTCCTGCGGATTCCAGCAACTATGGAGGCAGAGCAAAGCGACATTGGCTATTAGCCATCGATAGCCATCTCCTTCACAAATTGGCCTAATCCTCTTTTAAAGCCAGCCAAGTTGATGGCCACCATTGCCTCTGGTGGCAGTGAGTTTCATGGGTTCTACCACTATGACGACACCTTGAGATTTTGGATTTTTGCGTGAGCTTTCTCGGCAGTGGAAACTTGGCTTTATGCCACGAGGTCATGGCCGAGAATCACACAAAAACCGCCTGGAAGATGGAGCAAGCTTGTTTTCTGCTGCTCCAGGGATTGGCACCCAAAGGACAAGAAAAGAGATTCTGAATATAAACATCAGGATGAATTTCTGGTTGGTCAGGACTGTTTCACAGGGGAATGGACTCCTTCAGAAGGTGACGAACTCTCCTTCATTGGGGGTTTTGGATGGCCATCTGTCAGGGATTCTTGACCCGTGACTCCTGCATTGCAGGGGGTTGGGCTAGATGACCTTTGGGTCCCTTCCAACTCGACAGTTATATGATCCTATGACATTTGTGGCAAGAGACCAGGCTGCCTGCCAGGCCGCAATTTTGGCCCATCAGCTTCTGATAGACTGGAGTTAGCCGACCAGAGGCCTCCTGGCTTCTCTCCAAACCACAAGCTGGAGAGGAGAGCCTTTCTTTTTCGCAAATTCATTCTCTTCCTCCCCCAGCACTGCCAGCCTCGAAGCCCAATTTCAGAGCTGTCAGGAGCAGAACTGGGGATTCAATTTTCCCTGTCACTGAAACTTTCACCCCCCAACCCCCGCCCAACCCCTCCTTGCTGCGTTCAGATTATTAAAATTTTGACAACCCGCTGACAAGATGGCCACGTTGGACCAATTAACTGGTGGCCTTTGGGTTGAAAGCTCCGGATGGGGCAGGGGATGGTTCTCCGGGGCTGGACGTGGGGCTCTAAAGCAAAGAGAAATAACACACCATCTGACAGCCCGTTTTTGTTGGGGGTGCGCAATCGCACACATTGCACGCCGTGTAAGAGGTGCGCCTCCTTTCAAGATTTCTGTGCACGACTGCTGAGTTTTGGTGAGAGCAAAGGGAGGCAGGAATGATTCTGACATTACACTACGCAAGACCTTAAATTCAGACCAGCACTTGCTGGGGCGTAAGGAGATAAAAAAGAATACGTTTTGATGCTTTTATTTTTTAAAATGTATATAGCAACCCTTCATCCGAGGAGAACAGGAATCGTTGCTATAGAATCATTGTATTGTATATTCAGAAAAGGGCAGCCCAAATGAAGCTGAACGCTGGAAGAAGATTCAGGGCGGATAAATGGAAGGATTTCAGCATGCGGCACATAGTTAAACTATGGAACTCCCTGCCACAGGAGGCAGTGATGGCCACCAACTTGGATGGCTTTGAAAGAGGATTAGACCAATTCAGGGAGGAGGAAAGGACTATGGATGACGGGGCTCTGCTTCAACAGTTGCAGGCAGAAATGCTTCCAAATCTCAGTTCATCTTTTATTATTATTATTGTTATTATTATTATTACTTTCATATTCCTTATCTCCATTCCTTTCTTTATTCTATCTCATATATTCTTTATCTAACTTGCAAATTGCGGGGTTTACCCAAAGCATGTCCATGTTTTCACTGGTGGACAATGTTTAATTAAATATCCTTTACAAATCCCCCATTCTTTTCTATACCTTTGAGTTGGCTGTCTCCTCATTGTCTCTTGTCCATTTTGCTAATTCGAGATATTCAAACAATTTCTCCTGCCGTTCCGCTTTCGATGGTATCATTTCGCCTTTCCATTTTTTGGCGACCAGTATTCTCGCCGCTCTTGCAGCATATAAGAATATTCTTCTTTTCCCCCTTTAGGATCCTTTTCTTAACGCTCGCAGACCGACGGTGGAATTATCTGTTCTGGGACCTCCCCTGCCAATTTTTCCACTGAGGCATCTGGTCAGTCACAGGATGCTGGACTAGGTGGGCCCTTGGCCTCATCCTGCAGCTGATCTTCTTATGTTCTCAAGTGCTGGATGCATCCCCAGAAGCTGCTCAGTTTTTTTAAAACGAAGATACCGTCCCTCCTGCTCTGGACAGGACCATCTGCTTCCCACAGAAAGGGGATCTCACTCAATCTGTCTTTCACCTCCCACCATTTTAAGCTGTCCCCCCGCCCTGCAAAATGCCAGACGTGCACCAAATCCCCCCCCCCCCCCGCTGCTTTGAGCTGGAACAAGACTTGGCTCCTTCCCCAGGTTCTTTCGATACTCGTCTCCACACTTTAGGGATGGATCTCTGGCTGCTACTTTAATTGGACAGAAATACAACTTCCTTCTCCAATCTCCCCCTCACCACTTCTGCTTCTTCCTTTTTCACACACACACTCCCAAAAAAACCCCACCACGCTGAGGCACATGGCATGGAAACCAATCTGCGATCAAAAGAGGCTTAGCGTCAAGGTTTTCTCCAAACTGCCGGGTGGGTTTTGCCGGCGGGAGTGATTTTTCGCAGTGAGCCAGAGGGAGCCAAGGTCACTTTCAAAAGCGATTCCTTCCTTCCTGATGGCAGCTCAAGGTACCAGGGCCTGCATCTCATAGAATCAGAGTTGGAAGGGAACCTCAGGGGTCATCTAGCTCAACCCCCTGCATTGCAAGAATCTCAACTAAAGCATCCCTGGCTGATGGCCACCCAACCTCTGTTTAGGAACATCCAAAGAAGGCGAGCCCACAACCTCCCGAGGGAGCCTGTTCCACCATCAAAAGGCTCTTACTGTCAGAACGTTCCTCCTGGTGTTGAGTAGGAATTGTGCTGGGCCCGGGGTAACCTATGAAACGCAGTCCAGGACTGGTCCAGAATCTGTAGGTACTGCTGGGAGTCAGTCTGACAGGGCCAAGGCAGGACACGAGGCAGGAAACCAGGCAAGGACAGGCGCAGGATCTCAGGCAGGATCTAGCATGCAGCAATGTTGCTCCCGCAACCTGCGGTGGGGTCTGACAGCCTTTTATCTCTGACGGGGTAACGGCCGGTCCTGATCCCCCGGCGACTCACCTCCCTGTTTCGCCCAAAGGTGAGCACTCCTCCTGCGAGTACTCAGGTCTCTCCTTCTCTCAGACCTGAGTCTCTGCAGCTCGGGAGACGTCGGTGGGTGACTAGACCCAGGGGCCACCTCAGCCTCCTCTGGAGCAGCTGTAAGTGATGGCCCAGCTGGAGGCAACAAGGTCATCCCCGCATCTGGAGCCAGGGCAGGCTCAGGGCCCGGACTCGGCCCAGCTGGTGCTTGTTGTAGGGGAACCTGTGCAGACTGGGGCTCTTCAGGATCAGGCCCCAGACTTGGTTCAGATGATGCCTGAGGCAAAGGATCCAGTGCGGACTGAGACTCCTCTGGGTCCGAGTCCCAGGCCATCACAGGAATCTCCTGAAAAGGACCTGAAGGCCAGCTTGTTCCATCCTCCATGTGATGGCTCTTCAGATATCTGAAGGTGGCTCTCATTCCACCTCTCCGACTTCTCTTCTCCAGGGTAAACTTGATCCGTGTGGGACTGGAAGGGCCACTGGCCTGATCCAGAAAGGCCCTTAAGAACCTAAGAAGATCCTGCTGGATCAGGCCAGTGGTCCATCTAGTCCAGCATTCTGTTCTCACAGTCGAAAACCAGATGCCCATTAGGAGAAACCCCCAAGCAAGACCAAAGCCACACAGCAACTGTGGCCTCCAGCAACTGGCATTCAGAAGCATTGCCGTCCCAACTGTGGAGGCAGAGCTTGGTCACTGTGGCGAGGAGCCATCGATAGCCGTCTCCCCTGCCATGAATTTGTCTAACCCCCTTTCACAGCCATCCAAGTTGGTGGCCATCACTGCCTCCTGTGGCAGGCAGTTCCATAGTTTAACACAGGATGAAATCCTTCCATTTATCTGTCCTGGATTTTCTCCCAGCATTCAGCTTCACTTGGGTTGCCCTTTTCTGTACACACAAGACAATGATTCCATGGCAACGATTCCTGTTCTCCTCAGAAGAAGGCTTCCTATATACAGTGGTACCTCGGGTTAAGTACTTAATTCGTTCCAGAGATCCATTCTTAACCTGAAACTGTTCTTAACCTGAAGCACCACTTTAGCTAATGGGGCCGCCTGCTGCTGCCGCGCCACCAGAGCACAATTTCTGTTCTCATCCTGAAGCAAAGTTCTTAACCCGAGGTACGATTTCTGGGTTAGCGGAGTCTGTAACCTGAAGTGTATGTAACCTGAAGACTATGTAACCCGAGGTACCACTGTACAGTGGTACCTCGGGTTAAGAACTTTGCTTCAGGATGAGAACAGAAATCACGCAGCGGCAGCAGGAAGCCCCATTAGCTAAAGTGGTGCTTCAGGTTAAGAATTGTTTCAGGTTAAGAACGGACCTCCAGAATGAATTAAGTTCTTAACCTGAGGTACCACTGTACATTTTAAAAAACAAAAGCATCAAAACATATTCCCCGTCTTCTGGTCGGGGCTGATGGGAGGAAACATTCACTTGCTGCTGAGCCCAGTCATGCAGACCTCCCAAATGTCTCTATTTTCCAGGGACAGCCCTGGATTTACCGAAGCCGTCCCAGTTTCCGATTTGACCCTGGAATGTCACACTTTTCCTTAGGACCTCCCTATTTTCATTGGAGAAATGTTGGAGGGTATGGAGTCATCTGCCCCCACCAACCCATCTGAAGGGAAGTTTTTAAATGTTTAATGTTATGAGGAGAGTGCAAAATATGGTTTGAAGCTGAACATCAAAATAAATAAATAAAATAAAAATAAAAGAGAAGATTGTGGCCACTGGTCCCATCACCTCCTGGCAAATAGAAGGGGAAGAAATGGAGGCAGTGAGAGATTTTACTTTCTTGTGCTCCATGATCACTGCAGACGGTGACAGCAGTCACGAAATTAAAAGACGCCTGCTTCTTGGGAGAAAAGCAATGACAAACCTAGACAGCATCTTAAAAAGCAGAGACATCACCTTGCCAACAAAGGTCTGCATAGTGAAAGCTCTGGTTTTCTCAGTAGTGATGTATGGAAGTGAGAGCTGGACCATCAAGAAGGCTGATCGCCGAAGAATTGATGCGTTTGAATTCTGGTGCTGGAGGAGACTCTTGAGAGTCCCATGGACTGCAAGAAGATCCAACCTCTCCATTCTGAAGGAAATCAGCCCTGAGTGCTCACTGGAAGGACAGATCCTGAAGCTGAGGCTCCAAGACTTTGGCCACCTCATGAGAAGAGAAGACTCCCTGGAATAGACCCTGGTGCTGGGAAAGATGGAGGGCACAAGGAGAAGGGGACGACAGAGGACGAGATGGTGGGACAGTGTTCTCGAAGCTACCAGCATGAGTTTGACCAAACTGCCGGAGGCAGTGGAAGACAGGAGTGCCTGGTGTGCTCTGGTCCAGGGGGGTCACGAAGAGGCGGACAGGACTAAACGACTAAATAACAACATATTATGTTTTTATATATATGTTGGAAGCCGTGCCCAGAGTGGCTGGGGCAACCCAGTAAGATGGGTGGAATATTATTATTATTATTATTATTATTATTATTATTAACACCCCTATTTTCAGTGGAGAAATGTTGGAGGGTATGGTTGTGGCTTTGGAAAACATGCTTCCTTCTGCTGCTCCCTGGCCTGACAAAGCAAGCCGCATCATCAGGACATGATTTATCAGCCAACTTGCACTGACTGCTCTCTTCTTGCCGCCCCAGAACAATTCACCCATTTGATGAACACGGCTTTAGAAAACTGAGGCCTTCCACCGATAGCAATCCCTTCCTGTCTTCAAAACACGCGAGACAGCTTTGCCCTGGGAACAAGCCACCCCTTTCATCTTCCAGCTGCGGGAAAAAATAAATATCTGCCAACTCGGAGGAACAGGGGGCGAGGGGGGTGGGAATGGCTTGCCGAGCGTGGGAGTGGGAGGCATCTGAAATCTCAACCAGCCTTGGGCTCACAAAAAGCATCTATTTCAAGATCAAAACTTGCGTTAGGAAACCAAAAGCGACTCGAGGTGGCAGCAGGAGGGGCGCCACTTGGAATGCTCTTCCTACAATTATATTGCAGGTTAATTAACATTCCTGAATCCTATTAGCGTTCCTCTTTGCCACTACCGTATAATGCTGGTTAGGCTTAGAAACGGCCCTTTTTGGGGTAGGAGAGGCAGGCAGATCTGATCTGTTGCAGGTAGACAAATGAGTAATAATAATAATAATAATAATTTATTATTTATACCCCGCCCATCTGGCTGAGTTTCCCCAGCCCCTCTGGGCGGCTTCCAATCGAGTGTTAAAAACAATACAGCATTAAATATTAAAAACTTCCCTAAACAGGGCTGCCTTCAGATATCTCTTAAAGATAGGATAGCTGCTTATTTCCTTGACATCTGATGGGAGGGCGTTCCACAGGGCGGGTGCCACTACCGAGAAGGCCCTCTGCCTGGTTCCCTGTAACCTCACTTCTCACAATGAGGGAACCCCCAGAAGGCCCTCGGTGCTGGACTTCAGTGTCTGAGCTGAATGATGGGGGTGGAGACACTCCTTCAGATATACTGGACGGAGGCCGTTTAGGGCTTTAAAGGTTAGCACCAACACTTTGAATTGTACTCAGAAACGTACTGGGAGCCAATGCAGATCTCTCAGGACCAGTGTTATGTGGTCTCGGCAGCCGCTCCCATTCACCAGTCTAGCTGCCGCATTGTGGATTAGTTGCAGTTACCGGGTCACCTTCAAAGGTAGCCCCACATAGAGCGCATTGCAGTAGTCCAAGCGAGAGATAACCAGAGCACGCACCACTCTGGCCAGACAGTCCGCAGGCAGGTAGGGTCTCATCCTGCATACCAGGTGGAGCTGGTAGACAGCTGCCCTGGAGAGAGAATTGACCTGCACCTCCATGGACAGCTGTGAGTCCAAAATGACTCCCAGGCTGCGCACCTGGTCCTTCAGGGGCACAGTTGCCCCATTCAGGACCAGGGAGTCCCCCCCCCCCACACCTGCCCCCTTTCCCCCAAAAACAGTACTTCTGTCTTGTCAGGATTCAACCTCAGTCTGTTGTGCACACGGTAGGTTTTGCAAAGGATTGAAAGGTGCATTCAAGAGCTCTTCCAAACTTCTTTTGTTTCGGGGTTTGTTTTGAATATTCGTAGTCCGATCTTCATGCCTACAAAGCATGCCTTGCACCTTCCTATTTTTTTCCTGCTGGTGCAGAAATGGCCTGACCTTTTCCTTTTGGCCACTGCCCAGGCCATTTCCAGAACCAGACTCTTAACCTTAGAGCATCGGGATCTGACTTGGATCAATTTTGGTCTGTGGCACAGGGACTTCACCTGGCCATTAGACTTGCCAGATAAAGTCGATAAAGGGCAGGCAAGTTCTGCAGAATCTGAACATTACTGGTGTGGAAAGAAGCAGGCCTGTGGTTTGCTTGAGTCCCTCTGTCTGACGCTGATTCAGAAGGGACTCCCTCACAAGGAGTCTTTGGTTGTGGGTTTTTACACAGAGGTCGGGTGGCCTTCTGTCAAGGGTTCTTTAGCTATGGTTCCTGCATTGCAGGGGTTGGACTAGATGACCGTCAGGGTCCCTTCCAACTCTGCTGTTCTATGATTCTGTGATGTGGAATGTGCTGGACAAAGGTAAAGGTAAAGGTAGAGGTAAAGGGACCCCTGACCATTAGGTCCAGTCGTGGCCGACTCTGGGGTTGCAGCGCTCATCTCGCTTTATTGGCCGAGGGAGCCGGTGTATAGCTCCCGGGTCATGTGGCCAGCATGACTAAGCCGCTTCTGGCGAACCAGAGCAGCGCACGGAAACGCCGTTTACCTTCCCGCCGGAGCGGTACCTATTTATCCACCTGCACTTTGACGTGCTTTTGAACTGCTAGGTTGGCAGGAGCAGGGACCGAGCAATGGGGTGACATCGCGGGGATTCGAACCGCTGACCTTCTGATCAGCAAGTCCTAGGCTCTGTGGTTTAACCCACAGCGCCACCCACGTCCCTTTGCCACCAAATCTACACTGAGTTGTGAAGTTTGCTGAGCCAATCTCTCTCTCTCTCTCTCTCTCTCTCTCTCTCTCTCTCTCTCCCCATTTCCACCTCGCAGGGTTGTTGTGAAGCCAGAATGGGTGGGGGAGCAAAAGAACCATGAGCACCACTTAAAAGAACTCAGAGGGAGGGCCAGCTAAAATAAGTGAACCTACAATATCAAAACAAAACTGTTCCCATTTCTTCAAGTGGAATTATTTGCATTGATTGTGGAGTTTTCTGTTAAAATACCATTGGCTCTGATTCCTCGTGAGGAGAAAACTGTCTGTTCAGGGAAACATGGTGCTTCCGTAGCTGAGCCTGAGGAGCAAGACAGACCTGGGAGCTTTCCTGGGAGCACGTCACATTAAATCCTCTTCTCTATTAGCAAGAGGACCCCTTGCAAAACGAGCAAACAGCCTCCCTAGCAAGTTCATGGACTTTTTATTTAAAAAAAGAAGAAATCTGATATGATAGATGCAAACAGATTAGCAAGGATGGCTCAAGCAAACCCACATCTGTCTCTGTGCAGATCTTCATTTGCCCCGAGCTGGCTAGTGGCACTCTGGATGAATCTCTCCTTCACAAGGTCCCTTAGTTCCAGACTAGCCATGGTCCCTGTCAGAACTTCGCTCGGCCAAGCCGATAAGGCCTCATCTTCCTCTGAGCTGAGCCTTTGAAATCGCCGACGTGTTTAATGACCTGAGCCTTTGATAAGGCCTCAAGCACATTCTATCCAGCAGGGTTCCCGGCACAGGGAAGAGACGAGAGGTTTGGCTACATTGTAAAGAGTTTTATTTCTAAACTACGCAGAACAGAAAAGACATCCTCTCTCTATGAAAGCAGAGAGCAACTGAAACAAAGGAACAAAGGAACCAGGAAACCACTAACGTCACATCCCGTCTCCCTTTCCCGTGAGACTGCAAGGTCTCTGGAATGTAAACAGATTCCTGTGACTCCACGCAGCTGCACAGTGATAACAGAAACTAACAGTCCCAACAAAGCTGAATGATGGATGAAAGTTCAGGATGGATGGAAGAATGCAAATCTTCACATGGCACATGGTCAGACTGAGGAATTGCTGCCCAGGTGGCAATGATGGCCACCAACTGGAATGGCTCTAGAAGAAATTGAGACACATTCGTGAAAGATGAAGCTCTCGGTGCCTACTAGGCAAGATGGCTACAGTTTAACACCAGTGTCGGAGGCACTGGGGTTCAGAAGTGGAGGCAGAGCTGAGCCACCCTGGCTAGGAGCCATCGACCGTCCTATCCTCCTCTAGGGATTCATCCAATCCTCAATTTAAGCCATCGAGGTTGGTGGCCATCACTGTGGGAGGGAGTTCCATAGTTTGTGCTGCTTAAAGGAGAACTTTCTTTTATCTAACCCAGGCATAGGCCAACTCGGCCCTCCAGATGTTTTGGGACTACAACTCCCATCATCCCTAGCTAACAGGACCAGTGGTCAGGGATGATGGGAGTTGTAGTCCCAAAACATCTAGAGGGCCGAGTTGGCCTATGCCTGACCTAACCTGAGTCTTCCAATGGTCAGCTTCCTTGGATGTCCATAAGTTCTAGAGTTAGGAGTCAGGGTGGAAAACCTCTCTTTATCCATTTTCTCCAGGCCATGCATATATATTTTAAAAATAAATTTCTATCATGTCATCACTTGGTTGAATTGCTTTCAAACTAAAAAGTGCCAGATGCTGCAACCTTTCCTCTTAAGGGAGTCACTCCACGCCCTCAGACATTTTAGCTGCCCTTTTCTGAACCTTTTCCAATCCTACAATATCCTCTCTGAGGCGAGGCGACCAGAACGGTACAGCGTATTCCTTGCACCACAGTTAATTGGGGACGGGGGTTGGCTGGTGCACCTCGAAGTCGTTCCCTCCCTCCCGAAGCCACCGTTCTTCCTCTGCCCCCTAAATTAATCCCAGAGGGTGCTTTTCGCTCGGTGGGAGGGCAGGGGAGGCAGTATTATGTAAAAACCATAAATATTCATGCAGATTCCGAGGGATCCCATTCTGGCTGCCTCGACACCGGCATTAGCATTTCTGCTTTTTTGTCAGCAAACCTGAATTGATTTTTGGCTCAGTTTTTAACCTTTGAGGGAAAGCCGCGGTAATGAATTTGTACTCGCTGGGCTTGTGTGCTGAGTGGGAAAATAAGTAGGCGATCGTTTTAAAGGGGAATGACAGCCTTGCTCAGGAGAGGGAGGAGCCGGTGTAACATTCCCAAGCTGATCCAGTGCTGTGCAGTTGATTTGTATCCATTCTGATTAATTAAACGATCACGGAATTGTAGGTTTGGAAGGGACTCCAGGGGCCATCTAGCCCAACCCCCGGCAATGCAGGAGTTACAGCTACAGAATCCCTGGCCATCTGACCTCAACTTAAAAACCTCCTTCTAAGGGAGTCCATTCCTCCATCGAATGGCTCTTACTATCAGAAAACTCTTCCTGATGTTTAGTCAAAATCTCCTTTCTTGTCATTTGAAACCATTGGTTTGGGCCCTAACGTGCAGAACAGGAGAAAACAAGCTTGCTCCCTTCTTCCATGTGACAGCCCTTCAGATATTTGAAGATGGCTCTCATATCGCCTCTCGGTCTCTTCTTTTCCAGGCTAAAGATACCCAACTCCCTCAACGATTCCTCACCAGGTTTGGTTTCCAGACCTTTGATCATCTTGGTCACCTTCCTCTGCACACCTTCCAGCTTGTCAACATCCTTCTTAAATTGAGGCGCCCAGAACTGGACACAGGACGCCAGGTGGGGTCTGATCAAGGTGGAATAGAGATGGACTGCAAGAAGATCCAGCCTATCCATTCTGAAGGAAATCAGCCCTGAGTGCTCACTGGAAGGACAGATCCTGAAGCTGAGGCTCCAAGACTTTGGCCACCTCCTGAGAAGAGAAGACTCCCTGGAAAAGACCCTGATGTTGGGAAAGATGGAGGGCACAAGGAGAAGGGGACGACGGAGGACGAGATGGTGGGACAGTGTCATAGAAGCTGCCAGCATGAGTTTGACCAAACTGCGGGAGGCAGTGGAAGACAGGAGTGCCTGGCATGCTCTAGTCCAGGGGGTCACGGAGAGGCGGACACGACTAAACGACTCATCAACAACAACATGACTTCCCTTGATCTGGACACTTCTGTTGATGCAGACTAGGACTGAATTTGCTTTTTAATAACTCCAGCAATTTCAAAATGCAAAAGGGAAAAGACTTAGGCCCCCTAGATCCCTGGGAGGGGTTCCCCAAAACCTTTCAATTATTCTCATCTTTTAATCTAAAGGGGACCCCAAAACAGCACATGGTTTCAGGAAGAAAAGACGTAATTGTTTTTGATGGTGTGCCTGGAGAACTGGACATTCCAAGTCCCTCCCACAGAAGTCAGGTCCTACTTGGCTGGAGAAGCAAAACGCTCACTGTCAGGGCAATCAATATTCCTGGCTGATTTCCAGGAGAAGAAAGAACTTTCCACTGTCTCAGCCACATCCTCCTGGCAAACATGGGGAGAAGAGGACACAGGGTAGAAAGCACAATATGGTTCAGGCCCAGGATCTCTGAAGGACCACATTCTCCCAGATGAACCTGCCTGGGCTCTGAGATCTTCAGAGGAGGCCCTTCTCTCGGTCCTGCCACCCTCAGAGGGATGCTTGGGGGGGACACGGTGAGAGGGCCTTCTCAGTGGTGGCTGCTCCCAGGCAGCTTTGGAACTCCCTGCCTAGGGAAGCCAGACTTCATGCCTCCTTGTTGTCCGTCTGCCGGCAACTGGAGACAGTTTTATTCTGACTGACTGTTTTTTAAGGAAAGAGCTTTTAATAGTGCAATGCTGTTTTTATGATCTGAATTTTAATATACCTGGCTTTTATGTTTTTGGTTCTGTTCAGAATTTAATTACTTTTAAACAATTATCTTTAACATGTTGTTATCTTTTTTGTGTTTTATCTGTGCTGTTTTAATTTGTGGAAACTCTTCTGGTCTTGGAAAATGTAGATTATAGGCTTTTAAAATACCAAAAATTAGGCCCCCAGGAAGCAGCCTTGAAGCAGAGGCCATAAGAACTTAAGAACAGTCTGGTGGATTGGGCTGAATGGAGCCTATCTAATAGTCCAGCACCCTCTTCTCACGGTAGCAAACCAGCTGCCCAAATGGAAACCCCACAAGCAGGGACCCGAGAGCAAAAGCACACACTCTCCGCCTGAAATTTCCAGCAACTGTCATTCAGAAGCATCACTGCCTCAGACCGCGGGGGCAGAGCGCAGCCATCCTGGCTAGGAGCCCTCAAGAATAGCCCTCACCTCCATGAGTTTGTCCTTTAAAGCCATCCAAGTTTGTGGCCATCGCTGACTCCTGCACAAGGGAGCTTAATATAGCTCTGTGCAAATGGTCAATGGTCTGCTATGTGTGCAACTCATAAGTGCCAGGAGACTCTTGGGTATTGTCAGGGAACTGCCATTGGCTCAGAGGCGAGAAATAGAAGGACAGTTGTGTTACAGGGAGCCTCTGAAAATCTTGCGAAGCAGTTCCTCTTCCGGGCAGGAGGAAAGCCCCACCTTCAGTGGGGAAGAGGTGCAAGGACCAGAGGATGCTGGTGGGAGCCTTCACACCGCTCCTGGGCAAACCAGACAGGAGGGAAACACGCCCTTGCCATCTCCCATCTTGCACAGCAGTTTGGAGCGCAGAGAGGGGAGGAGATGTTTGGGGGTAACGAAACTCTTATGTTGGGGGAGGTCCAAAAAGAGACCACTCCCGGATTCTGCTAGCGATTGAGCCAGACATGAGCTTTGGGGCTCTTCACTGTAAATAGTTTGCACCATAATAAAGCCTGTAAACCACAGGTTGGAGTCCTGCCTGGTTACTCTCGAGCAACTGCAACAGCCACTTGACAGGTATTGACATCAACTGATAAGAAGTGCCTACAGAGGGTGGTAAATACAGCACAAGATATTATGGGCTGTCCCGTGAATCTGCTGGATGAAATAGCAGAAGAAGTTTGACTCAGGAGAGTGAGGAAAATTCTCAGGGATGATTCACACCCTGGCCGGCACTTTCTTGATCTCTTGCTCTCGGGCAGAAGCTATAGAAGCATGACTAGTCGCACCAACAGGGTAAAGAACAGCTTCTATCCGTGGGCTGCTGAATGAAAAGAGAACAACAGGGCGACTAACTTTTGGGTTTGGTGGGTGTGCGTCAGTAAACGAGGGGAATTAAGACTAAGAGAGCTGAGTGGGGGATGCTTGTGTAATCTCACTGTATACAAGTTGTACAAGTGACAATAAAAGATTTCAAAAAGCACGAGGCCTCCTGTCAGGTGTGCCGACCCTCCTTCGCCCTAAATGAGGCAGCTCTGTTCAAACCCATTTGCGCATGCGCACTGCCTTGCGCTGCCTTCTCAGGGAGCGCCGCTTGCTCTCATGCACCCACCACCTCCTGCCCCCAGAGCCGCCCTTCTTTCTTTGGCATCAGCAATCCAGGCCAGGGAAAGGTGGAGGAAACTGTTAAGGAGGAAGATCTGGAGCTCTCTCTCTCCCTTTCTCTCTCTCCTGCTAGGCGTGTGCATGAAATTGCTCCCACGTGCTCTCAGCCCAAGGTGGGGGCCTCCTCCGCGGGAAAATGGTGAGGCATGTATAATTTATAGCGCAGCCCACAAAGCTATCAAGGCAGGCGAGAGAGTCACGTCTTCCCAGCCTGTAAGGAGCCTGAATGAGCTGCTGGCATATGAAACGTCGGATTCTGTCAGGGCGCTGTCAGAAAACCATCAGCCCAACTCCAAGGATTTGGAGCGATGCTCAACTAGGAGTTGCAAGACGGACCCTCAAATGACAGCAGACGTCCTCGCTCTCTTTGGCTGGAGGTTTTCAAGCCCAAGTCGGGAGGCCATCTGCAAGGGATTATTTTGCTGTGATCCCTGCATTCCAGGGGGTTGGGCTGGATGACCTTGGGGGACCCCTTCCAACTCAGTTTTGTGATGCTGTGTGACGTTACAGATATACCTGCTTCCCAAAAGAGAAGCCCTGAATGAACCACGATTTACAGGTGTTCCCGCTAAGCTTGGACTGCAAGCTTTTCAACGAAAGTCCCTGGCAATCTCCTCTTTCTTCTTCCACTGTTCTGCCAGTAAAACTTTGCGACTCTGCAGATGCCTAGAGTCCTTTGCATCCAAAGTTTCCTTTCATACCCAAGGAAACGCAACTTTCATTTCACCAGAGCAGCCTCGGGGCGAGCAAGTATACAACCGATTGGCAAAGGGGGGTTCAATCCTGGAAGGGGCTGGTTTCAAAACGGCGCTGCCTCAGCTTGCATTAATTTGCTTGGCATGTCAACTTGGGCTGGGGCAGCGGAGAGACGTACATCCACGCAGCTCTCCTTGTTGACATCCTCCTATTGATTTTTGGCTAATTTGGTGTGCGCAGGCTGGGCTGTTAAGAAATGCAGGCGTTGGCTGGCTTTTGCAAACAAGCGAAGTTGCGGGGGAAAGGAGAAAGCAGGGAGGGAAGCGGGAGGGAATGAGGAGCGGGGAGATGACCTGGGGGATTTTCTCACACCCAAAGATGGTCTAGACTGGTGGAACAAGAAATAACCCCAAAACTCTCCTCCATTGCCCCCTCCTAATCCACCATAAATGGCCTCGGTTTTCGTTTGAAACAAATCCTCCCCCAACTCTCTCCCCCAACGCTGCCCCAATTAACGGCAATTCACAGAAACCTCACAAGTCTTGGAATAGTTTCATGCTCATCTTCACAAGATGACAGAGCTGCAATTTTACAGACTGGGCTGCGTAGGTTTTATTTTTTTACAAAAAACGCCCAGAGGATTTAGGTGTTGGGAGGGTTTTTGGAAGGCATTAATAATAAAGACGATGGCCGCAGACAGCCAGCTCAACTGGGTTTTAGCTATTAATTGATAAGGAAGCACTCTGCAGGCTAATCGGTGCTCCTGTTGTAGGAGAATGACAAAAAGGGATGTTTTCTCACCAAATAACCTTGATAGCTCTTGGGAAGAATGAAAAGGACTGAACGTCCTCATAGCGGATTAGGAAATGCTTTCTACAGCTCTCGCATTTGAGCTGAACTCTCCATCACGTATATCTGAACGGGGTGAGGTTGAATGCTGAGTCTCAGGCCATTGGGCAGAGGTTGGAGGGTCATCTGTCAAGGGTGCTGTAGCTGAGATCCCTGCATTGCGGAGGGTTGGACTAGATGACCCCCGGGGTCCCTTCCAACTCTACAGTCCTATGATTCTACAGTCCACTATCTACACTGACCAACAATGGCCTTCCAGAGTCTCAGACAAGAGAGGTCTCCCACCACTACCTTTGTCGAAAGTGGGGGTGTCTGGAATTGAACCTGCAGCCTTCTGCATGCAAGAGGACTCCCAGTGGGATGAGAATTCTAAGGTGTCCTAAATAATCTGAATATTCCTAAGTGCACAAGCTAAACACACTTAAACCACATGTCTGAAATAGTACAGATCAACAGTTCTGAAGCCATCTTGACTCTTTAGTGACCCCAACTATTCCTCTGCAGAAGGAAATATCTTGGGAAAACCTCTCCCAATAGTTCTTTCACTTCCAAATCCTTCAGATCCTGTCTCAATGTAATATTTGTTGTATGAGTAGGGTTGGCCTGTGACCTGGATTCAAGAACTAAGGTATTGAGCATCTCAAAAGTATAGCCTAGACTGGCCAGGTAATGTACTCAGTGACCATTATCTGGTATCCTGGCAGACAGGAGAGAAACCCCACTCTCAAATGTCTGTTGTAGACCACCTCTCTCTGTGATGTATGTATGATGCTTTTAGGGTGGTCTTTGGCTAAGGGGTTGGGCAATTTCTAAAGACTTTAAAAGTTCTTGCACACCTTTGTTCTGGATCCTCACTTCCTGGCAAGAAGCGGGGTGTATTCTTTAGCAGTAGCAAAATAAAGATCTGGCTTGCTTTCACTGGATCCTGCCTCCATCCATTCTTCTCTGACCAGTCATGGACTTAGCAGACTAAAGGTCCCTTGATGGAGAGTTGGGCTTCAAAAGCCAACCCTCCTTTTTCTGTAACACCACCTGTCATTCCCATGCTAGACACCTGGCACAAGCTCAGTGAAGCATTGGCCCTTGCACCACCTTTAGAACATAAGAAAAGCCTGCTGGATGAGGACAAAGGAACTATGGTGGCTCATCTACCAGAAGTAATATATTTAGCGTTAACTCTGGATGTGTAGACTCAGTTCTGACCTCCCAGAGCAAAAGCCCCCTAACCCTAACCCACCCCCTAACCCTAACCCTAGGAGGCTTAGTTTAGTCAGAATCAAGTAGACACTTTCCCAGAGTTAACGCTAAATATATCACTTCTGGCCAATGAGCCACCATATCTGCTAGAGGGCTGTGAAAATTTGTGTCCTGGGCTTTTTAGACTCGTCTATCCATGTACTATCTGAAATCAAGAGGGTGCCTTGGTTGCCAGAGGTGATTTTTTTTCTTTCTTTCAGCTCCCTTCCCCCACTAAAAGGTGCATCTGATGCTACCAACAGGGCAAAGGCCACGGGGCAAATGCAACAACGGTAATCTTGATAAATCACCATTGTACAGCAGCCACCACCAACCTTGTGATCTCCAGATGCTGTTGGCTCAAACACAGAACAAAGTTCTCCTGCAACTGAGCTGGCAAACGTAAATAATGCGCAATGTGCCCCATGGTAGTATATGTTCAAACTACTCTCACGAGGGATGAAAGTTGTTTATCAGCCCTTACTAAATACCCAATTAGGAGAGTTTTGATTCTCAGGGGATTCCAGCAGGGTGCCTACAATGGTCTAAGAGAGAAATCCCTATTAATCTGAGAGCCCAAATGACACCCCAGCGACTCTGCTGGTTGTTGTTCTTTTAAATGAACCTGAGAATGGATGTGTCATTGGCTGGCTCCAGCCAGCTATTCCTATGATTCCTACATTGCAGTGGGTTGACCTAGATGACCCTCAGGGTCCCTTCCAAGCCTACAGTTCTATGATTCTAGTAGTTGTTGTTGTTGTTTAGTCGTGTCCGACTCTTCGTGACTCCATGGACCAGAGCACGCCAGGCACTCCTGTCTTCCACTGCCTCCTGCAATTTGGTCAAACTCATGCTCGTAGCTTCGAGAACACTGTCCCACCATCTCGTCCTCTGTCGTCCCCTTCTCCTTGTGCCCTCCATCTTTCCCAGCATCAGGGTCTTTTCCAGGGAGTCTTCTCTTCTCATGAGGCGGCCAAAGTCTTGGAGCCTCAGCTTCAGGATTTGTCCTTCCAGTGAGCACTCAGGGCTGATTTCCTTCAGAATGAAGAGGTTTGATCTTCTTGCAGTCCACGGGGCTCTCAAGAGTCTCCTCCAGCACCAGAATTCAAAAGCATCCATTCTTTGGCGATCAGCCTTTTTTATGGTCCAGCTCTCACTTCCATACATCACTACTGGGAAAACCAGAGCTTTCACTATACGGACCTTTGTTGGCAAGGTGATGCCTCTGCTTTTTAAGATGCTGTCTAGGTTTGTCATTGCTTTTCTAGTAGTACAGCTTCACAGATTAAACTAGCAAAGAAAATGCTTGTCCTTAATAAAATAATGGGGCCTTTCTGAGTTGCGTGTTTTACTGAATTTCAGTCTCCTGGGAAATTCAGCGCTGGGGGGGGGGGCGGCTTGGCCAGGAAACCCTTTTAGGGGCTTAGAAATCTGCAGCCTCCTAAACCCAAAGCCGTTTTCTATGGCAAGTGCTTGTGTAGGGTAGAGCCCAGTTAGTCAGCTTGCATCAATTACGTACTACCGTTGGTTGGCAGATATATATTGGTGCAGAGTGTAAAACAAGTGGTAAATAGTGGAGTCAAAAGCCCGTGAAACACAAGAGGTGCAGCTTCTGACATTTCTGTGTGGAAATTGCATGGGCTCCAGCCCACCAAGACCCACGCAACAATAAATCTGTCGGTCTTTAGTGGTTCCTTGTCATCTCTGCTGCATCAGACTAAGTGGGACTTCCACGCTGCTGCTATTTTGGAGGCTCAAAACTCAGGTTGCACAATTATGGTCAATTAGCAGCAAACCCCAAAGATAGATTTATTTTTTTTTGCAATAAGTGACCAAAAACAACAACAACACCATGCACACACTGGGAAGTGTGTGCTAATACTTGCTTTGAGGCAACAGTCACCCAAACTCCCTGCATGTAAATCAGAGCAAGAGGCAGCGGGGTGTAGTGGTCAGAGTGTCAGACTAGGATCTCGGAGACTCGGGTTCAAATCCTACCACTAGACCATAAAGCTCACTGGGCCAGTTGCTGCCTCTCAGCGTAACCTGCCTCACAGGGCTGTTGTGAGGATAAAATGAGGAGCAGGAGAACCATGACAGCTCGAGCTCCTTTGAGGAAAAATCATGGAATTGCAGAGTGGGAAGGGACCTTGGGGGTCATCCAGCCTGACCCCCTGCAATGCAGGAATCTCAACTAAAGCATCCATGACAGAGGACCATCCAAGGTGGAATGTAAATGCAAGGTAGTACGTAGTAAGTATCATAAGAAGAGGTTGCTGGATGGGGCCTGTAGTCCCTCTAGGCCAGCATCACGGTGGCCAACCAGACGCCCCTCAGTGGGAAACCTGCAAGCTGAAGATGAGCAGCAGAGTAACTCTCCATCCCTGTGGTTTCCAGCAATGGGGTAGCATGGAAGCAGAGTAGAACTAACATAGCCAGAAGCCTCCTGCTCCTCCATGAATTTGCCCAAACCTCTTTGAGAGCCGCCCAAGTTGGAGGCCATCTCTTCCTCCTGTGGCAGGGAGTTCCAAAGTTTAACTCTGCTCTGTGTGTGAAGAAGGTCTTTCTTTCATCCGGCTCAAATAGATAGCCTCGTCTAAGCTCCCTGCAACTTAACTGGGAGGATTCGTAAAAAACTGGTCATCTGGAAGCACAATGCAGTTGTGCCTTGGTTTTCAAACGCCTTGGGAGTTGAACGTTTTGGCTCCCAAACGATGGAAAAACCGTAAGCGATTGTTCCAGCTTTCGAACGTTCTTTGGAACTCGAATGTCCGACGTGGCTTCCACGGCTTCCAATTGGCTGCAGGAGCTTCCTGCAGCCAATCAGAAGCCGTGCCTTGTTTTGGAAGTCGAATGGACTTCCGGAATAGATTCTGTTTGACTTCCAAGGTACCACTGTATCTCTCTAGAATTTGTCCCTGTCTGGGGGGTTTATGCCCAGATTACGCGGGATAATGCATATAGCTGTGGATATTTCATCACTGCATCATGCAACTCATCAGCCTTCCAACATAGCAAAGCATCTGTCCTTTGCAGCTGAGACATCAGGCCTGGGAGATATTTCAGAATCTCTTTGTGTGTTTCGTTCCAGGGCTTTGAAAGCAGGACATCTGTTGCCCAGATCCTTTCTTGGTCCTCCCTCTGACAACTGGCAAACTCCACCGCATGCCAAAGACTCAAATATTTGTATGCGGAGTTTGGGCAGATCGCAGAACCCAGCTTTTCCCACCGCAGAATCTGGAGGGGGATTGCAGACAAGGAGGATGTGTAACTTTATTTCATGAAATTTGTTACACCTCTTGACTGTTTAAGAGAACAACAACTCAAAGTGGTTTACAAAGAGAATAAAACCAGAACATTATAGTAAAAGGAACTCTAGTTGTTGTTGTTTAGTCGTTTAGTCGTGTCCGCCTCTTCGTGACCCCCTGGACCAGAGCACGCCAGGCACTCCTGTCTTCCACTGCCTCCCGCAGTTTGGTCAAACTCATGCTGGTCGCTTCGAGAACACTGTCCCACCATCTTGTCCTCTGTCATCCCCTTCTCCTTGTGCCCTCCATCTTTCCCAACATCAGGGTCTTTTCCAGGGAGTCTTCTCTTCTCATGAGGTGGCCAAAGTCTTGGAGCCTCAGCTTCAGGATCTGTCCTTCCAGGGCTGATTTCCTTCAGAATGGAGAGGTTGGATCTTCTTGCAGTCCATGGGACTCTCAAGAGTCTCCTCCAGCACCATAATTCAAAAGCATCAATTCTTCGGCGATCAGCCTTCTTCATGGTCCAGCTCTCACTTCCATACATCACTATTGGGAAAACCAGAGCTTTTACTATACGGACCTTTGTTGGTAAGGTGATGTCTCTACTTTTTAAGAACTCTTTTTAAGGAACTCTTAGCAAGTGCCAAAAAACGTACAGTGGAAGCACCTGGGCTGGCATCAACAGGCAGGGAGTTCCAAAGATCACGACCTTACAAATGTGGAACAGGGACTGTGTGGCACCGCAGATCTCACCTGCAGCCAGATATCCTACAGGAGAAGCAGACGGACAGATGTAAATGGCACACACACACACACTCTCGCTGGCTGTGAGAGCAGCCTGGGGAAAGGGTGCAAACTGCCCCTTCCTACTTGGTCCTCTGCAGGCCTGCTCCCCAACTCAAGAACTGCTGTACCCCCCCAATGACTGAAAACCCTACTCAATCCATGCTGACAAATGGAGGTTTTGAGCAGAAGTTGGGTTGGCATCTGTCATGGATTTCCGAGCTGCAATCCTTCCACTGCAGCGGGTTGGGCTGGATGACCTTTGGGGTACCCTTCCAACTCAAGAATTCTGTAATTCTAGCAGCCTGTGTCTGTTCAGGTCAGGGAGAGAATAGCCAGAGTCCCATCAGCATTCATTGGAAGCCAGAGGCCCTGGCAGCCCCAATATCCATGCTCTGCTCGGAATAAAAAGCGAATAAAACAACGGGTGTCAGTACAGATAATAGGAATCCAAGGCCACAGAGCAAAACCTGGGCTACATTAATACAAAAGCCTTCTTAACTACGCCCCAGGGAGTCTAGGGCTGGGAGAAGGGGGGGGGGGTTATATTTCATTTTAATAGACTGCAGCGGCCTCCGTGAGGAGGGTGAGAAAACATCAAAGCAGCTCCTGTCTTGGCACCCATCATATTTGCCCCCCCCCGAGGCCTCCCCCCCAAAACAGTCTTTGCACATCCAAAGGGGGAGGCGAGAGGCCAAGCAAGGAAAGTAAACACCCCCCCCCCCCGTAAGAACACTGGATCAGGCCAGTAGCCAACCAGATGTCCCAGGGGGAAACCAGCAAGCAGGGCTGGAATGAAGTTGTTTTTCCCCATGATCTAGCATTCAGAGGTAGACTGTACCTGGGCATGGAGGTTCTGTTATCGCAATGGACATTCACCAAAAGAGCCAGGCAGCTGGATCAGTCCAGTGGCCCATCTGCTCCAGCCTCCTGCTCTGACAGTGGCCAACCAGATGCCCCTGTGGGAAACCAGCAAGCAGGATTCGAACCCAAGAGCAGCTCTCTCCTTCTGTGGTTTCCAGCAAATGGTATTCAGAAGCATTTCTGCTTTCGACTGTGGAGGCAGAGCAGAGCCAGCAAGGCTAATAGCCCTCTCCTCTTCCATGAACTTGCCCAATCCTCTTTCAAAGCGGCCCAGGTTGGTGGCCATCCCTGTCTCCTGAGGCGGGCAGTTCCATAGTTGCTACACTCCATTGGGTCTAGTCTGGGGATTTAAACAAGTGGACGCAGTACTGCCTCTTTAAGGGCAGAGGGCCACCCTCCGCCACACAAAGAGACATCTTCCACACCTGTGACCCATTCAGCTCCCAGATGGATAAGCAGCCCTTTACCTCGAGTGTTTTAGTCTTCTTTGAAATGTTGGGGGTTGGACTAGATGACCCTCAGGACCCATTCCAAAGCAACAATTCTTTGATTCTATGACAATTGCCTGGAGACAGAATTTTAGAAGGCAATTAATAAATCAATTTAGTAGGGACGCGGGTGGCGCTGTGGGTTAAACCACAGAGCCTAGGACTTGCCGATCAGAAGGTTGGCGGTTCGAATCCCCGCTCAGTCCCTGCTCAGTCCCAGCTCCTGCAGTTCGAAAGCATGTCAAAGTGCAAGTAGATCAATAGGTACTGCTCCGGTGGGAAGGTAAACGGCGTTTCCGTGCGCTACTCTGGTTTTCCAGAAGCGGCTTAGTCATGTTGGCCACATGACCCGGAAGCTGTACGCCGGCTCCCTCGGCCAATAAAGCGAGATGAGTGCCGCAACCCCAGAGTCGGTCACGACTGGACCTAATGGTCAGGGGTCCCTTTACCTTTACCTTTAGATGAGGTCATGAGAAGAGAAGACTCCCTGGAAAAGACCTTGATGTTGGGAAAGATGGAGGGCACAAGGAGAAGGGGACGACAGAGGATGAGATGGTGGGACAGTGTTCTTGTGGGGGTTTTTTTGGTTTTTTTAAATGATGTTTATTGAGAATTTTAAAATTACAAAAAAAAAAAGAGAAAAAGAAGGAAAAAACAAGAAAGAAGACAGGAGTGCCTGGCGTGCTCTGGTTCATGGGGTCACGCAGAGTCAGACACGACTAAATGACTCAACATTGACAACCCAGATGTTTAGAAAGCTGATACGAGTATTAACCTGCTTTTACTCTGCTGTTCTCTTAAGTTTTCAAAAGTCTTAAATTATTGCTCTCAATGGTTTGTACAGTGGTACCTCGGGTTAGAGACTCTTCAGGTTACAGACACTTCAGGTTACATACGCTTCAGGTTACAGACTCAGCTGATCCAGAAACAGTACCTCGGGTTAAGAACTTTGCTTCAGGATGAGAACAGAAATGGTGCTCCAGCGGTGGCAGCAGGAGGCCCCATTAGCTAAAGTGGTATCTCAACTTAAGAACAGTTTCAGGTTAAGAACAGACCTCCAGAACGAATTAAGTTCTTAACCTGAGGTCCCACTGTATTGTTCAGCGCTACAGGTTGCCTTTGTCAGCGGGCGAGATCACCGTGTCTCACTGATCAGCTCCTGCCCGCCTTCAATGTGTGTTTGGAGCTCAGAGCATCACTCAAAAAGCAAAAAGTAAAAGAAACCAACCCTCTGTTTTGTAAGCCACTTTGAAGTACATTTGATATTTAACTTCAAATGGCGTATAAATTTTATGAAATTAATAAATAGTAAATAAAATCACAATTGTGTGTGGACGGTCCAGTATAAATCCGTCGCCAATAAGACAATTGCTTCCCTTCAGGAAAGCTCACCAGTCCAGGTGAATCCCGCAGAATCGGCTTTCCATCCTGGATTCAATCTGCAGTGAATTAAAGGCCTTCTCTTAGATGGCTCCTAATTTTCAGCTGGCACAGGGTGTGATTAATCACTCCACTGACCTTATCTGAATTCCATCTCTCTGGAAGAACAAGATAAGTTTGGGGATTTATCGTGCTCCAGCTTCATTATTAATAAGGCCGCCCACTGTACATTTTAATGCTTCGTTGACAATGGTGTGGAAAACATGGCTGGAAGGAATCTAGGCTGAGTTCTTGGATGTCTGGAACATGGGTTGCCCCCCTTTCTGTTGGTTTCTGTCTGGGGAGACAATGGAGGAGTACATCTCCGTTGGAAGGTTACAGCGTCTGCTGAGATTGTAGAGACCAATAGGGGGCAGAAACCTCCTGACTGCCATTGGCAGAGGGCAATTGCATCACCCAATGCCATTGGCTCGGCTTCTGTGGTGTCACAGAATGTTATCCAGCTGATGAGGTGTAAGGAATGTTTCCAAATACTGAACCAGCTAGGAAAAAAGTAAAGGTTCATTTCACAGAATCATAGATTCGTAGAACTGGAAAGGACCCAAAGGTCCCTTTGTCAGACCCCACCGGGATTCCTTGTCCAGTTCTGGATGCCTCCATTGAAGAAGGATATTGACAAGCTGGAAGGTGTGCAGGAGAGGGCAACCAGAATGATCAAGGGCCTGGAAACAAGGCCTTGTGGGGAGCGGTTGAAGGAACTGAGGATGTTTAGCCTGGAAAAGAGAAGGCTGAGAGGAGATATGAGAGCCACCTTCAAATATCTCAAGGGCCGTCGCATGGAAGATGGAGCAAGCTTGTTTTCTCCTGCTCTGCCATCGTCAGGCACACTCCTCTGCTGCTACTGGGTGCCCAAAAGACGGCTTTAGAGGGTTTGCTGCCAGGAACACGTCCAGCTCACTGCCAGCCCCTTTCATCTGGCCTTCAGTCCCTGCTCTGAAACAACAAACCACTTGGCTCACAGCATATGCTCCTCTCTTTCTCTCCCTTGCCCACCAGAAGAAAAAAAATTCCAGCTGTTTTCTCATCAAAATTAACTCAGCAACAGAACAGAACTGGGACGCCTGTCTTGGGACCTTATAAAATCATAGAATCGGAGAGTTGGGGACATCTATTCCAAGCCCCCTGCAATGCAGGAATTTCAACTGAAGCATCCCTGACAGGGGGCCACCCAACATTGGCTTCGAAACCTCCCATGAAGGCGGGTCCAGCACCTTCTGAGGAACTCTGCTCCATTGCTGAACGGCCCTTACTGTCAGAAGGTCCTTTCTGCTCTTTGCTTTTGGCAAAGCTCGTCTCCAGACAGCACACCAGCAATCCCAGAATCAAAGATGTGGAAGAGGGTTCCTGGGGGCCATCTAGTCCAGCCTAAGAAGTGTCAGGAGCTCGTCCTACACTCAAGGAGGACCCTGGCAGAGACACATGCGCGACTGGCATGTTCCCTCCCTCCTGGTCGATCGTTCGGGAGCTTCAAAAGCTTTCTTCTGCCTGAACATCACAGCGACCGGTACCAACAGACACCGGCACACCTAGGGATCCGCAGAGTCTTCGCAGCTTGCGTGACAGACCTCAGCAACATCAGCACTTTGGCTATTCTACTTTATTTACATATAAACACACACAGAGCACCACAACATGGCTGCTTCTCTCTAGCATCAGACAGCAAAGAGAGAAAGAACAAAGGACAACAGTCCCCCTTCACTGAACACACAACACAAACACCCTGTCTCAGTCACTTCCCACTTTGTGGAGTCAAAACGTACACCGTCATGTGATAGACAGCAATCCCATGACTGCAATCATGGAGCAGGAATTCTAACAAGTAGAGCATGCTGGATGAGGCCAGTGGCCCATCTAGTCCAGCATCCTGTTCTCACAGTGGCCAACCACAGTGCCCATTATGGGAAGCCTGCAAGCAGGATTCGAACACAAGAGTAACTCTCCCTTCCTGCAGTTCCGAGCAACTGGCATTTGATGCATTATGGGTTCCAGTTGTGGAGGCAGAGCATGACAACCACGGCTGATAGCCCTTGCTAGCCCTCTCCTCCAGCTGGGTCAGTGCTTTAAATATTGTTGTTGTTTAGTCGTTTAGTCTGACTCTTCGTGACCCCCTGGACCAGAGCACGCCAGGCCCTTCTGTCTTCCACTGCCTCCCGCAGTTTGGTCAAACTCATGCTGGTAGCTTCGAGAACACTGTCCCACCATCTCGTCCTCCGTCGTCCCCTTCTCCTTGTGCCCTCCATCTTTCCCAACATCAGGGTCTTTTCCAGGGAATCTTCTCTTCTCATGAGGTACTCTCAAGAGCACCAGAATTCAAAAGCATCCATTCCTCAGCGATCAGCCTTCTTTATGGTCCAGCTCTCACTTCCATGCATCACTACTGGGAAAACCATAGCTTGAACTATATGGACCTTTGTTGGCAAGGTGATGTCTCTGCTTTTTAAGATGATGTAGCTTTAAATGTAGCCAGACGCAAAACAATCTCTTCCGTTACCTTCCTCCCCCCCCCTAATTTTCTGTGGAACTAACAGGGCCACGAAAGCTCACATGCAACTTGGGTGCAATTACCGGATCGACTGATGGACAGCTCTGTTAACTCCGCATTGTGCTGACACACACAGAGAGAGGTCTCCATTTCTTACAAGCCCGAACAACCTCTAATAGCATCCTTTGCGAGGGGCTGTTCATCCTCGTCCAGCTCAAGGGGCGGCCAAGAAAGCTTATCGAGTTGCTACGGGCAGAAAACGTCCAGAGAGACGCATTTCGCCTCTTCATTTATTCAACGCAAGGGAAAGGACGGATGAAATCAGTCCCTTTCCTCCCAACACCTCCTTCTTGCTGATTCCACAGTTACCCACTCAAAGAGACATTTGTTGGCTTTGATGGCCCCCAGCGCCCAAAGGCCCTCCCTGAAACACAACCATCTCTGCAAAAAAAGCCCTCCCTGCATTATGTCTTTCCAATAACCACAGCAAACAGGATAGGATGGTGAAAAAGGGGTTGTGGGTTTAATATCTCGGCAGGGATCCTTGCTTGCACTTTTATTTTACTTAACAGTGGTACCTTGGTTTACAACCATAATCCGTTCTGGAGGTCCGTTTCTAAACCAAAACAGCTTGTAACCCAAGGCACGCTTTCACCAATGGGGCCTCCAAAATTTTTTGGTTCATAATCCCCCCAAAATGGGTTGTGATCCCAAAAAAGGTTGCAAACCAGGACACGCACTTCCGGGTTTGACGTGTTTGTAATCCAAAATGTATGCAAACCAAGACATATGCAAACCAAGGTACCACTGTATTTTATTAACTGAGCCAACCCATCCATTTTTCCATTTTTGGAGAACCCAGCAGATTCTCGAAAGCTTCCCAAGGATTCCTCAAGGAGGCGATTATCCCCACTTGGTCATGCAGCTCCCCTTGGGAGTAGGTCCTGCTTCCTCACAAACCTGCCTCCCTCAAAGGGTTGTTGTGCAGATTAAATGAGGACTAGGCACTGGGAGACAAGGGTTCAAATTCCCAACTCAGCCATGAAGCTCACCGATGTGCTTGGGGGCCAGTCGCTGCCTTCTCTCAGCCTAACCTACCTACCTCACAGGGTTGTTGTTGCAGGGATTGAGAAGGGGAAGAACCACTTGCGCCACCTTAAGCTGCTTGGAGGAAAAGCTGGGATTTAACAGCAATAAATAAAATAATAATTTGTTGTTGTTGTTGTTTAGTCATTTAGTCGTGTCCGACTCTTCGTGACCCCCCTGGACCAGAGCATGCCAGGCCCTCCTGTCTTCCACTGCCTCCCTCATGCTGGTAGCTTCAAGAACACTGTCCCACCATCTCGTCCTCTGTCGTCCCCTTCTCCTTGCGCCCTCCATCTTTCCCAACATCAGGGTCTTTTCCAGGGAGTCTTCTCTTCTCATGAGGTGGCCAAAGTCTTGGAGCCTCAGCTTCAGGATCTGTCCTTCCAGGGAGCACTCAGGGCTGATTTCCTTCCGAATGGAGAGGTTTGATCGTCTTGCAGTCCATGGGACTCTCAAGAGTCTCCTCCAGCATCATAATTCAAAAATAATAATAGCTAAGCTCATTGTCACCGTGAACATGTGGAGCAGGGCAAGGTTGTCGTCCAGGTGAGAAGAGCTCACTATTCCCTGAAAGTATCAGGGACAGCAACCTTGGATGCATGCTTTGAACATCCCCTCAGTCTCAGGATACAGACCCTCTGGGTCTGGATTTTTCAAGCCAGACCAAGGTCTGGGGTCCCCATCATGGCACCCCACTGCACCCTGGCTTCCTGGGGAACCTGCCAACATCTGCTGCCTCTAATTTTTTTAAAGTGTGGGGTTCAGGTATCCTTTGGGGGGTTATTGTTTGCTTTTGACTAACATTTTTGGCATTTTTTTCTTTTAGGGAGCAGATTCTGGGTATAGACCTCCAGGTATAGGGTGGTATATAAATTCTAATATAATAATAATAATAATAGTAATATTAATATAATTCTGGGCATTGCCAGTTTTTCCTTGTTCAAAGTTTATAAGTTTATTGTTCTAGCTAAAGGCCATGACAAACTTGCAGCAATAGTATTAATAACATAATATGGAACATCCACCCAAACAGCTGTACCTTGGTTCTCGAACAGAATCTGTTTGGGGAGTTCATTTGACTTCCGGAACTGTTCGAAAACCAAGTCACAGCTTCTGATGGGCTGCAGGAGCGTCCTGCAGTTAATCGGAAGCTGCACCAGACATTCGGCCTCTGAAAATCGTTCAAAAACTGGAACACTCACTTCCGGTTTTCAATCGTTTGGGAGCCAAAACGTACGAGTTCCAAAGCGTTCGGCAACCAAGGTATGACTGTAATATAGAAGCCAACTTCCATGATGTAAGAGAGAGAAGTTGACAGAGACACCAACATACCCAAATCCTGCTCGATTTCAGATCAAACCTCTGAATCAACAATTTATAGTGATTAACACATTGTTCCTGATTTCTTTTTCCTGCCAGCGCAGAGAGAATCATCCTGTATCACGAAGCTATTATTCTCACTCAAAAGAAACTGAACCATTTATGCCAGAGTGGGATTATCTTTGGCAAAATGAGTATCTCGCAGCACCCACAACAGCTTCTTAGATTTCTGGATGTGTCTTTGGGCCCAAAATTGTTTTATTTATTTGTTTCATTTATATCCCATGGAGCTCAAGGTGGCCTATGTGGTTCACCCCCTCCTCATTTAATCCCCACAACAATACCCCCATGAGGTAGGCTGGGCTGAGAGCGAGCGACTTGCCCCCAAGGTCGCCCAGGGAGAGCTTCATGGCCGAGTGGGGATTTGAACCCTGGCCTCTGAGCTCCGAGTCCAATGCTCTAACCACTACACCACACTGGCTCTCCCACTACACTGACACAGGACTGGGGGGACTTCTTCCCCAGGTGTCAACATGGGGAGCGGACTGGTCCTTGGTGCACAAAGAAAGAGTCAAACCAACAAAGCGCCTTGTGACATCTTGAAGACTAAAGGTTTTCGTGTTGCAGGGGGCTGGGCTGGATGTCCTTTGGGTTCCCCTTCCAACCCTACAATTCTGTTTCTCTATATGCAGAGTACAACCCTGATGCTGCAAAACCAGGACATTTGTCGAGTCTTTGCTCGTCCACCGGGATGTGTTTAGTTTGTCCAATCACAGGTTTTACAGGGCTGATTTTAGCACATCTTTTCCTAAAAAAAAACCCAATGGAAAGTGCACTAATACTGGAAACTTTTAAGATGCATGATTCTGCCAGTTTTAAGGCAGAACAAGATGTTTAAGTGCAGGGTTATTAAAGATTCCTTCAGGGGCTTTAAAAATTAATAGCTCTTTACCTCTCCGAGATAAAACAAAATAGTAAGCAGCTCGGTAAAAATAAATAAATGCGATTCTCAAAGGGTTTCTTCGCACAACCACAAACACAACACTCAGCCCCACACACTCCCAGATGTTTGCCTGGACTGGAGGTGCAAATGGGAAGATCAGGCTTCCCAGCTGCACAACAAATCAGAAACATGATCCACTGGGTTGAACTCAGAGAAGCCTTGTAAATTAATGGACCTAAGTTAGTCACATCCATTAATTTCATGGAATCGTAGAGTTGGAAGGGACTCTGAGGGTCATCTAGTCCAACCCCCAAGGTTTGCTAAGACCAGAAGGCAGCTTCAAACTAAGGAGGTCCAGCATTCTGTTCTCACAGTGCCCAACCAGATACCCCAAAAGGAAGCCGGCGATCAGGATTTGAACACAAGGGCAACGCTCTTTCCTCTTGCGGTTTCCAGCAGCTGGCATTCAGAAGCATCGCTGCCTGTGGCAGGGAGTTCCACAGTCCCATGGCTTAACTATGTGCTGCACAAATCCAGCACTGACACACGATTGTGTCAGGGACGGATCACAGGCCATTCCCTGAAAGGACATCCGAATCCTGCAGCGCCCGGTGGCTGGATAACTTGAACTCTCCATCCTTCCGTCGCAGGTGGTGTGGGAGGAAGATTGATGCTCAGCCCACGAAGAGGCAAGTAATTACCAAGGCCCTATAATATATTTTACAATTAAAAGGTCTACTCGCCGAAGGCTGATTAGAACTTGTTACTCCAAGCACCTGATTGATGGCGGCTGCCGGAAAACGAAGCTGGCGATCATATAAAACACAGACAAATGGCGTTTGGGTCTCGGGGAGGGATCCGCGTTGACCTGACCGGCCGGCCAGTCTCAGAGCCAAGGTGACCAGATGCAAGGGGAACCAAGGCCTTGTGCCTTTTGCAACTGGGCACAGTCGCTCATGAGCAAAGTCAGGGCTCTACAGAGCGGCAGGCGGCTCCGGGTTCAAACCCAGTTAGAGCAGGGGTGGGGGAACTCTAGTCCGTGTGCCAGACTTGGTCCATCAGGTCTCCCCATTAGACCTATGAGGCCATTTTCCCCAGGAGCCAGAGATTCTTAGTTGTGATTCCTTCATTTCAGTAGTGGTGGGGTGCACTAGATGGCCTTTGGAGTCCCTTTCAACTCTATGATTCTGTGAGCTCCGAAGGTGGTGGAGTCTCCTTCCTTGGAGGTTTTTCAACCGAGGTTAGATGGCCACCTGCCAGGGGATTCTTTCGCTGTGGTTCCTGCATTGCAGGGGATTGGACTAGATGGCTCTTGGAGGTCCCTTCCAATTCTACAGTTCCATGATTTTATGAAGGCAAGGTGCTGTATGTGGTTCTCCCTCCAATAATAATAATAATAATATTTTTATTTATACCCTGCCCTTCCCGGTTCAGAAAACCAGGCTCAGGACGGCTAACAACAAATTTAAAACACTTAATTGAGGCAACAAAAAAACAACATAAAATACAGTATAAAATGTGAATAAAAATAAATTCAGAATTCAAAAATCAATTTAGGGGGGAAATCCATCCAATAAACATTAGATAGTCACCAGGGCTAGCTGGCTAAATTAGTCCTCTTTGGGCCAGCAAGGAGACCGGGGAGAATTAGCTGTGGGATCCCAGAGCGGGTGATCTTCATTAAAGGGGAGAAGGAGGGAAGGAAGGGGAATAAAAGATCAGGCTAAGTTCAAATTGAAAGCCAGGTGGAATAGCTCTGTCTTACAGGCCCTGCGGAAGGAAGTTAAATCCTGCAGGGCCCTGGTCTCCTGGGACAGAGCATTCCACCAGGTCGGAGCCATCACTGAGAAGGCCCTGGCCCTGGTAGAGGATATTCTGACTTCCTTAGGGCCCGGAACCTCTAAAATGTGATTATTCATGGACCTTAAGGTTCTCTGCGGGGCAGACCAGGAGAGGCGGTCCCCGCACAACAACCCTGTGAGGTAGGTTGGGTGGAGAGGCAGCAACCGGCCCCCAAAGTCATTCAGTGAGCTTCGTGACCAAGTGGGGATTTGAACTCTTGTCCCTCCCAGGTCCTAGTCTAACCACTGCTGGCTCTCCATAGTTTCAAGGCTGAGAAAGATGAAGGCTTTCATGATAGCAGCAGCCACCCAGCCCACCTTCCTCCGTGGGCTTCAGCAGGACTGTCCCTACTGGCAAAAGGAAACTCTCCCAGGAATTGATCAGAATCCAACAGTTTTTTGGAGGAGAAGACATACCATCTCGATGCATCTCCCATCCTTAACAGAAGCCGGCATTCCCAAAACCCAAAGCCCTGCCAGGCAGCAGTCTGTCTCTGACAACAGAGCAACTGCAAATAGTAGCACCCCCAAAACCACCCATTCTAGTTGTTGTTGTTGTTTAATCATTTAGTCATGTCCGACTCTTCGTGACCCCCTGGACCAGAGCACGCCAGGCCCTCCTGTCTTCCACTGCCTCCTGCAATTTGGTCAAACTCATGTTCATAGCTTCGAGAACACTGTCCCACCATCTCGTCCTCTGTCGTCCCCTTCTCCTTGCGCCCTCCATCTTTCCCAGCATCAGGGTCTTTTCCAGGGAGTCTTCTCTTCTCATGAGGCAGCCAAAGTCTTGGAGCCTCAGCTTCAGGATCTGTCCTTCCAGTGAGCACTCAGGGCTGATTTCCTTCAGAATGGAGAGGTTGGATCTTCTTGCAGTCCATGGGACTCTCAAGAGTCTCCTCCAGCACCATAATTCAAAAGCATCCATTCTTCGGCGATCAGCCTTCTTTATGGTAGGAAACACCAAAGCAAAAGTATTTTGCAACATGAAAGGCTCCCAGTCTTGGATTTAAATCCTTCAATGTTATGACAGTTGATCTGAGCTGTTTTCTCATTTCCCCCTTCTGGTGCAGAAAACTCTTGCAATTTTTTGTTGTGACTCCAAGACTGATTATCTTTTCTATTGAATGTTTATGTATTTCCAAATTGTGGTTCTCTGTGGTTTCCAGCAACTGAGATTCCAAAGCATTGCTGCCTCCGACTGTGGCTAGCAAACATCGATAGCCCCCTCCTCCCTCGATTTTGCCTCCTCCTCTTTTGCAACCACACTGCCTCCTGAGGGAGGGAGTTCCATCGTTTAATTTTGTGCTGCCTTGATTCTTCCCACATTCAGCTTCACTGAGTGTCCACGACTTCTAGTGGCATCACTGCAGCAAGTTAATCAATTTTGTTGAATTAATTAAACACTTTTAATTGGATTTTCAATAAACGTGCAATTAATTGTTATGCTTTTGAATTGCACTGAGTTATTATCTTCCTTGGGGGGTTGGTCATGCAAGAGTCTATTCTGATTTTTTTCCCAGGGTAGAGGCAACTGGGGATGAGTCGCAGAATTTCAGAATTAGAAGGGACCCTGAGAATCATCTGGTCCAACCCCTGAAATGCAGGAATATGCAGCTGTCCCATACAAGGACTCAACCTGCAGCCCCACGCTCTAACGGAGCTTTCCATGTCGATGGAAGCAAGGGGGCAGTGGCCCCTAAACATTTGGAAAGCCCCAGTATAAAGCACCCATACAGCTTCACAAGCCAGCAAGCTGCCTCCCTGAGCTCGCTGGTACTTGGATGCTCCCCAAAGCTGCTCTCTTCTCCTTCTCTTATGAAGCTGAGGCCATCTGAAGGACCATATTTCCCCCATATGAACCTGCCTGGGCTCAGCGACCTTCAGGCGAGGTCCTTCTCTCCGTCCTGCCACCTTCACAGCCCTGGTTTTCCACTGGGGGGCATCTGGTTGGCCATGGACTGTCTTGACAGAGTGGTGCATGCTCTGGTTATCTCCCGCTTAGACTACTGCAATGCGCTCTACATGGGGCTACCTTGGAAGGTGACCTGGAAACTGTTAGAATTCCTGCTCCATGACTGCAGTCATGGGATTGTTGTCTATCACATGACGGTGTATGTTTTGACTCCGCAGAGTGGGAAGTGACGGAGACAGGATGTTTGTGTTACTGTGTTCCATGAATTGGGACTATTTCTCTCTTTGCAGTCTGATGCTAGAGAGAGAGGGAGCCATGTTGCTGTGCTCCGTGTGTGTTTATATGTAAATAAAGTAGATTAGCCAAAATGCTGAGTTGCTGAGGTCTGTTAAGCCTCTGCAGATCCCTAAGTGTGCCAGTGTCTGTTGGTATCGGTCGCTGTGATGTTCGGGCTGAAGAAAGCTTTTGAAGCTCCCGAATGAACGACTAGAAGGGAGAGAACATGCCAGTCGGGCATGTGTCTTTGCCAGGGTCCTACTTGAGAGTAGGGTGAGCTCCTGACAGAAACTACAACTGATCCAGAATGTGGCAGCCAGGCTGGTGACTGGGAGTGGCCGCTGAGACCACATAACACTGGTCCTGAAAGACCTATGTTGGCTCCCAGTACGTTTCCGAGCACAATTCAAAGTGCTGGTGCTGACCTGGAAAGCCCTAAACGGCCTCGGCCCAGTAGACCTGAAGGAGCGTCTCCACCCCCATCGTTCTGCCCAGACACTGAGGTCCAGAGCCGAGGGCCTTCTGGCGGTTCCCTCACTGTGAGAAGTGAAGCTACAAGTAACCAGGTAGAAGGCCTTCTCGGTGGTGGCGCCTGCCCTGCGGAACACTCTCCCATCAGATGTCAAGGAAATAAACAACTATCTGATTTTTAGAAGACATCTGAAGGCAACCCTGTTTAGGAAAGTTTTTAATGTTTGATCTTTTATTGTCTTTTAATATTCTGTTGGAAGCTTCCCAGAGTGGCTGGGAAAACCCAGCCAGATGGGCAGGGTATAATTAATTAATTAATTAATTAATTAATAATAGTTGTTGTTGTTGTTGTTGTGAGAATCTGTGAGACTCTCCTTATGTCCTTATTTTTACACCCTTAGTTCCTAATATTGAAATGAGATTTCCTAAATTTCTGACTGAGCTTTTCCATCCCAATGGCTTTTATTTTCTTTAGTTCTTTTATGCACAAGACGCTTGCTTTCTCCTTTTTGTGTCTGCGGATATTCAGAAACTCAACGATGAATAATCTGAATGTTTTAATGCAAAAATACAAATCTCGGAGCGGCGAGGTGTTCCTGATTCTGGGTTCTGAAATTGCCAGGTGGGTCTCAAAGACGGTGGTTCCTGCAAACACGGGCAGAGGCAGGACGCCCACGCACCACGATCAATAATGCATCCTGCACGGAGCCCTCAGCCCCTCAAGAAGGGAAAAGCCCCACTTTCTCGAGAGGGAGGCAAGGAAGACGCAGCAAGATTTGCCTTCTCCCTGTCACCTCTCATTTCCATCAAGAGAGCGACTTCCACAGGCCAGAAAGCTTTTAACACGGACTGAGCATCTGGGGCAGAGCTGGAGAGAGAGGCAGTGGGGAGGGGGAGGAAATAACAGACCAGGATTTAGGAAAGCCTCTCCATATCTCTGGAGCAGCATCCCTCCAAAGCAGGGAGCAGTGCCAGCATCCTGCAATGGAGCTGGGAAGAAAGGACCTGGGAAAAAAGCTCCTCTCTGCTTTGTTAATGGCAGCAATGGCTCACATCCAAGCCAGCGCACCATGCACTCATGTTGAGGAATCGAGAGAGGGTGCTTCAGTTTTGTTTTGAGAGGACGGCTCTCCTGGAAGAAATCTGATCAGCATAAACGCTTGGCTTGCAGAAGACACCTTCCGCTCACCTCCCACACAGGTGAAGGAGCCCTGAGACCTCCAGGTACAGGGCGGTACAGTGGTACCTCGGGTTACAGATGCTTCAGGTTACAGACGCTTTAGGTTACAGACTCCGCTAACCCAGAAATAGTACCTCGGGTTAAGAACTCTGCTTCAGGATGAGAAGAGAAATAGTGCAGCGGCGGTGCAACGGCAGCAGAAGGAGGCCCCATTAGCTAAAGTGGTGCTTCAGGTTAAGAACAGTTTCAGGTTAAGAACGGACCTCCGGAACGAATTAAGTACTTAACCCGAGGTACCACTGTATATAAATTCAATGAATGAATGAAGCCCAAGCTCTCCGTTTGTGGCAAACCGTTACCTGATGGCTCCTCCTGACAAACCCTTTCTTGGGTGTACATCCTGATTTGCTTTGCAAAGTTTAGGTGGTGAATCATGGAACTGTAGAGTTCAAAGGGACCCTCAAGGGTCATCCAGCCCAACCCCCTGAAATGCCAGGATCTCAGCTGAAGAATTCCCAGTGGAGCCCATTCCACTGTGCCTAAGACTGTCTCCGCTCTTGGCTGAGCTGAGCAATTTTTCTTCTTTAGTAAATTCACATGCCGCCTTTCACCCACAGATCACAGGGCCGTTCTGATTTGTAACAGAGGCTCTGTTACGCTTCGGGAAATGGAGCACGTTAATCCACTTGGGCCAGTCACTCGAACCCTCAGCCTGACCTACCTCACAGGGTTGTCATGAGGATAAAAATGGGGTGGGGGGGAGGCCAAGCCCACCACCTTGACCTCCTTAGATGAAAGCTGGGGTATAAATCAATCAAATGAATAAATGATAAACCTGAGTAGTTGTTGTTATTTACTGCTATTTATACCCCACCATGGGACGCGGGTGGCGCTGTGGGTTAAGCCACAGAGCCTAGGGCTTGCCGGTCAGAAAGTCGGCGGTTCGAATCCCCACGACGGAGTGAACTCCAGTTGCTTGGTCCCTGCTCCTGCCAACCTAGCAGTTCAAAAGCACGTCCAAGTGCAAGTAGATAAATAGGTATCACTCCGGCAGGAAGGTAAACGGCGTTTCCATGCGCTGCTCTGGTTCGCCAGAAGTGGCTTAGTCATGCTGGCCACATGACCTGAAGATGTACGCCGGCTCCCTCGGCCAATAAAGCGAGATGAGCGCCGCAACCCCAGAGTCGGCCACGACTGGACCTAATGGTCAGGGGTCCCTTTACCTTTATACCCCACCATTTCCCCCCACTGAGGAGTTCAAGGTGGCCTGTACATGGTTCTCCCCCTCCTCATTTGACCCCCTCAACATCAACCCTGTGAGGTAGGCTGAGAGAGGCAGTGAATGGCCACCCAGATCGCCCAGTGGAGGGAGCTGAACCCTGATCTCCCCCAAATCCTAGTCCAGTACTCTAACCATTACACCATTCTCTCTCTTTCAGCAAAATTTTTCAGCAGGGGGCCGATCCACTGTCCCTCAGACCTTGTGGGGGGCCGGACAATATTTTGAAAAAAAAATCTGAACGATTGAGCCGGATGCATCTGATTTCCCCCCAAATATTGTGACCCTCCAGAGCTGCCCTGGTTCGCTTGTCACGCAGCCACCCCTCCGGGGTCTCCCTGCTTTCCAAAACTTCCCTGAAGCCATCACACTTTGCAACGGCCGGTCATATATCAGCCATGTGCTTTAAGGAAAGAGAAAAAGAAAAACATCTCCCATTGCAAAGTCGGTGTTTACAGACGTGGCACAATTACCGCATATCATTCTGCCTCTCAAATCCCTCTCGGAATATACTGCGGATCCTGAATTGCACAGGGAAATGCCATAGCTGGCAGGCTGCTGAGTTTTATGCCCTCGACACAGACAATCACTGCGGCAATTAACATTCTGAAACAGATTTATTCCCTGCCAAGTAAACAGGAGGGGAGGAAAGGAGTCTTTGTTACCGTTCCAAGAGACTCTCATCTGTGAGCGTTGTCGACACTGTCGCCCCAAACCTTCAATGAAGAGGCCTCAGACATAGGAAGGCTTTGCTGGATCAGGCCAAAGGGGGCCTGCCCTTGGAGTCCAACATCCTGTTCTCACAGTGACGCCCATGGGGAACCCACAAGCAGGATCCAAGCGGGAGGAAAGTTGCCCCGTTCCCTAGTCTGGAGGGCCCCACCACTTACTTGCAGCTCTTGCAAACTAGCTCAATTCATTCGGGGGGGGGGGGGGGCTGATGCAGACATCCAAGTGGCCAGCTAAGGTCCTTGCCTTACAAAGAAGCTTGTCTGACTAGTTCAGCCATCAAACCCTTTGTTAGAGTCTAACCCTCACTGGGTGCAGCACCCAAAGAATGGGAAGGGACTCAGGGGTTCATCCAGACTGACCCCCCAAAAATAATAATAATCCCACAACAATACTCTGACATGCAGCTGTCTGAGTGGAGATTCTCTCGTGTTCGGAACACAATTTGTCCTCTGATAAAAGGAGACTTTGATAAAACTGTGATACTGGGTCCAGCTTGGAAATCACCGCAAATAATAATTGGTGTCATGTCACTCTTTAGAGTGGGAAATCGAGCGCCCCAGGATCATTCAGGGCTTCTGTGCAAAAGGACGTGCCGGCTTGCAAGCGCCGCGATTTCAGCAGCGAGCATCAACCGCCTCGTAATGGAAATCCCAGAGTTCTAGGACACCAGAGACATGTCAATTCCCCATAATATGGGCAGGCCTGAGGTGGGAAGAAGGAATCTATGGCTTTGCTTTCTACCCAATTTATCTTGCTGGCGTCCCTGCCAAGAACAGGATTCAGCAATTACCCACTTGCTCAGAGCGGAGCATCTGTTTCAGCGGCTCCGCATCTTCCAGCTACATCTAGATCTCCCTGGCACTAATCCAGCCTCCCCCAGCCTGGTGCTTTCCAGACGTTTCGGACTAAGGTTCCCATCTGCCCCATTCGGCAACAGTGGCGTTGGCTGTGGATGATGGAAGATGCAGTCCAAAATATCTGGAGGGCACCTGACTGGAGAAGGCCACTACAATTCCAAACCCCAAAGGCTCTCTGGGCCTCGAGGAAAAAAGGAAAAAGGGAAGAGCCATCTGCAGTTCCTCAGTGCCAATCCGAATCCTCATCATGTTGCACATTGGAGGCCCAGTGAACAGGCTGGATGTATTTTTTTCAGTGCAAACACAGATACACATCCCTTCTAGGGTCTAAGGTCCGTATAGTTCAAGCTCTGGTTTTCCCAGTAGTGATGGATGGAAGTGAGAGCTGGACCATAAAGAAGGCTGATCGCCGAAGAATGGATGCTTTTGAATTATGGTGCTGGAGGAGACTCTTGAGAGTCCCATGGACTGCAAGAAGATCAAACCTCTCAATTCTGAAGGAAATCAGCCCTGAGTGCTCACTGGAAGGACAGATCCTGAAGCTGAGGCTCCAAGACTTTGGCCACCTCAGGAGAAGAGAAGACTCCCTGGAAAAGACCCTGATGTTGGGAAAGATGGAGGGCACAAGGAGAAGGGGACGACAGAGGACGAGATGGTGGGACAGTGTTCTCAAAGCTACCAGCATGAGTTTGACCAAACTGCAGGAGGCAGTGGAAGACAGAAGTGCCTGGCGTGCTCTGGTCCAGGGGGTCACGAAGAGGCGGACACGATTAAATGACTCAAGTCACAAGAATGGAGATTCTGACTAAACACCAGGAAGAACCTTCTGGCTGTGAGAGCTGTTCAGCAGTGGGACAGATTCCCTCACAAGGTGGTGGCCTCTCCTTCCTTGGAAGTTTTTCAGTAGAGGTTGGGTGGCCACCTTTCAGGAATGCTTTAGCTGTGATTCCTGCATTGCAGGGGGTTGGACTGGAGGGCCTTTGGGGGTCCCTTCCCCACACGACAATCCTATGATATAGCACCCTGTCAGTGCTAAGCCCCAGGAGCTCACCAAGCTTGCTAACATCGCATCTCCTGCCCAATTCCAAGCAAGGACCTTGAACCAACAGAGATGAAATTGGACCAGGTGGAGAGGCAGCAATGATTTACTTCCAACACAGCTGGGAGAGGGGGGAGTCCTCCGCCAAGACACGGGGAGGGGGCCACTCCTGACTGCTTATTATCCTGCAAAGTGATGGAGCAGAATAAAGAGGCCAAGCTGAGACAGGAAATTAAAATGATCCTAAAGGGACATGAGCTGTTTTACTGGGGGGTGGGGAGAGAACACTGTTTAGAACAGGGGGCAGCAACCTTTTTCAGCTGTGAGCCAGTCCACTGTCCCTCAGACCTTGGAGGGGGGGCGGACTATATTTTTGGGGGGGAAATGAACGAATTCCTATGCCCCACAAATAACCCAGAGATGCATTTTAAATAAAAGGACACATTCAGCTCATGTAAAAACACGCTGATTCCCGGACCGTCTGCGGGCCGGATTTAGAAGGCGATTGGACCGGATCTGGCCCCTGGGCCTTAGGTTGCCTACTCCTGGTTTAGAGTTTTTTAAAAATACATATAAAAACCCTCAACAACTTTTGCATAACGATTCCTTGCCTTTATTAGCAATCAGCTTTGATGTGCAACACGAAGCTGTAACTCCTGCATCCCAAACTATCAGCTGCGCAGACTCCCTTCCCCGCTGCAAGGAGATGAGATTTTAAATATTGAAGACTGCACTCTTTGCTTTCCAAACCACTTCCAGTAAATAATTTAATTATCCCTTGCCTACTGAAAGGGAATGAAGAGCCAGAGTTAAGCAGCGAGGGACTTCCTTGTCAGCGGCAAAGCAGATCCGGATTTTGAAAGGATGGGGACGGAGGAGACCTAAATCCTGGAAAAGGCTCCTGGGCCCAGCTCTACACCCCATATAGGAAGGCAGTGGTTTCCAACCAGTGTGCCGTGGTACCCTGGGGTGCCTTGACTGGTGGGCCCTCTTTGCTTCCCCCCCTCCTCTGATGCCCTCTTGTATCTCTGCCTCCCAAAGGCTTGCACAGCTGTTTGTTGCAGCAGCCATGGCTACAAGCGCTGCAGGCGAATGGTGCCTTTGGGGCTGGCCAGGGGGTGCTTCCAAGGCCCCTGTGGGGCAGTGTGAGGAGGCACCTCTCTGTGGGGCAGCTCAGAGACCAGAGGCGGCAGCAGCGGCTGCCCAGAGGACTCCCAAGGAGAGGAGAGGAGGCTGAAGGAACTCTCCACAAGGGAGGGTGTTCGAAAAGGGTGAGGGGATGCCAGCTCTGAAGGCATGGGGTGGCATAACTGGACTCCTGAGCCCCACAGGATGTCACAGAAAGAAGGTAGTTGGTCAAGGGAGCCGTGAACCCCCAAAACTTGAAAACCTCTGTGTGGCGTTTGCCCTCCTATGTGTGTGACATCATACTGGGTTCATAGGGAAAGGGTTAACTAATTGTAAAATGACTAACTAATGGGAACCCAGGGGGCAGAGTTAACAGTGTATAAGTTTAAGCACAGAGGTTTTTTGAGGGAGTTAGAGTTGTTGAGATGACAGTCTGGAGTTAGAAGAGACAGAGAAGATAAGTCTGTGGGCTGGGCTAGTCTGGTGTGAGAGAGGGAGAAAATTTGTTAAGAGGAGTCAGTCACACAGTTGAGATAATCAGTCAGAACGTATTAGGAAGATATAAGCTGGTAAAGAAACTGAAGGTAAGATACTGACAGGAATATTATCTGAGACACCATAAACTTGTTAATGTTTGTAAAATAAGCTTGTTTTTTTTTTGTTTGTTGTTCACTTTTAACAACTGACTGGACTCAGTGTTTTACCTGAGAGTAACTGGTTGGTGGCAGCGGGGAAGCGAGCACAGTGGTGGCGCAGGGATCAATAGACCGTTAAACGTCCGGGGACCCTGTGTGATCGCCACACTCTGTAGTAAGGAGAAACTGGAGGATGAACAGGGGAAGGCAGTTGGGACAGGGAGGGGGTCTGAAAACCACAGGGAGGGGTTGAAAGAGCCACATATGTTTCATCTGGAGAAGAGAACGTCCTTCGTCCGGCACATAACTAAGTATGCAACTGGCTCCCACAAGAGGCAGTGAGGTCCACCACTAGCTTTCAAAGACGATTGGACAAATCCATGGAGGGGGAGAGAGAACGATCAATGGCTCCCAGCCAGGATGGGCCACTTCTTACGTGCGCCAGAGAAGATTTAAGACATGGGTGGGCAACCGAAGGCCTTTCTGTGTATAAGGCTTACATCCAGCAGGATGGGCAGTTAAATAAGTGTATGCCAGGGGACTGTGCCCATGCACAGTGCTGGATGCCCCACAATGCAAAACGATAGAGCCAAGATCTTTCCCAGCTGCATTTTGCGCCTCAAATGCAGGACGGGACGAAAGGCACACCTTAATGACGGCTTTTAATGAGGCAGCAATCAAGCGGAATAAAGTCAAGCATGAACACACCGCTAGCAAACTACCGGTCCTATTTAATAAATCAGCAAGGATCAATTATTTATTTTAAATGAGTCCCCTGGCAGTTAACCTCTCTCTGCCCTTCCACGCCATTTTAAAAAGCAATTGTGCTGGAATCCGTCAAACAGGAAGATTTAAAGCCTCTCCTTGCTCCAATTTCCCACCTTGCAACGCCTGCCCCTTGCCATCCCACCTCCTTCCCCACAATGAACATCGGATCTGGGTAAATTTTGGCACAAGACAAACCCTTCTTCCATCAGTCCATCCAGACACAGAGAACCCCATGCTGGATGCATCACACGCTGCAAAAATAAGATTTATACCATGTGGATTCCCGCCCCCTTGGTTCCATCAACTCATCCCCCCCCCCCCCAGTTCCCACTACCCTATAAAAAGCATCATTCAGAACAGTGGTCTGCATGGTCCACTAAAGAAGAACAGAGCACAAAGAATTCAGAAGAGGAGCAGTTAATTACAAGTTTATTCAAAGCCAGTTAAAACTATTAAACCAAGGGCTGGTGAACGTGGTCTGGCCTGGCGATGCCAGCTTTTCAAAGTCTGAGAGTCATTTGCACCCCCAGCGACTTCCCGCTGCCCCTTAGCACCCCACTAAGAATCCCACCCATTTTGGAACCCACTGGTTTGCACAATAAATGTTCACAAGTCGCTTTCAGTGCGGGGCAGAGCGAGATGAAACAGTAGACAAACACACCCTTGGCACTCATTAAAAACAGATCTCGTTTCACTGGGGATTTTGCTTTTTCTGTGCTCGCACTACTGAACATTGAGAGGCACTTGCAGAACCCCCACCTGAGGTGCCCACTTCCTGTTGCTTCCTGGAAAGGACCAGCTCCAATTGTTCTGATCCCTGTACAGAACTCCTCCAGATTATAATCAATCTATATGCTAATTCAAGGTGGCTCCTCTGCATACAGAATACGGCCCGGCCACAAATGCATCCCGGGACCATGATCTGTCACAGAGACATCATCTTCTGCAAGAGTCGGGCCAGGCCTTGGGGTTCAAGCCCAGGGAACGAGGTCTGGGCAACTGCCAGGCAGCTTCTGCCAGGGTTCCCCTGGAGCTGTGACATAAGGCTGGCAGGACCTTTTGCTCAACTCTCAGCTCTTTATCTCATATACAACATTGCCTCTGCCTTCCCTTTTGTACTTAGGTCAGGTGGAAAAGTGTCACCTTCTTCTCTGCCAGGAGCAGCTGGGGAAAAACACTTAGCAGAGCTTGGTGCCCGTGCGGACAGAGCCCAATAATTCCAATGTTTTTAGGTTACCAGGTCAAGAACGAGAAAGACCCAGAAATTTCAGGGCCCAAATCTGAAACCTAGGGGGAACCCCTGATGATGTCATGGGTGTGGGTGGTGATGAGGTCACAGGGGTGGGCCCTGCAGATGGAGGTTAAATGGGACAGCAAAGCAGAGGACAGCAAACGCACCCACCCCCCAAGTGTCCATGCTATAATTTGATCTGGAGACGGAGGTTAATTGGGAGAGGGGAGTGTCTTTGCTAGAATTTGCAGCCAGCTCCTGTTGAGCTGAAGCTTGCAAACTCCATGGATGGTAATAATCATAACGACCATCATTATTCAAGCCCTCCATCTACCAGGCAAACCGGGACACCATCTCAGACCTGGGGGCTGACAACCCTACTGAGTTATTCAAGGTCAACACTGAGACTAAGGAAGAGGATACAGACAGGCAGTGCTCCCCTGCCCCCCACCCAGGATTGGTTGTAAGGAAGAAGGCAGGCAGATGCTGGCATGACAAGGGGAGGCCAAGGTTGGTGGGGCAGCGCCCCCTTTGTCCTAACCGACTGGCCTCCTCTGCAAACCACTCGACATGTTTTCAGCAAGAAGACCCAGGGAAAGGCAGCCCTGGCCAGCACCTGTGACATCACCGACACACCTTCCCCCTACCCCAAGCAGCTTTGCAATACAGTATATATAGTATGTCTTTAACATATATGAGCTTGTTTAATTTCTTTTTAAGGCAGAGAGCCTAGGTGAAGCCCACGTTCACACCACAGAAGGGGAAAAAATCTTCTGTATTAAAAATATTGTGTCTGCCTTTGTCCTGCCCACTGCTGGATTTACATATAATCTAAACAATCTATAGCTTAGGGCCCCACTCTCTTGGGCCCCCTAAAAAAATTTAAAGGCAAAAAAAACCTGGATGTACATTTCCAAAATATAAGATTAAAAGAAAAGAAAACCTACATGCAGCAACAGTGTTTTGTGTTCTGTAGGCTCCTATGATGTAAGTCATGGGCTCTGTCTGCTAGCCTGCTCCCTCAAATATCTCTGGTTTGCTCCTTTCTATATATTGGGTGCCTACATTCTGCATGTGCAAATGGCTTGAGATACCTATTAGGTCCATCAATTACCATATAGCATATATTCAACACAAAAACAGTGACAATTTGTTGTTGACAAAGGACAGCTGGACATAGAAAGAGCCCCATTACCTTCAGGAGCTGAGGGCCTCATCAAACCTCAATCTGGCCCTGTCCCTGCCCACGAATGCTCAACAAAAACACCCTGGTCCGATCCCACCAGCCCCAGAGACAAGGTCAAAGCCACGCTGTGAACTTACTGAGCTGTAGAGATAGCCCTCGGCGTTCATGGCCACGTAGAGGCCAGCCTTCACCCCCTGAATCGCCACCACACGAAGACCCACGGGGATTAGATTGAAGAGAGCTGGAGGATGGAAGGAGAGAGAGGGGGAAATTAGCTTAAATTGCTAGGAGGAGCAAGACGAAGGAGAAAGCCGTTGAGTCCAGTGCTCCAGTCCAAGACGTCTCAGGCTCCCTGCGCTCACCTCCCTATCAGCCTCTGTCAACCTGGCACTCTCCAGATGTTTTGGACTTTTGCTGGACTTCGAACAAGTATATAACTTTTATGAAATAAAGAAAGAAATGCAATCTTTATCCCAATTGGTTTCTGCCTTGGGTTCGTGCCGATTTTTTATATATGCGTCATCATTGTTTTAAATCAGTGGTACTTTTGGGGGCCACTGACCCCCCTAGCTTCCATCAACTCACCCCCAGGGCCCTCTACCCTACAAAAAAACATTGTACAAAATAGCAATCTGCACAACCGGCTAAGGAAGATAATAACACCCTAAAATTCAAAACAGTAACAATGAATTGCACCTTTATTCAAAATCCAGTTGAAACTATTTAGTTTAATTTAGTCAACAAAACTGATGAACCAGAGGCAGCTTTTCAAAGTCTGGTAGGCATCTATACCTCCTCCTCCTTCTTTGGTGATCCCTCGTAGCAGAGTAAGATCGTCTTCCATAAACATGGTTTTAACAATGAGTCCGTAAGTGACTGTGGAGGCCAATTCTGGATCCACACGTCCTTCCACAGTGGGGAGATGGGTTTCCAGGCGGGAGTTGGTCACGCCAAGCGTGCCTTCCTCTTAGCATGTTTCTCCCTTGTGTCCTGAGTTCGAGTGTCTTCAAAGCCCATGACACCTTTGGTCAAGGCTGTTCTCCAACTGGAGCACTCGCAGGCCAGTGTTTCCCAGTTGTCAGTGTTTATATTACATTTTTAAAGATTTGCCTTGAGACAGTCTTTGAATCTCTTTTGTTGACCACCAGCATTACACTTTCCATTTTTAAGTTCGGAATAGAGTAGTTGCTTTGGAAGACGATCATCAGGCAACTGCACAACATGACCAGTCCAACGAAGTTGACATTGAAGAATCATTGCTTCAACTCTGGTGATCTTTGCTCCTTCCAGAACACTGAAATTAGTTCACCTGTCTTCCCAAGTGATGTGTAAAAATTTTCAGAGACACCGTTGATGGAATCTTTTGAGGAGTTGGAGATGGCCTTTATAAGTGGTCTATACTCCCTTGCCCCTAGGGAATCCCACTGCCCCCACCCCCAAAAACCAGCTTAAGCTGCCTCTGGAGAATGGACCATGGACAACTGAAGAATTCAAAATGCGAGGGGTGGGGGAATCTCCAATTTAAATATGTAAACTGAAACTGGTGAGTCTCATCTCTGGCTCCTCTGGGAGAGATGGGCGACCTTCCTATCTAGCTCTGCCAGTCGAGGCAGAAAACTATTTCTAAACCTTTGGTGCCACATCAGTGCGCTGAAACCTTGCAATTAACAAGTCTATTTATAAGCACTTTTGACTGGGAAAAAATGGAGCACATCACTACGGATAATGAAGGTAAATGGCTGCCATCACTCATTCTCTGCAATCCATTTGTCTTGCGGTGAAGGGCTGTCTCAGAGACGACAGGGAAGAGGAAGGGTAACCCTCCTCAAGATCAACAAGGAGAACCTCGCCGCGGAATCAAATTTCTAAGCTCCCTCCAGCGATGTTATTCCTCCCTTTCCAAATCAGGGCCTGGAAACTTTTATTTATTCGTTCAGACAACTTATACACCACCCTATGCCCAGAGGTCTCAGGGCAGTTCACAACAAGACCACAACATATAAAGTCAAACCAAAATCAATAACCCCCCAAAAAACCCCACTTTCTAAAAGTGTGTTGGATGTCAGGAAGGTAAACCAAAGGCCTTGTTAAAAAGGAATGGTTTGCCTAGTGCCTAAATGTGTGTAATGAAGGCACCAGGCGAACTTCCCTGGGGAGAGCATTCCACAGAAGGGGTGCCACTGCAGAGAAGGCCCTGTTCTCGTGTTGCCGCCCTCTGAACCTCTCAAGGAAGGGGTACACGAAGATGATCTCAGGGTAGGTTCATATGGGGAGGGGTGGTGCTTGAGGTATTGTGGTCCTGAGCCATTTAAGATTTTATAGGTCAAAACCAGCACTTCAAATTGGGCCCGGAAACTAATTTGAAGTCAGTGCAGTCAGACCAGGATCGATGTAATAGGCGCAAACCGACTTGCTCCAGTGTGCAACCTGGTTGCTGAATTCTGCACTAGCTGAGGTTTCCAAACCGTCTTCAGAGGCAGCCCTACATATAATGCATTGCAGTAATCTAACCTTGAGGTTACCAGAGCCTAGACAACAGGACCACTGAACCTGCTTGGGGCAGAAAGGAAAGTGCCACGGTGGATGCAAGACACAGCAGCATTTAGACTTTAAGCAAATGGCAACCATTCAGCCTTCTCTTCTTCCTCCTCCACCAGCTCCTCCTGCTTACATGGTTCTCTTGCAAGCACAGCCTTCCCACACATTTCAGTTTTTGTTCCATAATTTCCAACAGATTCTCCGACAAGACGTGCTTCAGCCAGCCTTCACCGAAACATCTGGAGGGCACTAGGCTGGTGAAGGTGTTCAGAGGTCTTGAAGACGCACTCTGGCTCCATCATGTTAACACGCGATCCGAGTGTTATTCACAGAGATGGGGGGGGGAGTGTAGCCCACGCAAGGAGTCAGCCTTGCCTTGCTCTAGAGACTCCTCCAGTGAAAGCACCGGCTTGCCCTGGGGGTCCCTCAACATGAATTAATGCATTCCCCTCTACAAAAAAATAAATACATTAAAAAATGCAACTAGGTTGTTTCTGCGTTTAAATGATGAGAGATAATTTGGCAAAAGCCTAGTTTGGGGCATGGCTGGGGAGGGCGAGCTGCCTGTTCGTGGAGATGTAAGACAAGCTCAAGGCAGTTTTCCAGAACATGCTTCTGCTAGAGCAGGTGGCCTCCAGGACACTTCGAAAGCTTGATCTGTAAGAGGTCTGTAGGGCTGCTTCTCTGAGGTGGCCTTGCCTGCAGATTCCCCCTTCCTGCCATCCAGCATTTCTGGGGCTGAAGAGACTCCCTTAAAATGAAAGATTGCAGCTGGGGGACTTCCTATTTTAGAGAACAGGAAGGAAGAGGAGCTGTGATAGAAGCCTATGCAGAAAGCAGATAGGGGAAAAAATGCTTTTCTTCCCCTCTCATTGCCCTAGAACTCTTGAACATTCAATGAAGCTGAAGGCTGGAAGATTTAGGACAGGAAAAGAAAGTCCTTCTTCATTGCAGCACATGGTTAATCTGTGGAACTCCCTCCCACAGGAGGCAGTGATGGCCAACAGCTTGGCTGGCTGTAAAAGAGAGCCAGTGTGGTGTAGTGGTTAAGAGCGGTGGACTCGTAATCTGGTGAACTGGGTTTGATTCCCCGCTCCTCCACCTGCAGCTGCTGGGTGACCTTGGGCCAGTCACGCTTCTTTGAAGTCTCTCAGCCCCACTCACCTCACAGAGTGTTTGTTGTGGGGGAAGAAGGGAAAGGAGATTGTGAGCCGCTTTGAGACTCCTTAGGGGAGTGATAAAGGGGGATATCAAACCCAAACTCTTCTTATTAAAAGAGGACTGGACATTCTCTTCCTCCTCATTTGGAGGCAGAAGTATTTTTGAGTGCTTCTTGCTTGAAACAGCAGGAGAGGAGATTTCTCCTGTGCTCGGATCCCACCTGTGGGTTTCCCATAATGGATATTTGGTTGGCCTTATGTTAATGTCTCCTTATGTCTCCTTATGTTAATAATAATAATAATAATAATAATAATAATAATAATAATAATATCCCGCCCTCCCCAGCCAAAGCCAGGCTCAGAGCGGCTAACAACAATAAAAGTAACACAGCGTTCTAATATCAAGTCATCATAGAATCAATTCAAAATCAAATTAATGGCAACCATTTGGCTAGAGTTCTGTGATGATTACCAAAGGAGGGGGTCAGGCTGTGCCTTGGCCAAAGGCCTGGTGGAACAGCTCCGTCTTGCAGGCCCTGCGGAAAGATGTCAAGTCCCGCAGGGCCCTAGTCTCTTGGGACAGAGCGTTCCACCAGATTGGGGCCACAACCAAAAAATCCCTGGCTGTGGTTGAGGCCAGCCTATGTTCTTATGAATGCACACTAAAAAGGTTTTCTGGAGATGATCTGAGCCTTGAAATGACCCAGACCCAGACTGGGACTTCATTATCGGATGCTGGAAGGACAAAGGACTCCTGAGCATCTCACTGCTTCCCCGACCCCAGTCTTTGCCCAATTTCCATGTTTTGTTGTTGTTGTTGTTTAGTCATGTCCGCCTCCTCGTGACCCCATGAACCAGAGCATGCCAGGCACTCCTGTCTTCCACTGCCTCCCACAGTTTGGTCAGACTCATGCCGGTAGCTTCGAGAACACTGTCCCACCATCTCGTCCTCTGTCGTCCCCTTCTCCTTGTGCCCTCCATCTTTCCCAACATCAGGGTCTTTTCCAGGGAGTCTTCTCTTCTCAGGAGGTGGCCAAAGTCTTGGAGCCTCAGCTTCAGGATCTGTCCTTCCAGTGAGCACTCAGGGCTGATTTCCTTCAGAATGGAGAGGTCTGATCTTCTTGCAGTCCATGGGACTCTCAAGAGTCTCCTCCAGCACCAGAATTCAAAAGCATCTATTCTTCGGCAATCAGCCTTCTTTATGGACCAGCAAAGCCTAAGTCTCTTTTTCCCCGGGGGTGTTGCTGCAAGAATATTCTTCCTACCTCCTAGCAGAGAGACAGGAGCAGCAGCACCCTGCTTCCTCTCACCCTCCTCCTCCTCCTCCTCCTCTCCCCAGCCAGTCAATCTGCCATCCAAATAAATCTCTCTCGCTTCCTCCCTTGGCATCCCTCCTTGGGAAGCAAGAGTTTTGTTCTCCCCGCCACCCCCAGACAGCAGCTGCAGCGTCAGGGGCAAAAAAGAAAGAAAGAAAGGAGTGAGAATAGCAATGCAGGAGAGATTTATTTAAAGGGGAAGCGCTGACAGGGGACCCAGCGCAGGGAACAGCTGCCTTAGCTGTAATTTAACACTTTGCCTGAAAAGGGGGGGGGGACCACCGTGAAGAGCCTGTTTGTGAGGGTGGCCAGGCAATGGGTGTGATTTATAACCAGGTAGCTAAAGGAAAGAGAGAGAGAGACTCACTGTAGTCGCTGTTCTCGTCCTTCGTCCCATCAATCGTCCCATCTGGGTGCATCTGCAGGAAGAATTCCTGCTGGCTGAATAACCTTGTCACAATTCCTTTCAGCTGGGGTTCTGCAAGGAGGAAGGGAGACAAAGAGGGGAGGTGTTAACCCAGGCGTTTGTCCAGCTCCCAAACATTCAGGCCACCGTCCCCCTTGGTTCCATAAATTCATCCCAAACTGATTAAAAAAACCCCACATTATTCCGAGCAGTGCCTGGCCTGACTCATTAAGGAATCATAAAACCACAGAACTGTAGTGTTGGAAGGGACCCCAAGCGGCCATCTAGCCCAACCCCCTGGAAAGCCACAGCGAAAGAACCCCCAACAGATGGCCAGCCAACCTCTGCTTCAAAAGGTTATACGATTATAACCCAATAAAATTCAAAACAGCAACAGCTGACTGCACATTTATCCAGAATCCAATTAAAACTATTTAGCTTAATTAATGCCACAAAATGGATGGAGTTGATCCAGCGATGCTGGATGTCAAAGTCTGATAGGCATTTATACCTCCAGCTCCCCCTTGCCTCTTAGTATCCCCTGAGTAATCCCACCGCTCCCCACCCAGTGGGGGAAGCACCAGCCCAAAGGAGGAGGAAGCTCCTCAACCATGGGTAGGCAACCTAAGGCCTGTGGGCTAGATCTGGCCCAACTGCCTTCTAAATGCGGCCCATGGACAGTCCAGGAATCAGTGTGTTTTTACCTGAGTAGAATGTGTCCTTTTATTTAAAATGCATCTCTGGGTTATTTGTGGGGTACAGGAATCCGTTCATTTTTTTTGCTTCCAAAATATAGTCCGGTCCCCCACAACGTCTGAGGGACAGTGGACCGGCCCACGGCTGAAAAAGTTTGCTGACCTCTGGACCTCAACATTCTGTCACATCCCAGCGTGACCAAGGACCCAGGAGAGAAGGGATAAGGTCACACAGAGGGGAGAGGACTCTGCTCCCACTGTCTAGACCAGGCTGCCCCACACTCGGCCCTCCAGATGTTTTGGGACTACAACTCCCATCATCCCTGACCACTGGTCCTGTTAGCTAGGGATGATGGGAGTTGGGAGTCCCAAAACATCTGGAGGGCTGAGTGTGGGGATGGATGCCTGGTCTAGAAGGAGTCTTGGGGGCTCCTCTAGCACCCCCAAACCAGCTTTCCCCTGCAGAAGTGAATGGCTCTCTTTCTCTCCTATGGGGCAAAGAAGAGCATAGAGGCAAAAGCACACATCCTGCTCTGTTTGAGAAAAATTGATCCAAAGTAATTATGATTAAGCTGACTTATTGCAAAAGAATACATATAAACCAGCCTCACAGGTTTATGTGAAAACTGACATTTTTTTTTGTAATGTTTTGGAACAAGAAGTTGAATGACCAGAAGACTGGAGGATGAAGTTGATGGACTACGCAGAATTAGATAAATGAACAGGAAGGATTCGAAACCTGCGAGATCAGAGATTCTTAGAAGACTGGAGTAAATATATGAACTATCTGGAAAATAACTGTGATGAACAGATTATGCTAGTAGCACTGCAAGAAGTTCTGTAAGGAGGATTATTTGAAATATTGCAAGAAAGACAATGAAGAGAATTATTAGTTAAGGATAATTAAATGTAAAATAAAAATTAAGAAATGCATAATAAGTGATAAAGAGCAGAAAATCATCAGAGGTGTTGATGGAAGTCTAAAAATATTGTATAAAATGAGAAGCTATGTTGTATGACTGTTGGAACTGATGTCAAAAAATTAATAAAAGTGTGTGTGTGTGTGTGTGTGTGTGTGTGTGTGTGAAGTTGAACGACCATGCCCAACCTTAGGCTGCTTTCAACCTGCACTAACAGTACTTCTTTATGCATCTTATCTTTGTTTATTAATAAAATAACATTTATTTAAACATTAAAAAAAGACTCATACAAAACAGGATGATAGAGAAGAGAAGACTGAGAGGTGATATGAGATCCATCTTCAAATATCTCAAGGGCTGCCCCCCCCCCCATGGAAGATGGTGCAAGCTTATTTTCTTCCGGTCTGGAGGGGAGGACCTAAACCGATTATTTCAAGTTACAAGGAAGGAGATGCCAACTGAACATCAGGAAGAACTTTCTGAGGGTAAAAGCTGTTTGACAGCGGGGTGGACAACCTCAGAAGGTGGTGGAATCTCCATCATTCAGGATTTTAAAGCAGAGATTATATGGCCATCTGCCGTGGACGCTTTAGCCGTGATTCCTGCATTGCAGGGCATTAGACTAGAGGAATCTCGGGGGAGGATGGCTGCAATACCATCAAGTGAATGATGTGTTTAGATGTGACAAGAAAGTAGGATTTAATGATAAAAAAATCTAAATTCCAAATCAAATTACTAGAAGGCAGGACCAAATTATTGTCTAAAATGTGCAATTTCTTATTAGAATGGTATACAAAACAGACAAAGGAGGAGATGATAAAATGGGCGATGGATTTTGGGCATAACATTGAGTATGATGCTTGTGTAAAACTGTGGAATGAGAGTATAAAATTTACAGCATGTACTACCTTAAGAGAGAATACAATGAAAATGTGTATCGCTGGTATTTGGCACCTGTTAAATTGGCAAGAATGTATAGGATGAGTAGTAAGACATGTTGGAAATGTAAAGATAAAGATGGAGATTTTTATCACATGTGGTGGACATGTGAGAAAATGAAACCGTTTTGGGAAAGGATTTATAACGAATTGAAAAAGATATTCAAATACACTTTCCTGAAAAAGCCAGAAGCTTTCTTGCTAGGCTTGATGGGAGAGGAAATAAAAAAAGCAGATCAAAGGTTATTTATGTATGCTATGACTGCTGCCAGAACTTTGTTAGCCCAAAAATGGAAAGTACCGGAATTACCAACAATAGAGGAGCGACAGATGAAGATGGTGGATTATGTGGAACTAGCAAAACTGACCTGTAGAATCCAAAATCAGGAGGAAACAAAATTCCAAAGAGATTGGAGTAGGTTTATTGATTATATAACTGTAGAGATTTGAAGACTCTGGCAGGAGTGAAATAAATCTTACGGTGTAGACTGACTGGATATAATAAGAAACTGTGGAAAGGTGACTGAAGCAAGAAAACCTGTTGGAGGGAGGGAAGGAAGTCAATGCTCAGCAGAGTGTTGGGAAAGAATGTGGGTAAATGACTGTTGAATATTACTGTACTTTGTTTGTTGGTATAAAATGAAACTAGACAGCATCTTAAAAAGCAGTGACATCACCTTGCCGACAAAGGTCCGTATAGTTAAAGCTATGGTTTTCCCTGTAGTGATGTATGGAAGTGAGAGCTGGACGATCAAGAAGGCTGATCACTGAAGAATTGCTGCTTTTGAATTCTGGTGCTGGAGGAGACTCTTGAGAGTCCCATGGACTGCAAGAAGATCAAACCTCTCCATTCTGAAGGAAATCAGCCCTGAGTGCTCACTGGAAGGACAGATCCTGAAGCTGAGGCTCCAAGACTTTGGCCACCTCATGAGAAGAGAAGACCCTGGAAAAGACCCTGATGTTGGGAAAGATGGAGGGCACAAGGAGAAGGGGACGACAGAGGACGAGATGGTTGGACAGTGTTCTCGAAGCTACCAGCATGAGTTTGACCAAACTGTGGGAGGCAGTGGAAGACAGGAGTGCCTGGCATGCTCTGGTCCAGGGGGTCACAAAGAGGTGAACAGGACTAAATGACTAAACAACAACAACAACACTACTATCAGCTGCTGGAAGCCACAGGAGTAGAGAGGGCTCTCGTGCTTGAATCCTGCTTGCAGGTTTCCCACTGACATCTGGTTTGTTGGCCACTGCGAGAACAAGATGGGAACTAACTAGATGGGCCATTGACCTCATCTAGCAGGCTCCTCTTATGTTCATAGCATAGATCAGGCATTTCCAACAGGTAGATCGTTGTCGCAGGAACCCCCCCCCCAATCATTCAGTTTGTACACTCACACACTACATACGCTATGCTTCTGTTATAAATTCATAGAAAATCAACCATACATCGGATCTGCACCGTTCCACTTTTATTTCACTCCATGAAGGAAGGACTACAAAATGGGGAAGGTTTGATACAGGGCAGCCATAATCCCTTCAGCATACCAGCACATCCACAGGAGCCCTGCCCAGTTGCTATGCCAACCCTGATGGTCCTAGACAGAAGACCATTAAGGTCACAAAGGACTTGCATATGGGAGTGGATTCAGCACGGACTGGAACGAAGGACAATAATCAGATCTTCCCTCTGGGGGCAGGAAACTGCCAACTCCCCTTTGTCACCTGGAAAGTACTCAGGGGGAGGGGGAAAGGGGGAACCAGCCAGGTGCCAAGACACTCAGGTTACCACCACAATTCCTCCCTCAACCCCTCCTTTTTGTGATGTAGTTGTGATGTAGTCTTAGGGGTGTAGTTTGGGGGATTAGTAAGTAATAAAAGTTGGGGTCTTCTTTTGTTCTGGGCTTCCATTTTGCTTCATCTTGTTGTGGGTGGGAATCCTGTCGCAACAGTTTCCAATAAAGGCCAAGCCTACAGGCTGCTGTTTTGCTCCAAATTGTCCTGATTGGTGTCTTTGTTTTTTTGCCCAAGGGAGTCCTCGGATTCCTCCGTTAACATCATGATCTACTGGTAGATTGCAGGGGTGTCCCAGGTAGATCATGGAATGGCTCAACAACTCCTGGCAATGAGTCTTTTTATACTGTGAGTAGATTGCAGTCTCTTGGGAGTTGACGTGCCTGGCATAGAAGACCCACCAGCCCCACTTAACTTCCTGGTCTAACCTGCAGCTGTGCACGGGAAGCTTGTGGCAAGCAACCTCAATATTGGCCAGGGTGACAGCAGAGCTGGCACAGAACCTGAACCCAATGCAGGCAGTGGGTCTGAGAGAATCCCCTGGTGTCTGGCCAAGTCCCTGGCTACACACTGAGTCATTGTCACTGCAAGCGGTGAAACAGGCTCTGTGTATAACACATTGTGTGCCAAAGGAACAGATCCTCTCCAGAATCTGAAACGCTCCTTCGCTTGCTCTGGGCTAGACTTGCCTTGCAAATCCAGAGCTGTGTGAAGAAGGAGCACTCTGCAGTGGCCTTCTCAGACCTGGGGGACCTCAAAATATGTTGGAAGACAATTCCCACCAGCCCCAGAAGTTTTGCAGTGAAACCAAATGGGATGTCCCATCCAAGGTGCTTACTGTGGGGAACCTGCAAGCAGGTTTTCCACACATGAAGTTCTCCCCTCTCTTAAGGTCTCCAGAAACTGGCATTTGGAGGCACTGCAGGCTCCAGCAGTGGAAGCAAAACACAGCCATTGTGGCTGGTAGCCATCGCTTGCCGTCAATAGCCATGGATTTGTCCAATCCTCTATGAAAGCCATCCAAGTTGGTAGTCATCACTGCCTCCTGAGGGAGTGAAGAAGGACTTTCTTTTAACTTGGACTACTTGGACTACTACAAGCTATGGCTTTCCCAGCAGTGATGTACGGAAGTGAGAGCTGGACCATAAAGAAGGCTGATCACTGAAGAATTGATGCTTTTGAATTCTGGTGCTGGAGGAGACTCTTGAGAGTCCCATGGACTGCAAGAAGAACAAACCTCTCCATTCTGAAGGAAATCAGCCCTGAGTGCTCACTGGAAGGACAGATCCTGAAGCTGAGACTCCAGTACTTTTGCCACCTCATGAGAAGAGAAGACTCCCTGGAAAGGACCCTGATGTTGGGGAAGATGGAGGGCACAAGGAGAAGGGGACGACAGAGGACGAGATGGTTGGACAGTGTTCTCGAAGCTACCAGCATGAGTTTGACCAAACTGCGGGAGGCAGTGGAAGACAGGAGTGCCTGGCGTGCTCTGGTCCAGGGGGTCACAAAGAGGCAGACACGACTAAACGACTAAACAACAACACCACTGCAACACCCTGTATGTGGGGGCTACCTTTGAAGGTGATCCAGAAACTACAACTAATCCAGAATGCGGCAGCTAGACTGGTAACTGGGAGCGGCCGCCGAGACCACATAACACCGGTCTTGAAAGACCTACACTGGTTCCCAGTACGTTTCCGAGCACAATTCAAAGTGTTGGTGCTGACCTTTAAAGCCCTAAACGGCCTCGGCCCAGTATACCTGAAGGAGCGTCTCCACCCCCATCCTTCAGCCCAGACACTGAGGTCCAGCTCCAAGGGCCTTCTGGCTGTTCCCTCCCTGCAAGAAGCCAAGTTACAGAGAACCAGGCAGAGGGCCTTCTCAGTAGTGGCGCCCGCCCTGTGGAATGCCCTTCCAGCAGATGTCAAGGATATAAAACATTACACAACTTTTAGAAAGCATCCCTGTATTGGGAGGTTTTTATTGTTTGATGTTTTTATTATGTTTTTAGATATGCTGTATGTTGCCCAGGGTGGTTGGGGAAACCCAGCCAGGTGGGCGGGGTATAAATAACAAATTATTATTATTATTATTATTATTATTATTATTATTGCTGAATCTTCCAACATCCAGCTTCTTGGATGTCCACGTTTGGAGACAAACTTTTCTCTGTCCACTTCCTAATTTTATAAAGTTCTGTCATGACACCTCTTGCTTGCCTTTTCTCTAAACTAAAAAGCCGTAAACATTGCAACCTTTCCTCCTAAGAGAGTCCCTGTATGGTATGCAGTCTCTGCACAAACGGCTACACAGGTGTGCCCGCATTCACCTGAGTAAAAAGTTTCTTCAAAGGGGTGTGTGGGTCGCTCCATCCCCTTTATCACTAAGGCTGTCCTTTTCTGAACCTTTTGCAATTCTACATTATCCTTTTTTGAGGAGGTGACCAGAACTGTACACAGTATTCCAAGTACTAGCATATGTTTAACCCCTGCTGTTCTGGATGAAACAGAAGAGGAAACATTCATATCTCTCTCGCTCTCTCTCTCTCGCTCTCTCTCTCTCTCTCACACACACACACACACACACACACACACACTGAAGCAGTCAACTCTAGGAAAGATTCAAAAGCTATGGAGAGGCTTGGATAGAGAAAAATGCTGCAGAAGATGGCTAGGAGGCATGTTTACAGTGGTACCTCGGGTTAAGAACTTAATTCGTTCTGGAGGTCCATTCTAAACCTGAAACTGTTCTTAACCTGAGGTACCACTTTAGCCAATGGGGCCTCCCGCTGCTGCTGTGCCGCCAGAGCACGATTTCTGTTCTCATCCTGAAGCAAAGTTCTTAACCCGAGGTACTATTTCTGGGTTAGTGGAGACTGTAACCTGAAGCGTCTATAACCTGAAGTGTCTGTAACCTGTATATGGCACTGTATATGGCAAAAGAGCACATCAGGAGAACACAGAATCACAGAATTGTAGAGTTGGAAGGGACCTCAGGGACCACCTAGTCCAGCCCCGTGCAATGTAGGAATCTCAGCTGAAGAATCCCATCCATTCTCTGCTTAAGGATCTCCCATGAAGTCCACCACCTTCCGAGGGAGACCGTTCCACGGCTGAAAGGCTCTTACTGCCAGAAAGTTCTTCCTAATGTTCATGTATGCGACAACGGCCGCGAGAGTTCTGGTAGCCAAAGGATGGAAGACTGAAGAAACCCCAACTAAAGAATCATGGCAAGAAAAATTGATGGACTATGCAGAACTGGCAAAACTGACATATAAGCTACGGGACAAGGATAACTGTGACTTTAAGGATGAATGGGAACCCTTTACAAAGTATGAGAAGAAGCAACAAAGCGAACTCCTTGGCTGGTTTTGAATAAACATTCGCAGACTTTTTATTGATAATAATCAGCTAAATAGTTTGAGGATCTATACAACTTTGTAACATGCAGAAAACAGCACTTTTAGAGAAACCAAAGACTGGAACTGAGGGAAGTCGGTGGGTGGGGGCGGATGGGTTTTGTGTGGGAGGGGGGAGGGAGGAAAAATGGGGGGGAAACAAGGATGATATGTTTTAGGATAATGTGTCTTGTTTTAATTTTGAATAAAAAAAACTAAAAAAAAAAAGTTCTTCCCAATGTTTAATGGGAATCTCCTTGCTTGCCACTTGAATCCATTGGTTCTGGGGAAGCAGAAAACAACCTTGCTCCACCTCCCATGGGACAGCCAAAGACCGCCAAGCTTCGCTCCTGCTCCCCACCTGACCTTCTCCACCTAGGCCCTGACTCTGTCTCAGGCTCTCTCTCACTAGAGCGAGCTCCCTGCGTTCTCCTCCGCTGGCTCACCAGAGGCTTCATCCCACATCATTTATTTACCGACTTGCACAGATTGCCGGTGGCATCTCTGCCGGTAACTGCCGCGCGGAACAGGACTGCGGAACGGATTAAATGCGATAACATTGTGCAGAGCTTTTCCTTCCTGGGCCAAGATGGATGTTATTAGGTAACGGTTAACTGGAGGCATCTCTGTGGAGAGGGATCGCAAAGGCCTCTGATGCCAAGGCAGAAAGCAGTGGCAGCGGCCCTTTGGCACATCCAAACCTGTCGTGTTTGCTTCATTCTGCAGTCAGCGCTTCCCTTGTCATGATCGCACTACAAGCTCAGCAGAGAACCAAGGCTGCAACCGGCGCCCCCCACCCCCCCCACTGCTTTGGGGGTAAGCGCCATTGAAATTGGTGGGATTTTGCTCACGACTCACAGTGTTAAAAACTCAGATATATAAAGGAACATGATGGAAAATGGAAATTAAGAGATTATGATGTGATCAAAGACCACTTTCAGAGTTGGTTGAATTATCGACAACTATATGAAACACATAAGGAAGACAGCAAGAAAGGATTTAGTTATACAAGATCTAGGTTTCAAAAGGAAGTGATCGAAGGGAAAGTGAAATTACTGAAGGCCGCATACAGCATACTATGTGGGGGGAGGGAGGAAAAATGGGGGGGAAATAAGGATGATATGTTTCTGGATAATATGTTTTGTTTTAATTTTGAATAAAAGTTATTTAAAAAACAAACAAACTCAGATATATAAACTAGGGGCCAAATGGCTCCTTAAACCAAGGCTGAAGTCGCCAAAATGGAATGTCTAATTGCCATTTTGGGGTATGATAAGGGAAAAAGAAGTCCTGGGGTACAGATTTACTCCACTGGCCAGCTGGTTGGGGTGCACTCCCCATTGGTCTCCCCAGTCAGCAAAAGGAGGAATCTCCCACCAAGTTACAGAAGCAAAACAACAGTCAGTAGACCTGGTCCTTCTTGTTGCAATAAGGTTCAAACACACAAAGAGTAGGAACCCCCAGCATGGCCTGGCATGAACTTTTAAGACTTCCTCCCCTTTCCCATAATACATTTCCAGCATCATCATCAATACATCACAGATATGTCACAAAGTAGGCTTGTTTGGCATGAAGAAACATGAAACTGTCATCCACCCCTGTCAATCACCCCAGTTCCCGACACCTTTTAACTACCCTCTTCCCCAAAGAACAATAAGAGTATTTACACATGCCCATGTCCAAAGTCCGTTTCGGGGGCCTAATCCAGGGTAAAAATGGGGTAAAATTCTCAAAAAAAAAAAACCCTCAACAACTTCAACCCTAAAAAAAGCTCAAAGACTTCGGCCAGTCCTTTGGCTGGCCCTCAAGGCCCTTCACTTCATCAAATCTGGCCCTCTTTGAACAAAGTTGGGACACCACTGCCTTAGATGCAAGGCTTTCCTGCACTTCTCCTCTGAAAGGATCAGGATCCACTCCACCATCCCGATGGGGTTCTTCCTGGGGTATGCGCTGCCCTTGACTCCCTCCTGCCTCCTATTGTGAGGCTAAGTCAGGGGTGTTGAATGGTTTCTTTAAATGTAAGGGTTCATCATTGTTCCACCCGATGTGTATGTCTTTAAGGGGCCAGAGCAAAATAACGAGACCCAGCTTTACAGCTGTGAAACATAGCAGGTGCTGCTGAGTTGTATTGATTAAGCTGTGTCGGCAATTGGGTGTAGTACCGTATTTTTCGTTCTATAAGACGCACCAGACCACAAGACGCACCTAGTTTTTAGAGGAGGAAAACAAGAAAAAAAATGTTCTGAATCTCAGAAGCCAGAGCAGCAAGAGGGATCGCTGCACAGTGAAAGCAGCAATCCCTCTTGCTGTTCTGGCTTCTGGGATAGCTGCACAGCCTGCATTCGCTCCATAAGACGCACACACATTTCCCCTTACTTTTTAGGAGAGAAAAAGTGAGTCTTATAGAGCAAAAAATACGGTATATAAGGAGCAGCACCTAGCTCTCCCATTACCCTGGGGGATGGGTTGGTGGTTGGGTCTGGTTTGTTGATGTATTTAGTGTAAATGGAGTTTTTGTTTTTCTTATTAAAACCTTCTTTAAGTTATTTTTGAGTCCCTTTTTAATGCATGGTCTCCCCAGCAAGCTCTTTGCAGCACTACCATACTGCAAATAGCCAACAAGGGGTAGGCAAGCTAAGGCCCGTGGGCCAAATGTGGCCCAATCGCCTTCTCAATCCAGCCTGCAGACAGTCCAGGAATCCTTTTATTTAAAATGCATTTCTGGGTTATTTGTGGGGCCTGCGTGGTGTTTTTACATGAGTAGAATGTGTGCTTTTATTTAAAAGGCATCTCTGGGTTATTTGTGGGGCATAGGAATTTGTTCATTTTTATTTTATTTTTCAAAATATAGTTTGGCCCCCCACAAGCTCTGAGGGACAGTGGACCAGCCCATGGCTGAAAGTTTGTTGACCCCTGGGCTAAGTTCACACCTTGTGGAGGGGAAGGAGAATGTGACCTTATGCTTAAGGGATTATGGAGGCAGCGGAGACCTGGATTCTCCTCTTCCAGAGGAACCAAGGAAATTGGTCAAACCGTTGAATTCTGGAGATTATTTGTGAAGTTTCTACAGTTCTCCATATTGGATTATCAGAGGAAACAGTTCGATACATGGTATCTGCTTATGGCTACAATTTTATAGACTGCTTTTCTGAGCCTCTTTGCTGTTCTGTATATCTGGTGCTTGTGTAAACGGTCATTGTCCTGGACTTAGTTCGAGGCTGTGGTGGGGACTTGGGATTTTTGGGTAGTTATTTAACTGCCCCCCCCCAATTCCTGGTTTTGACAGGTAAGACATCTCTAAAGTCTTATTTTTCAAATGATGGACTGACTGTGATTGATTCTCAGTTAAACATCTGGCTAGTTCAGATGACAACATTGAGCTAAGTTAAGAACTCAAGAGAACTTAAAGAAGGAAAGTCCCTTGATCCAGGGACAGTCCACATAAATATTGACCTATTCCAAGCTCTCTTTCTTAATGGACCATTCATAACATAAGAATATTCTTCACAACTGCATTCGTATGAACTCGATTTTTTTAGTGTGGTGGAACTCCCTGCCACTTGACACCAGGCAGGAACCTTAACTGCACTCTTTCCAGTGCCTGCTAAAAACATCCTTGTTTAGACAAGATGTTTAGAAAGTTGGTGTGAATTTTAATCTGTTTTCAGCCTACAGTACTGTCATTTTAACTTTTCAATTGTTTAGATTCTTACCGTTTTCTTGTTGATAATGTTGTTGCTTTATCTTTTTTGTAAACAGCTTTGAGTGGGTTTTTTAAAGAGAATCAATTGGCATATGAATTTTATGAATTTTATGAAATAAATAACACAAATAGGAGAGTTGCCCTGGCAGCTAATAGCCGGAGACCCAGCTATTGGAAGGTGTTTGGAAAGGGGCTTGTCTCCCCAACCCCTGACCAGAAGCAATAATATCCATTGTGGGGCAGAGCGAGGAGAGAAAGAATCTAGCAGTCTTGGAAAATGGACACAGCTGACTCGCTCTTTGTGAGAATCCAAATGCATAGATGGGGTGGGGGTGGGGTTCATTCCTCCTGCTAGAAAAAAAATGAGGGAGCAGAACCCTTGGGGTGCGGATGCTGTGAGCCCTTCCATCCCATGCGCTTCTCATGTGTGTGTGATACTAAGCAAAAGCGTTTTATTGTCACAGAAAACGCTACCGGCCTTCAATGACCTTCATCCCAAAGACACCAACACAAAGTGTAATCGGGGACACCTGAAACCCCTCAACTCTCACACAAAGGATTACTTGGGAGCAAGTCTCCATTGGTACTTCAAATCATAGAATTGCAGAATTGGGACACCCCCCTCCACAGGAACCTGGCCAAGTCCCCTGCAATGCAGGAATCGCAGCTCAAGAATCCTTGACAGATGGCCATCCAACATCTCTTTAAAAACCTCCAATGAATCATGGAATTGGAAAGTTGGAAGGGGCGCCAAGGATCATCTAGTCCAACCCCCTGCGACGCAAGAATCTCAGCTTATTGAGTGCCCCTTTGCTCTTGGACCCTTTCCAGGACCCCACATTTAAATTCTTATTCACATACCTCCTTGCTGGCCCTAGTAGGACCAGCTTGGCCAGTTAGCCCTGGTGATCATTCGATGTCTTCTGACTGGGTTTTGTCCCCCCCCCAAAAAAAATGACCCCTGAATTTTTGAATTGTATTGATATTGATGCTGCATTTTATGTTGTATTCTATGCTGTTTTATGCTGTTTTTAAGTTGCATTTTAATGTTTTATATTTTCTGTTAGCTGCCCTGAGCCCAGTTTTTAAACCGGGAAGGGCAGGGTATAAATAAAATTTTATTATTATTATTATTATTATTATTATTATTATTATTAGTTAGGGAATCCCGCTGATTTGGAGTTCTGGAACAGCGGAGACCTCTGACTGTGATTGACAGGTTGACAAAATGGAGATGGGTCTGCTACTGGACTGCCCCCCCTGCCTCCCTCCCGGCGTCATAGGAAGGGAGGGGCGGTGCGTGCGGGCCGCCCCGGGTGTCATCACTGAGGGGGGTGAAAAATGGCAAAAATATGTATTTTTAAAATAAAATTAAAAAATTGGGGCTCATGACACTTTTCTCGAAAAAATATTATTTAAAATGAGTTTAATAACTTGGTCTGACAATGAATGAACCTCAGCAAGTCAACATAACACGTACTGAAACTTTTTAGTTCAGCCAAGAAATGCAATGAAATGCGTCTGGGCGCAAACCGCGGACTCCTTCATTGGAGCCTGGCTCTGTGCCAGAAGGTGCTGTGCCTTGGCTGGAGCGCTTGGGCCTGGCACAGCTCTGTCCTGAACCTGGGGCGAAGAGCAAGCAAGGGGACGGCACCGCTGCTGCCCACCTTCCTCGGCCATGGCACACCTCACGCCTGGCAGCAGCTGCTCTTCTGACCTGGCGGTAGAGAGCAGCCCTCGTCAGTCAGCCGGGGCGAGCGCACCCGGCTGCAGCAGCTCCATTGCTGGGTCAGCTTTGACCTGGTGGCAGAGAGCAGGAAGGTCAGCAGCAATTGTGATGGCCTGGGACTCGGGCTCGGACTCAGAACCGGAGGAGTCTCAGTCCGCACTGGATCCTCTGCCTCAGGCATCATCTGAACCAAGCCTGGGGCCTGATCCTGAAGAGTCCCAGTCTGCACAGGTTCCCTTGCAGCAAACACCAGTTGGCCGAGTCAGGGGCCTGAGCCTGCCCTGGCTCCAGATGTGGGGATGACCTCGTTGCCTCCAGCTGGGCCATCACTTACAGCTGCTCCACTACCGGTTGGGTCAGGGGAGGCTGAGGCGGCCTCTGGGTCTAGTCACCCACCGACGTCTCCCGAGCTGCAGAGACTGAGGTCTGAGAGAAGGAGAGACCTGAGTACTCGCAGGAGGAGTGCTCACCTTCAGGCGAAACAGGGATGTGAGTCGCCAGGGGATCAGGACCAGCTGCTACCCCGACAGAGATAAAAGGCTGTCGGACCCCGCCCCAGGTTGTGGGAGCAACATTGCTGCTTGCTGGAACTGGCCTGTTACCCTGTGCCTGACCTAGCTTGGTTTCCTGCCTTGGCCCTGTCGGACTGACTCCTCGTGGAATCCTTGGATTCGGGACCGAACCTGGACCGCGTTGCTTGGGTTACCCCCAGGCCCAGCACAGCAATGCTGATGCCCACCCTCCATGGCGCTGGGGCCTCACGTCCAGCTGCAGTAACTCCATCATTGGGTCATGTCTGACCTGGTAGCAGAGAGCAGGGGAAGAATGAACAGCAGCTTCCCTGCCCCTCTCCTACCCTGAACTGTGGCACGTGGGAGGGCACCCTTTGCGCCCCACCCTCCTCGGGGGCGCACCCCATGCACCTGCCCCGGGCAGTACGGGCATATGCTCCTCCGCTCCCCCCCCGCGCTTCTTTGGGGAGGGGTCCCTTAGCCGCTGCACCCTCTGTTGGGCAGCCTCACAAGCTCTGGAACGTTCCACAAGGCAAACGCTTTGGAGTTAATTTAATCAAATTACTAGCTGTTTACTCTCGGGCGTTTGAATGGCAGCGGCTGTGTTCGGGAGATGAAGGCTTCTCAGCTGACTCATCAATCAGCCCCTCACCCCCACCTGGCAGCTCCAGCCTGAACACAGAGGAAGAAGATTGGCAAGCTCAACATCCCAGGCAGGAAGCATTGAATCAACACAAACAGAGGCTTTCAAGCCCCTTTTTGGCAGAAGCAAAGCCTCTGGCGCCGGAGTCTTCGGAGTCCGAGCTTCAGAATCCTCCTCAGCAGAGGAGACACCACTAAAAACAGTTCCTACATATGAACATAAAAGAAGAGCCTGCTGGATCAGGCCAGTGGGGGCCCCTCTGGCCCAGGATCCTGTTTTCACAACAGCCAACCAGCTACTTCCATGGTGTAGCTGTGATTCCTGCAGGAAGTTGGACTAGATGAAGTTTGGACTTGATATCCTCCTTTATCACTACCCTAAGGAGTCTCAAAAGGGATGTGGGTGGCGCTGTGGGTTAAACCACAGAGCCGAGGACTGTCAAAGTAGATAAATAGGTACCGCTCTGGCGGGAAGGTAAACGGCGTTTCCGTGCGCTGCTCTGGTTCTCCAGAAGCGGCTTAGTCCTGCTGGCCACATGACCCGGAAGCTGTACGCCGGCTCCCTCGGCCAATAAAGCGAGATGAGCGCCGCAACCCCAGGGTTGGTCACAACTGGACCTAATGGTCAGGGGTCCCTTTACCTTTACCTTTAAGGAGTCTCAAAGCGGCTCACAATCTTCTTTCCCTTCCTCCCCCACAACAAACACTCTGTGAGGTGAGTGAGGCTGAGAGACTTCAGAGAAGTGTGACTGGCCCAAGGTCACCCAGCAGCTGCATGTGGAGGAGCGGGGAATCGAACCCGGTTCACCAGATTACGAGTCCACTGGTCTTAACCACTACACCACAGGGTTCCTTCCAAGCTCCAGCTCTACAACTTTTGTGATTCTGATTCCCAGCAGCTGGTGTTCCGATATAGCCTGCCCCTAGGCATGGAGGTTCTGCTATGACTGTAAATGTCCATATGGAGAGCCCTGCAGGATTTGGCCAAAGGCCCATCCAGCCCAGGACCCTGTTCTCACAGCAGCCCGCCAGATGCCAGTTGTTCTCTTAAACAACTGTGCCCAGAAAGCCGTCTCTGTGGATCATGTTTGGCGCGGTTGCCACACATGGTAGCATTCTAAGCCCCTCGCTGGGCTCTGCAGCTCTTTTGCCTACAAAAGTGGAGTTTGATATCTCCAGTGGAGAATTCAAGTTTCTAGCTCTGAAGATGGCATGAACCAGACTGGGCCTGTGTGGGAAGGAACATTGTAGATATGAACAAGACAGGGAGTTTGGGGTTTAATGATCAGGATCCGCCATAGAGAAAAGGATTCGGTAATGCAAAGGGGGAAACGGAAGCCCATTCAGATATTTTGTGCAGCTTTCTCAATTCAGCACTTCCTGGGACACCAGAAGGGGAACTTCAGAGGAAAAGTGAGAAAGAGATGTCCTGATGGAAGTTTATAAAAATTATGCCTGGCACAAAGAAACGTTTGTCTCCATCTCCCATTACACAACTACTTGTGAACATTCAATGAAGCTGAACATTGGAAGATTCAGGGCAGATAAAGTCCTTCTTCACACAGCACAGAGTTGAACTATGGAACTCCCTGCCACAGGAGACAGTGATTGGTACCAAGCTAGATGGCTTTAAAGGAGGATCAGAGAGATTCACGGAGGAGGAGAGGGTGATTGATGGCTCCTGGCCAGGATGGCTCTGCTCTGTCCTTCACAGCTGGAGGCAGCAAGGCTTCCAAATACCAGTTTCTGGGGACCACAGAAGGGGAGAATTCTCTTGGATCCTGCTTGGGGGGTTCTTCCCACTAGGACATCATGTTGGCCATGGGGAGGAGAAGCTGCTGGACTAGTTGGGCCACTGGCTCTCAATTTGGCACTTCCTGGCAAAGCGGAATGTGGGCCAGCACATGGGCAAAAGGAGACGGTTCCTTTTCACCCCCCCAAAATGCTCCGTATTGGAGTCCTTCCTCTCTAAGCAATGATCAGCGTGCCTGATTCTGTACACTGAATCAGCTGGTAAAATAAGAGGTCTCTGCACTGGCCGGGAGGTCCTGAGGACCAAACAAACTTCCACCAAGTTTTCTAGTATTCAAAATTTGCTAATTCTCCATCGTTTCAGGCCAAGCTGAAAACTCCAGGGGTTGAACCTGGGAGCTTCTTCTACATGCAAAGCAGGCACTCTTCTGCTGACCCTCCTTTGGGCTGTGAAAGGGCTGGGCTTTTTATACCCTAGAATTGTAGACTTGGAAGGGACCCCGGGGGTCATCCAGTCCAACCCCCGGCAATGCAGGAATCTCAGCTCAAGCATCCATGACAGATGGCCACCCAACCTCTGCTTAAACACTTCCAAGGTAGGAGAGCCCACCTTCTGAGGGAGCCTGTTACATTGTCAAAGGAAATTCCATTTTGCAACACAGTCCCTGCCCAAGACAACTTGCTCCCTGCAGAGTGAATTGCCCTCTTGCAATTTTCCAAAATCTATAAGCCGTAATTCACCCCGGTGCCGGATTTATGTCTAAGCTAAACAAGCTGTAGCTTAGGGCCCCGCTCTCTTGGGGCCCCCAAAAATTTTTAAAGGAACAAAAAAACTGGGATGTACATTTCCAAAATATAAGATAAAAAACAAATACAGCGGTACCTCGGGTTACATACGCTTCAGGTTACATACGCTTCAGGTTACAGACTCCGCTAACCCAGAAATAGTGCTTCAGGTTAAGAACTTTGCTTCAGCATGAGAACAGAAATCGTGCTCCAGTGGTGCGGCAGCAGTGGGAAGCCCCATTAGCTAAAGTGGTGCTTCAGGTTAAGAACAGTTTCAGGTTAAGAACAGACCTCCGGATTGAATTAAGTACTTAACCTGAGGTACCACTGTAAAATAAAACCTACATACAGGAACAGTGTTTTGTGTTGTGCATGGACCTATGAGGTCCATCAACTACCATAGAGCATATATTCAACACAAAAAACAGCAGCAATTTGTTGTTGACAAAGGACAGCTGGACAGATAAAGGGCCCCATTACTTTCAGGAGCTTAGGGCCTCATCAAACCTAAATCTGGCCCTGATCCATCCATTAACAAACGGGCAGCTCAGCTACTACTTCCATGGTGAGGAACCTAGTTCAAACCCCAATAGCAAAGCTTTTTTCCGCCCAGCACTTAAATTTTAAAGAGCGATTTCCTCCACCCACACTCCAATGCCACACTCAGATGCATCACCAGGGAACCGGGGGGGGGGGGGCTCTCTGACTAAATGGCAGCTGCAAACGAGGGGGTGGATGTGGCCCTGATTCGTACGTTTGAGGCCCAAGCCGGCAATTGCCAAGAAAACTCACACGTGTCTTGGGGCAGTGTGGTGTAGTGGTTAGTGGGTCAGGCTAGGGCCTGGTGGAGACGCAGGTTCATATTCCCACTCTGCCCATGAAATTCACTGGGATCAAATAAGGAGCAGGAGAATCGTGTGGGCCACTTTGAGCTCCGTGGAGAAAAGGGCAGGACACGAATGCAACAAATAAATGGTAAAAAGAGTAGCAGAAGAAAGATCAAACTTTTCTTTTTCGTTTGGAGAAAAGGTGAGCCAGAAGAGACATCATAGAAGTTTACAGAATTATGCTTAGCATGGAGAAAGTTGATGGAAAAATGTCTTTCTCCCTCTCTCATAACACTCAAACTCGTGGAGATTGATGCTGGAAGATTCAGGACCGATAAAATTAATTATTTCTTTATGAAGCATATAGTTAAACGGTGGAACTCCCTGCCACAGGAGGCAGGAATGGCCACCAATCTGGGTGGCTTTAACAGAGGATTAGACAAATTCATGGAGGAGGAGAGGGCTATCGATATCTACCAGCCACGATGACTCCACAGTCAGAGGCAGAAATGCTTCTGAATTGGTGGAAGCCATGTGGGTGGCGCTATGGGTTAAACCACAGAGCCTAGGACTTGCCGTTCGGAAGGTCGGCGGTTCGAATCCCCGCGACGGGGTGAGCTCCCGTTGCTCGGTCCCAGCTCCTGCCAACCTAGCAGTTCGAAAGCACGTCAAAGTGCAAGTAGATAAATAGGTACCGCTCCGGCGGGAATGTAAACAGCGTTTCCGTGTGCTGCTCTGGTTCGCCAGAAGCGGCTTACTCCTGCTGGCCACATGACCTGGAAGCTGTACGCCGGCTCCCTCGGCCAATAAAGCGAGATGAGCGCTGCAACCCCAGAGTCAGCCATGACTGGACCTAACGGTCAGAGGTCCCTTTACCTTTTTCCAGGAGGGGAGAGTTGCTCTTGTGCTCAGATCCTGTTTGTGGTTTTCCCACCGGCGTCTGGTTGGCCCCTGTGAGAACAGGATCCTGGGCTAGATGGACCATGGGCCTGATCCAGCAGGCCCCGCATATGTCCTTAATCTACCTTCTTATTTATGCATGTTATGTTTCAACAACTGAAGCATCACCTAACACCGTTTTTGTTTTTCCTAAGCAGTGTGAAACGTGGTTGCAAAAGCGATAAAACCATTTACAATTAACCCTTTTAACCAGCTGAAAAAGACCCTCCTGGCTGATGTTCCTCTGCCCAGTCCTGCGTCTCTCGCTAGCGCTGCAGTCGTGATGAGGCTGAGCACCTTTAGTGACAGGGCCTGTCGCATTAAGGATAGCCAGAACTCTCCGTCTCTCCATCAGATGCAGGAGCTGGCTTGCGGGAGTGGATGTTTGCAGGCGACCTGCAGCTCGCAGCCAGATGCAACACGGCGAAAATGAAAGAAGAGGCGGAACCGACACACAAATAGAGTCTGCGGGAGACAGGCAGTCCCAAGGCTGCCCTGGTTTCGCAAAGCTGCTGTGAACTGTCATCTTTGATCTCCAGTGTGGAGACTATTGTTCAGCTGGTGTGGGCAATTATCACAAGCCCATCTGGGTTGAATCCTAAACAGTTTGCTTTCCATCATTGGTGGGGGGGTGGGGGAATGGGGATATATTCAGAGGCTTGGGTATGCTAAGAGAAAGAAAGAAAGAAAGAAAGAAAGAAAGAAAGAAAGAAAGAAAGGACGAATGAACTTTGGAATATCTCCCTATATAATAAAAATGTAAGGTGTCGTCATGCTCTGCAGTCTGCAGAGTGAGGAATGGCTGGCAGGCCCAGGCGAGCTGTTTAAGGGAGGAGGGTGTAGGGGCCCTTCAAACAGAGATTGCCCCACAGAGCACCTGCCCTCTGTTAAGAGGGGAGAGGCATGGGGTGAGAGGGGAGGGGCTTGGAGCAAGCTGTGAGAGGATGGGGGAGGGGTGAGTGAGATGGGTATGTTTAGCCTGGAGGAGTGGATAGGATAGTCATCTTCAAATACGTACATGAAGGGCTGCCCCATGGAAGATGGTTTCTGCTGCTGCTCCAGAGGGCAGGATGCAAACCAATGGATTCAAATGACAAGAAAGGAAATTCCAACAAAACATTAGGAAGAATTTTCTGATGGTATGGTAGGATTGCAGAGTTGGAAGGGACCACAAGGGTCAGCTAGTCCAACTCGCTGCAATGCAGGAATCTTTTGCCCAATGTGGGGCTCTAACCCATGGTTAGAGTTCTACCAACTGAGCTATAGAGGTCTCTGTATTTATTTAAGAGCGGTTCTGTTGGAACTCCCTGCCTCTTGATACCAGGCAAGCACCTTCAATGTACTCTTTTCGGCACCTGCTAAAAACATATTTGTTTAGACAAGACTATCCAAATGTTTAGAAATGGATGAGAGTTTTCCTCTGCTTTTAGAACATTCTTCTTTTAACTTTTCAAAATCCTTAAACTATTGCTGTCATTTTCTTGTACTGCTGATTCCATTGCCTTATCTTTTTTTGTAAACCACATTAAGTGTCTTTTTAAAATCAATCAAGTGGTGTGCAAATCAATAAAGATGCAACCGAACGGGAGGCAAGGGGAGGGCGCGTTGTAGGAAGTGAGTCGCCAAGGCCAGCGGGCAGAATGCGTGCCCAGCCTGCTGGCTCTGGTGCCACCAGAATTTCCTTCTTCCATTTAAAAGACTTTCTAGAACCATTTATCTGGGCTGGATCCAGCAAAAGAAGAATAAAGATGATTTCAATCACCACCCAGGACTTGGACCAGACAGGCACCTCTTGGAAAAAGCTGAGTTATCAATTGCGTTAGAACAATGAAACCACCAGGGCTATGCTGAGATGGAAATTCCTCCCTGCCAGCCCCTGAGAGCAGCGTTCCCTAACCCTGGCCACTGTGGGAACAAGAATAGATGGACGACTGGCCTGATCCAGTAGGCTCTTCTCAGTTATGGGTCACAGCTCTTGGCTGAAGTCCCATTCAGCTCGTGGCAAGTTCCCTTCACACACAAACACATACCCGCCCTCCCAAAAATAATCACTAAAAAACATGGGCTCAGCTGCGCTCTTCTTTTCCGCTTTCAGCAGCTGCGTCCCAATGTTGGCACCTAAACACGTGAGCCAAGAGCTGGCAGATCTCCGCCCTGCATTTTGCCATTTGCATTCAACATCTGTGCAGAGAAGCAGAGCAACACCCACCCACCAGATCATTTGAATTTAAGAGCCATATTCCCAGGGACTATCACTCAGATTTTGAAATGGCTGCCTGCTGTGCCTTTCTGCGAATAATACACATTAACCAAAAGGTGCTTCCCCATGCAAACATGTGCGGTCAGCCATGCGCTCCCTGGCTGAGCGCACAGCTGCTCGGCAGCAACAACACCCGTCTCTTCGCTCAGGCGGCCCGGCGTGGCTCAGCCAGCCCCGAAGGAACGGAAGCACGGTGCTTTTTCCCCCTCAAGGTGGCACTTAGGGTTCTCCAATCCCCACGACACCCCTGAGAGGTAGAGGTTTGGCTGAGAGGCAGCCACTGGCCCAAGGTCATGCCAGTGGGCTTCAAGGCTGAGTGCGGGATTTGAACCCTGGTCTCCCAGGTCCTCGTCTGACACTCTGACCACTACATCACACTACTTTTCCATCTTAGTGCTTTCAAGATGCTTTGGAGCAGTCAGCCCAGCAGCCCCGAGGTTTAAAGCAGAAAGCAAAACCAGGAGCAGCAGAAGGGCTGAGTTCAACCTCTACCTCCATCACGAACCCAGTGCCCTGCCCTGCCTCCACCTGCTGCTTAGGATGAATACTGGCCTACCCTGCAGGGGGGGCGGAAGGGCTGCTGGTGGCACGCAGCACACTAAGCCCTCTGAGATGCTTCGATAAGCATCCTCACACTGACAAATGACAATGACAATGCAATGACAAACCTAGACAGCATCTTAAAAAGCAGAGACATCACCTTGCCCACAAAGGTCCGTACAGTTAAAGTTATGGTTTTCCCAGTAGTGATGTACGGAAGTGAGAGCTGGACCATAAAAAAGGCTGATCGCTGAAGAATTGATGCTTTTGAATTCTGGTGCTGGAGGAGACTCTTGAGAGTCCCATGGACTGCAAGAAGATCCAACCTCTCCATTCTGAAGGAAATCAGCCCTGAGTGTTCACTGGAAGGACAGATCCTGAAGCTGAGGCTCCATTACTTTGGCCTCCTCATGAGAAGAGAAGACTCCCTGGGAAAGACCCTGATGTTGGGAAAGATGGAGGGCACAAGGAGAAGGGGATGACAGAGGACGAGATGGTGGGACAGAGTTCTCGAAGCTACCAGCATGAGTTTGACCAAACTGTGGGAGGCAGTGGAAGACAGGAGTGCCTGGCATGCTCTGGTCCATGAGGTCATGAAGAGTCAGACACGACTAAACGACTAAACAACAACAAAGGATACTAGCATTAGAGCTGTTGATGATATCCAAAGCCATTACAACCAGAAGAGGGACACAGTGGTCTTAATCCCAGGGTCGCAGGAAGCCGCCTTATTCCAAGTCAGGCCCTGGTCCAGCCCAGTAGCACCTGCACTGACTGCCAGCAATGGCTCTCCAGGGTCTCAGACAGGAGCCTCTCTCCCAGCCCTTCCTGGAGATGTCTTTGGGGACTGATCCTGGTATCTCCTGCATGCAAGATAGATGCTCTGCCCACCCAGTTGTGGCCCTTTCCCCAAAAATCCCACTCAATAGCAGCGGAACGTAGAAATCATGCCTGGGATGGTGACTTGTCCACAAGACGAAGAAGAAGGCTCTGAAAAGTTTTGTTGCTCTGGGACAGGCTTCCGCAACCTGGTGCCCTCCAGGTCTTTTGGACTCCTTCAGAAAGCGGTGGACCCTTCTTCCTTGGAGGCTTTTAAACAGAGGCTGGATGGCCACCTGTCAGGGATTATTGACCCTTCCAGCTACGGTTCCACAACTCCAATGGGCCATGCTGGCTGGGGCAGATGGGAATTCATCTCGAAGGCACCAGGTTTGGGGGCTAGGGAAGACTGTTCTGAGACCTGAATGAGCTCTTTTAATGATGGCGGAGGAGACAACTTCACAAAGCAAAAGGCTTTTAATTCTCCAGCAACACATTTCACTCATGAGGGATTATTGCATGCAAACCTCCCCCCCCCCCCCACACACATGCCCGCCGCCTTCCTTGGAACTGCAGGTTTCACACATGCACACACACACACACACCCCAGCAACATCGCCCACGCTCCTGGCAGGCCGGGAACAGCTCAGCAGGAAACTGACGGAAAAAGAGAGCTGCAAATGTTGCATCCTTCCCAGGGCATGGGGGGGGGGTTGCGGTACAGAGGGGGTCTCTCTTGCGCTCTCCCTGCAGGCTGACCGGCCTCCTCCCTTGCCCTCCACCTGCAGAACCATAAAAAGCTCTTCAGCTGAGCTGCAAAAACTCCTTGTGAAAAAAATGAGCCGCATCCTGCTCCGGCTCTTTCTCGGCCCCCAAAACAAGGCGCGGGTTTGCACAAAAGCTGTCTATTAAAAATTCAAGCCTGAAAGATGCTGATTAAAGAGAGACAACTCCTTGGGCGTTTCAAGGGCTTTTTGAGTGCTTCTGAAGCCCAGTCTTTCTCCTGACCGGCAGCCCAGCCCACCTATCCATAGCTCTGCACAAAGAGGGGGACACGATCCTTTTCCCTCCTCTGCTGAAGCTGGAAGGCAAAGTAGAGGAGCTACAGGATGAAGAGCGGATTCAGCCAGCCAGAGTGGGAGACAAGAAAGTATTGAAGGAGCGGGGATGAGGGTCTGTAGCACACACAACTCTGTGCAGAGGCAGAATTTGCAATTTGCACTCAACAGACCAAGCTGCTCTCTGGTGATCAAGCTCCACAATTAATTCAGCTCCACCTGTCGGAAGGGCTCCAATATGCAGAATCAGACAAGTGCAAGGAGTCTGCTTTGGCTTCACCTTGAGCCCTTTCAAACTCCCGACTTCTGTCCTCAGGATCTGCACCTGCCGCTTAAATTGATATTCAGACTGGCGAAACAAATTAAGAGAGTACGCTGAACTGGCGAGAGATTATCAGCAAGGTTACGAGACGTTACAGATGAAGAATTTATCAAAGAGTGGGACATATACAGAGTCTATGTAAAAGAAGACTGTCGAAATATCGATCCATTGGCAGGAGTTTTGATTGAACTTCTGTGTGTAAGTAGGATAATTTGATAAAACTTAAAGTAAGTCAGACAACATGGAGAAAATAAAGCTAAGTGCGTATTCAAGGAATTTAATTTGGGAACTTAATGGGAAGATTGGAGGTAATGTTAAACTGAATTGCAAAATGATGCAGAAAGCAAGTATCAATTAAGGAATGAATGATTGCTTATTTTTTATTTTGCCTTTAGTATCTGTTGATCTTTTTTGTTATACAGTTTTCAATCAATATAGCATTTAAATATATATATAAAATAAATAAATAAATGGATATTCAGACACCACCAGGAGTGGAGTGACAGGCATTGCAAGTTGCAAGAGTGAGAGAGGAGGAGGAGGACGAGAGGCCTCTTCCAAAAGTCGTCCGTAAGCCTCGCCCTAAAGATGTGGTGGTTCTGAGCACTGCCAAGCGAGGAACCCCAAGACCCCACACCACAGATGACATTGAGGGGCGCATGTCTTGGGCCACACTATGAGCACCGCCCAACTAATATGTCCCATCAGCGCATGGGTTCACGCTTGCGCAACATAACTTCCTCCCCTCTTCCCATGCCCTTCCCAAATCTAACCCCAAGGGTTGGGAAACCCCAACAACAGGTTTAGGGGGTGCACAGGGTTGTTCTCTACAAAAAGCATGAATCTTCACCTTAGCTGGATGCCACCAACAGCTTTAGTGTTGCTCCTCCCACCCACCCGAAAACCACTGCCACACCTCCCCCTCTCCCGAAGCTGCCATATCAGTATTGATTTTGCTTGCGCTATAAAATCGTTTATATGCTGCCTTTTGGGGCAAAGCCCACCCGAGGTGGCCAGCACCATAGTTAAAAGCACAATAAAAACAAGGATCTCAAATAATTGGAATAAGGCGAGGCAAAAGGATTCGCAACAATTAAAAAGCCCAGTGACGACAGTTACAAAGACTTATAAAACAGCGGGACAGAGATTTGTGCAACACGGCTCTGTAGGAAAAGCTTTTGGCAGAACGGCAGTCTGCGGCTGGGGGGCAGGAAGTGTAGGAAGCCAGGAAGAAACTTTGCAAAACAAAAGGGGGGGGGTTGGAGAAGGTGAACATAGGACCCTCACGCCAAGCCTGCCTTAGCCGTTATCTCTAGGGGGTGCTTGTGAGGAGGGGCAGGGGAATCTTTCTCACCAGCAGTGGGGCTTTGCGTGCAGAGCTTCCCAGATCCAATCCCTGGCATGTCCTGGGAGGGCCAGGAGAGACCCCCGCCTGGGGCCCTGGAGAGCTGCTGGTGGCGCCGAGCTCGGCTGGACCAACCGGTCTGACTTAGTACCAGGCAGCTCCCTATGTTCCTATACTGCAAAAAGGGTCATTACTTTATGGCCTCTTTCATTTGCATTTTTTAATTTGCAAAGTGCTTTTACGGGCTCGTCTGTCCAACACAATCCCACGAGTTGACTTCTGCTTCTAGGCCTGGAATGGTCTGTCCTGCAAGAGTCGCTTACTCGGCAACGGCTAGATTCCAGCACGCCAATGTCACGAGCCAAGCTGTCCAAGAATTTCCATCCAAGCCATCTCCATTCCTGCCCCCCCCCCTTTGCAAATTGGGAAATGGTAGTTCAGTGGCTGGGCAAACCACTGGAGCCCCCAGGTTCCGTCCTCTGGCAGGAATGGCCAAAGGGAGCTCAGGAGCAACACAGGCAGAGGCTCTGGAGTGTGGATGGCACTGGCCTAGGCAGGGGCGTCACAAGGAGGTGGGGGGGTGCGGTTCACCCTGGGTGTCATGCCTAGGGGGGTGACAAAATCCCCCTGGGAGGAAGAAGAAGAAGAAGAGTTTGGATTTGATATCCCGCTTTATCACTACCCGAAGGAGTCTCCAAGCGGCTAACATTCTCCTTTCCCTGTGAGGTGAGTGGGGCTGAGAGAATTCAGAGAAGTGTGACTGGCCCCCAAGGTCACCCAGCAGCTGCAGGTGGAGGAGCGGGGAAGCAAACCCGGTTCACCAGATTACGAGTCCACCGCTCTTAACCACTACACCACGCTTGGCGTGGTGGCACTCACACATTCAGTGGGCGGATTTCCACGATTGGCACAATTGTTGTTGTGAAAATCCACCTGCTGATTGCACAAATATGGCTGGTGATCAGCCTGGCACCCCCCCGGTCGGCGGCGTTCACACCCCCCCCAGGCGGTTTTATGCTATCCTCGGTCGGACTTTCGCAAACAGTGGGCATATCTGTTTTGCAGCCAGCCCTCCTTTAAAAAGAGCTCAACAACTTTGGGCAACGTACCCAAAAATTGCAACATGGGGGGGTGACAAAAACCTGACCTTGGTTTGCCTCTAGGCCTAGGTGGGCCAATAAGGCTGCTTCACATCACCTTAAGGCTGCACCTTGAGGCTGCCAGAAAGGATGTTTTGCCCTCCCACTGCCCCCCCCCCAAAGTGTGTTTCTAAGGAAGTGCAAAACTTCCGGACCCAACTTTCTTGGATGGAAATTCTTGGACAGTTTGGCTTTCCACCTTGCAAGGTGGAAAAGAGACTCTGCAAAGCAAACTATCCTACAGGGATGACAATTCCAGACCCAAAGGGCGGATCTTGAAAAGGCAAGCTACATCGTTCAGTTCAATATCTGGCTGAGGTGGGCTGTGCAAAGCCAGCAACTCCCCCTTCCTCTTGGGTACTTTAAAAAAAAAGGAACAAACTTTGGAAGTCTAGCAGGGCAGAGAGTAAGCCATCGTTAGGCGGCCCTCAGGTAACTGTGTGCCCTCTCTGTGCTTGGCAGAGATGTGCCTCTGAGCCCGCACAGAGTGCATGCCATTTCCAAACCAAGGCATCAAAGGTTGCTCTTAGCCACCAAAGTTTAGACAGTATGGCTGACAGATCTGAAGCTTGGCAGCTCTTGGTTTAAACGGGACTGCTAAGGAGGCCATACTGGGCATAATGCCAGACCTCACCCAGGAATCTCACTGCCCACAGTGGCCAGGGCAGCAGTCACAGCTCAGGTGTGGCAGCAGACTGCCTGCCACTCCATCAATTGATCAGCTACCTTTTCATCATATATTGACTTTGCTCCATCTGCTCCTTGCAGGCAGGGTCGGACCACACAAACAAGCACCCACCTTTCAGGGGCAGAGCACCTGCCTTGCCTAGAGGAGTCACGGGTTCAGTTCCCCAGTTGGGAAGTCTCCTGTAGGATATCCTGGCCAGCTGCTGCCAGTCAGTGTAGACAACAGCTAGATCAGGGGCTCTCATTGTGGGGGCATCCCTGTATCAGCTTCATCAGTTTTGCTGATTTAATTGAACTCAATGGCTTGAATCGGATTTTGAATAAATGTGAAATTAATTGTTGCTTTCTCAAATTGCATTGTGTCACATTAGTGGGTCGTGCAAACCGCCGCTCTGAAATAATGCTTTTTCAATAGGGTACAGTAGGGGGCACTGGGGTGAGTTTATAGGTCCAAGCCCCCCCCCCCCCCACTAAGCTAGGTGGAGCACCAATCTGACTCGGTATAAGGCCTATGTTGGGTGAGTGGAGGGAGAGCACTCGGTTAGTGCTTGAATTGGGCCAGACACAGCAGATGTGAATTTCAGACCTCTCAGGGAAGCAAGCCAAGCTACATGCCAGTAGAGTGCGGGGGGGGGGGGGGAGAGAGAGAGAGAGAGAGAGAGAGAGAGAGAAGGGCCTCCTGACAGCTGAATCCCAGCTGAGAGGGATTGGTTGCGGCCTATTCCGATAAGACGATTCACAAGTCCCTGAAATGATGTATCTGCAGACAGCGTGGTGTAGTGGTTAGAGTGTTGGACTAGCAACTGGGAGACCAGGGTTCTCGACCGTGAAGTTCTCCCTGGGTGATCTTGGGCCAGTCACTGGCTCTCAGCCTAGCCTACCTCTATGAAGAAAGGCGGCAACGTTTGGGACTTCTTCATTTAGAGAAAAGGCAAGGAAGAGACGACATGACAGTTTATGAAATTCTGCTTGGCGTGGAGAAAGCAGAGAGAGAAAAGTTCTTCTCCATCTCTCTAGAGCTTGTGGATCTCCAGGGAAGCTGAATGGCGGAAGGTTAAGGCAGATAAAGGAAAACCCTTCTTCACACAGCACAGAACTATGGAACTCCCTGCCACAGGAGGCAGTGATGGCCAGCAACTTGGATGGCTGTAAGAGAGGAACAGGCACATTCACAAAGGAGAGGACTATTAATTGGTACAAGCAATGAGGAGAGGGCTCTCATGCTTGAATCCTGCTTGTGGGTTTTCCCTTTGGGCGTCTGGTTGGCCCCTGTAAGAACAGGATGCTGGACTGGATGAGCCAAGGGCCTGATCCAGCACAGGCTCTTACCTAACTTCTTATGTTCTGTGGAGCACAGATTCCTTGTGAAATGGGAAGCAGAGGCGTGCGCATGCAAAGAGCAGGAGAACGTGTTCTTCCTACTCCCTGTGCGCTGTAGACATCCCCCTTCTCTGTTACATAAGGACAAATTCATTAGTGGAGGCCTGTAATGTCTGGTGCCATCCACAGGGAAGAGTGCTGGGATGTCGGAGCCACGCTAGAAGCTCAGTGTGCAAACCCCTTTTCCAGCTCTTCACAAGATGTGCTTTCTGGGCTGACTTGAGCACCAGAGTCTGTGTCCGTTTCAATGCAACATCCCATTGCTCCGTCACACAGAGAGGAGCATCAGTAGTAGCACAGCTGGGGAAACCAGTGGCCAGAGCAAATCCTGTGCATCGGCAGCTTTCCTTTTGAACCACTTGGCAGAGCTGAGGCTCTTGAGAGCAAGGAGGCAAACCTTTGGTGCCAATGGGCACGATTCGGGGAATGTGTCCTGTTCAAATCCGATTGACATGCAAGAGGAAGAAGGGACAGTGGATATTAGCATGTAAAAAAAATTAGTCCATTTTCGGGGGGAGGGTGTTATAAAGTCAGCCACATTTTGCTGCCACAGCTCTGCCTGGGGTTAAAAACACATGAGAACACTTGGGATCAGCTATCAGACTCCAGTCACTGAATATTTGATAAAAATCTGAAATCTGGGAGTGCAAAACACTATGGGTGTCTTTCAACTAAGGTTTACAGTGGTACTTCGGTTTAAGAACAGTCCTGTTTACAAATGATTTGGTTTAATAGCTCTGCAAAACTGGAGTAGTGTCCCAGTTTGAGAACTTTACCTCGGTCTGAGAATGGAATCCAAACGGTTGAAGGGCACCAGCAGCGGGAGGCCTCATTTGGGAAGGCACACCTCGGCTTGAGAACAGTTTTGGTTTAAGAACAGACTTCTGGAACGGATTAAGTTCGTAAACTGAGGTACCACTGTACTGTAGAACAGACTACCTTGGATGGTGGTTGACTCTCCTTCCTTGGAGGTTTTTAAGTAGAGGTTGGGTGGCCATTGGTCATGTATGATCTAGTTAAAATTCCTGCATTGCAGAGGGTTGGACTAAATGACCCCTGAGGTTCCTTCCAACTCTACAATTCTGTGATTCTATGAAAAACAATGACAAGCCAATATCCCGCACCCCACAAACACATTTAAAAGGACATGCAATGTTAATCAGGGTTAGAAACTGAGATATTTAAGCTGGGTGCCAAATGGCTCCTTAAACCAGCCAAAACAGAATGCCTAGTTGCCATTTGGGGCCCAGGCGGCTCGAAAGTCACATTTTTCAATACGACTTTAGGGTTCCTGAAATTCATTGTGATTGCGCAGATAAAATGTAATGGATAGAATTCCACGGGACATTTTGCTAACATGAGAAAACAGAAGAGCCCACGATCCCCAGGTAGGCAGCTCCAGGTGGTGGAGACGTCCAGGTGTCATCCTGCCACACAGTCATCTTCACTTGGGCAGATAGCCAGGTGTAAAATGCCCTTGGCACCTGGTGAATTTCGGATACTGATGTTCATCAACCAAAGTCCTGGTTATAGAGAAATGGTGCCCAGAAAACATGCCATGAAGGTGCCAGGGGAGTCTCCCTGGGGAGAGCATCCCACAAGTGGGGAGCCACCACAGAAAAGGCCCCTTCTCCTGCTGCTGCTGCTGCCCTCCAGAAGGGAGGGAGATGAAGATGGGCCTCGGGTGATAATTGCGGGCCCGGGATAATTGCGGGCCCGGGTCAGTTCCGCACACTTGACCCAAGTACCTGTGAACATTACAGCTAGAAGAGAACGGATTTTGCTCCCTGTGGTTCAAAGCATATATGGACTGGGAGGAACTAAGGATCCTACACCTTTTAGTTACTGGAAGCGCAGAACCAGAAGTGGGGGGGGGGGCGGGCGGGCAGGACTTGCTGGAAACCACCTGAATCCAGAATAAAAGGCTGCAATGTGGGACAATTAATCTGGGAACTGTTATGCAAATACAGCAAGGAAAAAAATTAAAAGGGAAAAGGGAAGAGATTTCAAAATATGAAGAAAAGGGGGGGCAGCCCTGAGCCTGGGAGAAATTCAGGGATCAATCTACCACCAATGATCTGACTTATTATATGTTGAAATTGCTTATCATGTGTTGGGGGGGGACTACATTTCAGAGTCCTTTATAAGCTACCTTTGAAGGATCCGTATTCTGACAGACAGGCTGCAAATAATAATGGTAACAAGCTGCAGAATATCCACAGACATCCCTGCTGTGGTGCTGCCTATGAGGGAGCACTCTGCACTTGTGCAGGAGAACTCTTGCCACCCTCCCTGCCTCAGACGCTGCGGGCCTGGCTCCTAGTATTGAAAATCAACACCCGGGAAACACAGCCCCTGGGTCTGCCTTCTAAATGGGGGTTTGCAGTTCTTAAGTGGCCCTCTGCACACGCTCAGTTTATTTGCTTTTCGTCACAATGGCAATAGGAGGGGGGCAGCCTAAGCCTGAATTCCAGTTGGTGTGGGGCAAAGAGCAAGAGACGGCTCTTGACGTCAAGCCCTGCTACGGGCACCCCAGAGGCATTCAGCTGAACCCTGTGGCAGGACTAATGGCCCCACCTTAGTCGCAGTCAGAGTGGCATCAAAATGTAAAAGCTTCATATGTGGCAGCTAGGTCTATAAATGCCTAGTAGCTCTGGTGGATAAACAGAGCTCCAGGTTTAGGGGCAGTCTACCTCGGTTGCCGATCTGTCGAGGTGGAGCTGGACAGCACCCTGCAAACTGCGAGGAACCAGGCGCTGAGCTAAGAGGACTCACGGCCTGGACTGCTCAAAACAAGGGAAGCACTCTGCACATGCCCCGAGGCCCCCCTGCAAGGGCAATCCCCAGGGGCACCCGCACTCCCTCAGCACACGCCCAGGGTCGCTGCTTCTGGGTCTGGCCCCCCAGGGCGCCCCCCTGGCGCGCGCGCGCCCGCCACTGACCTGGTCTCCGCCGGACGTGCCTCTTCCTGCCGCTGCAGAAGCGGACCTTGCTGAAGACGCCCAAGACGTGCCTCTCGCAGAGGGAGCGGCCGTCCTTGCTGGGGCTGGAGCGGCGCTTGGAGGCGGAGACGCGGTCGCTGTTGGACTCGCGGGCCTGCCGCTTCTGCCGGATCAGCGAGCTGGCGATGGCCGCGGCCATGGCCGGACGGGGCGGGCGGCGGCGGCAGCAGCAGCAGTCACAGGCCGCTAGCCCTCATCGCCCGCTCGACGGCTCCCCATCTTCGGCGCAAGCCCCCCACCCCGAAAGTCCGGGCCCCCAGCAGAGACCCCCTGCTCCTCTCCGCCTCCCCCCCAGCCCAGAGGCTGGGGGGAAAAGACGCCTCTGCTCGCCTCCCTCCCGCGCTGCCTCCGCTCGGGGGAAGGTCCGACGGCAGGGGCTCTCCGTCGGCAGGCTGGCCAGGCGCCTTGTCCAGGGCCCCGACGCCCCTCCGGAACCTCTCCAGATGCGAGCCCCGCAACAGCTGGCCGCTCCAGGGCCCGCGCTGCTTTGGCACGAAGGGACGGTCCTCGTTGCGAGGCGAGCGAGAGAAAGAGATACAAAACCCGGCTGGCAAATGTTGGGCGTGGAGGGGGGAGGAGTGGAGGCTCTCCAGAGCCCTGCCTCAGTATCCCCCCGCGGGTCCCGAGGCCCAGCGGTGCATCACGAGGAGGAGGAGGAATGTGGGTCCGACGGGGCGGCTGCGGCTGCTGCTGCTCCCTCCGATGCTCTGGCCGCCTCGGCGCGGGGGTCTCCGGCGTCGGGGCCTCGCGGGGATCTCATTTCTGAGCTGCCGGACCCCGGAGGCGCCGGCGGAGCCCCCCTCATGGCCCCCGCTCCGTCCGGGACCCGTCCGGCGAGGCCTTTCGCAGTGTCGACGTCGGCTGGGAAGACGGAAGAGGCGCCGTCTGTCTCCACGCTCGGGGACCGCGCGGAGGGCGGGCGGAGGGGGGGGGCGAAGGCGGGCTTTCTCAGGCTCCCGCCCCCCGTCGCCGCCGCCTCCTCCTCCTCTCCGTCGGCGGCGGCGCTGCAGCTGCCTCGTGGCCCCCGCTGCGGCCCGCCGGTCCCCGGGCCAGCCACATAGCTCCGCGACGGCCTTGCTCAGCTTCTCCGGCGGCCCATGGCGCCACGAGGGACCCGGGGGCGGCGAAGCCCCCTTCCTCCTCTTCTTCTGGGCTGCCCGGGAGCCGCCCCCACCGGCGAGGCGCTCAGGGGCCGCCCGGGGGCCGGACAGCAGCCGCGGCCGCCCGGGCTGCCATCTCCCCTCCCCGAGAAGGCGGTTTCGCGGCGGGTCCTGCGGTCCCGACCCGGCGGAGCAGCGGCGCGCGGACAATGGCAGCCTCTTCGGAGGCAGCCGGTGGCGGCGGCGGCGGCACCAGCAGCCTCGCCTCCCTCCCCGCTTCTACGCAATCCTACGTGACCGAGGTTTGGATGAGAGGCTCGCCCGGGCGGAGGAGAGACCACTGCGGGCGCCGCTGATTCGACGGCTCGCCGGGGGACAGCAGGAGGGGCTCGCGGGCTGGCTGGCTCGCAGCCCCGGCACCTCTTTCGCCCGCGGTGCTCCGAGGAGGATGCGCTCGGCGCTCGCCAACGCGGGAGGCTGGCCAACGCATCCCACCGCCCCGCGCATCGAGGACGGCGGGGAGGGGGGGGGAATCCCAGGCCCCGCAACGGACTGCGGGGCTAGACCCCTGAAGCGGAGCCAGGAGATAAGAGCATCAGAAGAGCTTGCAGGATGAGGCCAATGGCATCTCACAGCGGCTGAAACCACCAGCGGCGGCGGCAGCGGCTCTCCTCTCGCCTCCTGCGGTTTCTGGCAACTGGTGTTTAGAAGCCTTGCTGCCTGTCAATTTTTGACAATGTCGCCGGGCCATTAAGAAACAAGGGGTGGGGGGGGGTCACTGGGTTCGAGGTGCCTTGAAAAGGCGACGACCCACCTGCTGGTTGCAGAGAATGGAGCCTCCCCACCCAGGGGCAGTCTACCTCTGAATGGGGTTCTTGCAAAAGGGAAGGGCTGTTTCTTTCATGCCGGTTGCTGGGAGCTACAGGAGGGGAGAGTTGTGCTCTTTGTGCTCAAATCCTGCTTGCGGGTTTCCCATTGGGGCGTCTGTGAGAACAGGAGGCTGGACTCCAGGTGGGCCACTGGGCAGATCCAGGAAATTCTGATGTCCCTCCTCAGGGATGCAGCCCCTCTGCAGCCTCCCAGTTTACTCTGCCCCCTTCCTTAAGGAGATCAATCTGGGAAAACAGGATGCGCTGTCTAGGGATCAACCCTGCGGGGGGGGGGGGAGGTCACTCACCACCCTTATAAATGCTTCTGTCCTTTGTGTGTGGCTTGTTGAAGCTGCCTCACTGGTGACACTCTGCAGGTGCCTAGGAAGATTCTCAGGCATGCAAGAACAAGCACCCACGACGCTCAGAGGCACTCTGCTTTTGGAAGCTTTTCATGCTAGGCCCCCAAAGGGGACTTTCACACAATTACTGAAGCCCCCCCCCTTCTAACTGTATGTGGACCAATGAACAGGGCACAGGGAAAGGATTGCTTTAAAAAGTAATTTTATGACCTGTTCCAGCACATTTAGGTTGCTTTACAGGCCCTGCGAATGGGAGGACTGGTTTTCAGCATCACTTGAGTGACACCCAAGCCCTGCCTTGGTATTTGAGAATGCAGTCGTCTTAATGAATCGCCCCAGAGGGGGCTCATCTCAGTCCGGAATGCTGCTTCGTAAAAGGGTATAAGAACATAAGAACAGCCCTGCAGGATCAGGCCATGGGGGCCCCCTAGTTCAAAATCCTGTTCTCACAGGGGCCAAGCAGATGCGGCAATGGGAAATTTGCAAGCAGAATTAACTCTTCCCTGTGGTTTCAGGCAACTGGGATTCAGAAGCACAGTGACCAGGTTCATGAACATCACTGTCTCCTGTGGCAAGGAGTTCCACACTTTAACTGTACTGCTTTCTTGCGTCTTTCCTGAATCTCCCAACATTCGACTACACTGGAGGTCAATGAGTTCTAGGGTTTGCAAAGAAATATTTAAAAAAAACAAAACTATCCACTTTCCCTGTGCTTTGCATTATTTCACAAACTTCTGTCGTGTTCCCTCTTCCCTTCCTTCCCTCTAAACTGTTGTGTATGTGCTGCTACCAGGGTGGCACAGAAGGGAGTTGTGAGGCTACAGTTTGACTGGTCATTACAACTCCTCTCTCTCCACTGAGCTGCTGCAGCCCAGTTCGTATCTGATTTCACCACCCTAAACCGATAAAAGCTACGTCTGCATTATTTATCCATTTCCCTCTGCTGGGTTGAGTTGCTGTGAGGCAGGAGGGGATTGGATGAAGTGCAAAGCATGAAAAGGGAGGCTGTGGGATAGATCCTGGTTGACCGGAGCCCAGAGGGGGGAAAGGAAACATGTGCCATGGAGATGGGAAAGTGAGCAGAAAAATAACATAGCCATCAAGAGCAGGACCTCCATCGTTCCACCCTGAGGTCCCCTGCAGAAGGTCAAGGCCAGGCAGGAAGCAGGCTGTAGAAAAGCCATGCCTGCCCCTCTTCCCAGGTGCTGTCTTCAGTTCTGCTCATCTCCCTCACCTCAGAAAGGATGTAGCAGAGTCGGGAAAGTTTCAGAGTAGGGCAACCAAGGGTGGCGCTGTGGGTTAAACCACAGCGCCTAGGACTTGCTGATCAGAAGGTCAGCGGTTCAAATCCCCGCGATGGGGTGAGCTCCCATTGCTCAGTCCCAGCTCCTGCCAACCTAGCAGTTCTAAAGCACGTCAAAGTGCAAGTAGATAAATAGGTACCGCTCCGGCAGGAAGGTAAACGGCGTTTCCGTGCGCTGCTCTGGTTCGCCAGAAGCAGCTTAGTCATGCTGGCCACATGACCCGGAAGCTGTACGCCGGCTCCCTCGGCCAGTAAAGCGAGATGAGCGCCGCAACCCCAGAGTCTGTCACGACTGGACCTAATGGTCAGGGGTCCCTTTACTAGGGCAACCTAAACAGTCAAGGGGATGGAGCCCCTCCCCTATGAGGAAAAGCTGCCCCATTTGGGACCTCTTAGTTCAGAGAAAAGGCAGAAAGAGGCGATAGGACAGAAGTTTATAAAACTGCACAAGGCAAGGAGGAAGTGGAGATGGAAAATGCTTCCTCCCTCTCTTGGAACACTAGAATTCGTGGGCATCGAATGAACGCCAGAAAAACCCAGGACAGAGAAAAGAAAGGACTTCTTCAGGCAGCTCATAGTTAGACTGTGGAACTCCCTGCTACTGTAGGCCCTGATGGCCACCAACCAAGATGGCTTTAAAAGTGGATTAGACAAATTCGTGGAGAAGGCTGCAGATGGCTCCTAGCCAGAATGGCCAGAGGCAGAAATGCTTCTGAATGCCAATTGCTGGGATCTGCAGGAGGGGAGAGTTCCTCTTGCGCTCAAATCCTGCTTGTCGGTTTCCCAGGTTGGCCCCTGTGAGAGCAGGATGCTGGACTAGAGGGGGCCCCTTTGGCCTGGCCCAGCAGACATGTTCTCAGCCATTGACCTGCTAGTCTCACATCAGGAAGCAGGGACGATTGCTGCCTGTCTCTCTCAGCCTCAAGCATTCCCCACCCTTTGTCTTACAGCAGCCCTGTCCTACCTCAGAAGCTTGTTGTGAGGAGCGTTGTGATAATGGCATGCGAGGTGCTCTGAGCACTCCAAAGGGCCGTGCAAATGCAAATGTTTTTATGGCTTTGTGGTCTGTATTGACAGTATCCACAAACTACACGTTCCAGGCCAAAAGGCATGATTAACCTCACAAATGAAAGTTCCCTAACTTTGCTAATGGCCAATCTGCAATTTAATTTAAGTGCTTGTTTCTCCGCCTGATTTATGAGCCTGCCCCGTCATCAAGACCATTCCAGCAGCGTAAAACACACAATAAAAATAATTAAAAACACACACACACACAATAAAAATTACAGATACCAACATTTTCAGCTATGAAAAACAAAGAACGTTTATAAAGAGCTGGGAGAAAGTCAATCTCTCCCAGAGCCACAGCTCAGTGGCAGGACACACACACTGCTTGCAGAAGATCCCAGGTGAAATTCCTTACAGCATCTCCGGGCAGGGCTAGGAAAGGCTCCCCCTCTGGTACCCTGGAGAGATGCTACCAGCCAGTGCAGACAATACTGAGCTAAATGGACCAACGGTCTGATTTTGTATGAGACGGCTTCCTCTGTTCCTAGTCTCAACTGGCAGACTAGCTTAAAGGTAAAGGGACCCCTGACCATTAGGTCCAGTCGTGACCGACTCTGGGGTTGCAGCGCTCATCTCACTTTATTGGCCGAGGGAGCCGGCGTACAGCTTCCAGGTCATGTGGCCAGCATGACTAAGCCGCTTCTGGTGAACCAGAGCAGCACACGGAAACGCCGTTTACCTTCCCGCCAGAGTGGTACCTATTTATCTACTTGCACTTTGACGTGCTTTCGAACTGCTAGGTTGGCAGGAGCAGGGACCCAGCAATGGGAGCTCACCTCATCACGGGGATTCGAACCGCTGACCTTCTGATCGGCAAGTCCTAGGCTCTGTGGTTTAACCCACAGCGCCACCCGCGTCCCTCTGCTTAGCCAGTCATAAATATCACAGGCAGCAGATATTTAAAAAACAAAGACTTGAAAAAACCAAATGAGCAACTTTCTGGTATAGAAAGGGCTTGGAATAAGGCAGGAGTAGAGCTTGCCATTTCCTCAGACTTATTCTCTCTCAGATGCTAAACCAGGACAAACCTCAAAAGCACAGGAAATTAATTTGGGAGGGGCAGACAGCCTTATGACCACCCATCCTATATAAGAGTCTTGCCCTTTCTGAAGGTGTTGGGGACACTTAGCCTGGAGAAGACCGAGAGGAGATTTGAAAGCCGTTTTCAAATATCTGAAGGGCTGCCCCATGGAAGGCGG